CAGTAGCTCTTCTAGGGCTACTAATGGTCCCAAGCCCGGGTAAAGAAGGAGTGTCGAGCACGAGGTCAACAACCTCATCCCGTAGAAAAAAATTGCCGAAGAAACGCCAATCAGAATAAACAATTTAAACCATTTAGGCTCTGCCCTCCCAGCTGAAGGAACAACTGTGATGCTTCATGATGAAGGCCAAGATTCTTTGGGAGTCACGAGGCCGATGCCCTTTCTAACTACCAGAGCAACGATCAAAATAGGTACATGCAATGTTCGGACAACGTATGGAACTGGAAGGATCGGTCAAATTGCAACGGAAATGAGGATATACAACTTGACGGTTCTCGGAATTCGGCGAAATTCATTTAACCCAAGCTGCACAGCAAAGGTCAGGTACAGGAGAGATGCTGCTGTACTCTGATCACGAAGAGGAAAATACTTCTGTTGTTGAACTGTAGGTAACAGACAGAGTATCCGTTAATTTACTTGTTTCCAGATATAACTGCTCTGGTAAAAATCTCAAATGTAGGATAAAGATGAATGTTACGAATACAAAACAATTTAAAGTAATAAGTCTTTTTTAAAGGTCTAGGTAGTATTTTGATAGTCTGTACACGAATGATCCTGATGGAATACGGCTTGTTGATCTTGAAGTCAGGCGTATTCCATTCGGTTCAGTAGTATTCTTTTGGAAACTTTTCGTGGTACTAATAGTAGTGTGATGCTTCTGCAGTATTTATACTTGCTGGAGTCCCCTTTCTATAGTATATTGGTGAGGTCAGTGGAAGATGTGAAAACCAATAGAGGAGATAGCATAGCTTCGGATCACAACCTGGTGGTTGCCAACGTAAAAATGAAGCTAAAGATGTATTGGAAAACTGGACAAACAGCATTATAACCGTTGATCGAATCACTGACAAACTCATCGAATCCAATATAACTCTCAACAACAGGTTCCACGCCTTACAGAATCTACTAAGAGAAGAAGAAACTACTATGGAGGACAATTGGAAAGGGGTCAAAGAAGTATTAACTTCAACGTGTCAGGAGGTTCTGGAACGCAACAAGCATCATCATAAGGAATGGATCTCTACGAAAACCCTGAACAAAATTCAAGAGAGGAAGAACAAGAAGACGGCAATTAACAATAGCGAAAAAAGAACAGAGTAAGTCAAGGCACAATCCGAATACACAGAAGCAAACCAACAAGTGAAGAAGAGCATTTGAGCTGGTAGGCAGAAATACGTGGCAGAACTAGCAACAACGACGGAGGAAGCTGCAAGAGAAGGAAATATGAGGCGACTATATGACACAACGAATAAACTAGCAGGGAATTATGGTAAACTAGAGACCAGAGACCGTCCAAGACAAAGAAGGTAAGCCAGTAACTGAAATTCAAGGATAGAGTGTTGTGTCTTCAAGCCTGGCTGATTATCACTTGATGTATTCGCTAATAGGAACACAACTTATAGAATCTTAGCATTGTGACAAACCAATGACGTTCAACCTGTATGAGCAGTCCAGCGTCCTTATTTGTCCTCTTCCCTCCTTGCTCTGCCAGTTGATTCTGGAACGCCAGCACAAGCTTCCATCATACGAAACATTTATTTCAAACATACCTGGTTTATATACATGCCAAACGGATCATATCACACCGTAAAATTGGAAATAACGTTTATACAAAATTAATGAATAAGTGGCTGTGAATGTGGGAGACTGTAGTCATTAAACTGAGTATAATTTAAGGATAATAAATCGTATGCAGTAAGTATATATGTAATATTAACCCACTGATAGTTCTGAGAAGTTGCTCGTAATATAATCCTAATTAGGATATAACACAGAGGAACAGATGGGTGGAACAATTTTGGAGAACTCTCAAATGGGCCAGCTGCATTTAATCCACCACGAACCGATATAATGCATGCAGACATTCCTATGGATGCCACTTCACCAACGGCGTAATAAATCAGGATGGACATCAGACAAATGAAGAGCGGGAAATCAGAAGAACCTGACAATACACCAGATGTAGTACTAAAGTCAGGTACAGAAGTAACTGCCAACATGCTTCAATTTCTATTCAGGACGATTTGGAAGGAAGAAAAAATGCCTCACCTCAAAAATGTCATCTATAAGGTAGTATTCAGAAGTTTTACAAAAGCCACGAAAATGTGAAGTATCAGACAACTTTGTTGTCCTTTTTACATAATCTTGCAAAAACCTAGTACAACAACATCTTATTGTCTCTTTTTAAACCCTTTTCCCACTTTACTTCTTGTAATTGTATAAATTGTTGAAGGTCTTACTGACTTTCTTACTTACGCCTATTACTCCTCACGGAGGAGCACTGGTCGCTCAAAAGCATCCTCAATCCAACTCTATCCTGGGCAATCCCTTTCAGTTCTTCCCGGTTGGTATTCATGCTTTCATATTTGTTTCTGATTCCCGTCGCAACGTATTCTTTGGCCTCCCACTTTTCAATTTCCCTTTAGAGTTCCAAGTTAGCTTTTGCTTCATGACACAGTTTGGTGTTTCACACAATGTGTATCCCATCCACTTACAACATCTTTTCCTAATCTCCTCTTCAGATATAAATTGATTTGTTCTCTTCCATAGAAAGTTGTTGCTGATGGTATCCGGTCAACCGATATTGAGTATCTTCATAGACAACTGTTTCTAAATACTCGTACCTTTTTGATAATGGTTGTAGTAGTTCCCTACGTTTCGGCTTCATACAGTAGGGCTGTCATGACGATCATATTGAAGATTCTGACTTGGATATTGGTTGACTTCAAAATGATGCCTCCCGAAATTTCCCCCATGTAAAGGCACCAAAGTTGAAAACTGGAAGCCGAGGATAAAGGAGTGAGAAAACACTTTTGAATAATGTTCTATGTATCGAGGTATATGCAATCTAAGCTGATCGGTTTTTGAGAGATATGAGTATGAAGATACGACCAGTATTGTAGTTTGGCGACTTTTAACCAGTAACACCTATTATCGAATCGTGTCCCACTCAGTTAAAATCAGAAATCAGAAGCGAAAAGGTTGGAAGATATATTTGATGATCTATCAACCAGGCTAGTAATCGTAGGAAATGTTTCCCACTCAGTACTGTAACGTGACCTGGTGCGGATGCATGACCGAACGCCTTCAGCTAAACAAGTTCACTCAAACTAATGTGGTCAGCATCCAATGTCGAACACTTAGAAGCTATTGTTTTTGGTGAATTATTTACAGCTACAAGTAGTACGACGTACTGAAACGTTATCTGTTGCATATGCTTAAACATGAACCCCAAGCTATGGGTATGTTTAGTAAAACCAACAGTCAGAGTCAATTTCGGAGATTTACTTTGCTATTTATTCTAGAAATTTATTTACTAGTACAAAGAAAAACAAAGAAACACAGTCACTAAAACTTCTTCATTCAGCATAGATCTTTTTTCAGTACATTATTGTATTGATTCGATAAACATTCTGTAAAATGCTTATGACGGTGAACCTATACACTCCTACTTACAACAAAATACTGTGGGGCATTCCGAAAATTTTGAGAAACAAGTTTCATGTATGTTAGTCCAAAGAACACAACTTTTTCCGACACAAAGTTATTGTTTTAATTAAACAACCACTATACTTTTCGTAAATCTCCGGTCTCTTAAGGGCCATAAGCCATAGGCCGCAATATCTGACGGCACTAGTACATCACATTCACAGGAAAAAATTGCTTGACAAGCTGTTTTGTCCAGTTTTCAAGAGAGGTGGATGTTCACTCAATCATCTTGTCCAAAATACGGAACCTTACCGATTGTCAACTTGTGTTTCTGATGACAACCCTAAGTTTTTAAAGAAACGTAATGGTACCACGATGAAGTCCGTGTTCAAACTTTAATCAGCTTTGATATACCAGATTATCTCTTATAGTGTACCATATATACTTCAATGACATGATTCCAGAAAATCCCACACCCGTACCACAAATTTGTTGACTCTAAAGAATGAATAAGCCAATTGAATTTAGTTTGAGGAGCAGAAAGACGTACAGTATCCAGAATTTTATAAAACTTTTGGTTGGAACAGTGACTACTGTCTTATCAAAAGGCCTAAGTCGACAAACATTAAGTCACATTGAGTCTAAATTATATTTAGGTAAGGATATGTAGGAAGTTCGCATAGTCTAACACGACGTTGCAACCGAGCAAGTAAAACTGGTCAGTTAGCTAAATAAATATTCAGAAGCACTTGTATTCTAGTCCTCACCTAATCCATTTCACCTTGGTCCTCGAGAATACATATAACGAATATAGTAGTTTACTCGCAACGATCTAAAACTATATCTTGTCAGAATGTCTTTCATTCAATTTTAAGTCAGTTTGATAGTAGGATTTTTCTTCTGCTTTTCAAGAGAATCGTCTGGTACTACGTATGGCAGGGGACAATCACACTACTCTGTCCACTCCAAAAGGATGTAAATGCTTCCAGATTTATCCAGTTTTCAAATCTCATAAGAATCTCCTGAAAATACATGATTTACAGACCTTTGAGTATAAAATAATCATGGATGATCCAATAATAACTCCTAAAATAAAGTACACTGGTTACCTTTTATACAACACTCTCTTGATTTCCATCCTAATAATGGCTTTAGACTAGACACTTGCAATTTAGAATTTCAACATATATTTAGTTGGTTAAGCATTCTATTCCATCAAAATAGTTAAGTCTTGGAACTCTCTGCTCCATGAATCAACTTGAGTAACTTTACCAGAAACGTTTTCTAAAATAGCTGGTATTTTCTCAAGGACTCAATACAGCGTCTATGAATTTATTCACTGATTTATTTACTAAAATTTTCACATTTCTGCTTCTTTCCACATACTTGGACTCAAACATTAAAGATAAGTGGTTTATCAGTTATTAAAACGAGAATACTTTACTTGGTTCTCTTATTTTATCCCAAATCACTCGAAAGTACTAGAAACATTTTGTGAGACCCCTGGAGATATTGAACATCGATGACCCACGGGAAAATTCGAATCCTAACCTGTAGGTCACGTTTCCAGCACTGGTAAACCACTTAGTTCCATTCATGTGTTGTGTGTAGTAGTCAGTATATTTTCTACAACACTGAGCATTATTCCTGCCGAAAACCTAGCAATCATCTTAGGAATGCTTTTGTGACCGGATTTAATGTTATATTGCCTGGGTTCTAAGCCTTATGTGCGATAAAGTGCAAATGATTCGTGGTAATCTTCCTCGAGTATAGTTATGTTGATGTCTGACATCATTTTTAATGGATTGATGAAATAAGCAATCAACAAAGTTCCTGTTGGAGTGTCCAATCAGCGTGCTTAAGTGAATTTTCAACCGCTTCTTTGGATAGCGCTTTCCGGATTTACCAGAATAATAGCCGTCTAACTGGACTTTTCACCGTGATCATCCTGAAAGACTGAACCGTTTTCTGATAAAGTGAGAGCACAAATGTCTTTTGTCCTTCTCTAGACTTGAAGTGTAATGCAATGTAGGATTCTTGTCAAAAAATATTATCACCATAGTGATGTTTTGACGGAAACGTAAACTGTTACACATTTATCTACAAGCTGTCTTGTAGCCGCACTGTGTTTAAAGAGAGTTCTACTTGTATGTCGACAAGATAAGTCAACCTACAACTTCTTGTCCTTTCTACTTAGACTACTTTACCTAAGGATTAAGAAACACGGGGTGGTTTGTCATGTAAACACTGGCATTCGTCTTTCTACTAGTAAATTTAAGGTTCAAACCCCTTGGATAACCAGATAGTATCATTATTTCTTAATATAACTTCAAACTAAGTACTTAAGCCTTTGCTTTGTAAATTAGTTACATCTTTATTATCACTCCTTAACGTCAAAGGATTTGATTTCCACCACTAAGTTTTAATTTTTAAAGACTACCTGCCGAGTTTGGTTTGGATAATCAGTTAATAACACTAACTCGGTTAAAAGCAAAATGTACGAAGTGTTACTTGGTTACTGAGTTGATTGTTCTGAGAATGAATTGGAAATTATCAGCTTATGTAGTTACTAGAAAAATTCCGTTATATACTTTCGTATATTGCATATCTATGAAAAATCTGAAGATTCAGGGTTGTTTAGAATACTGACAAACGGAATGTTGCAGAAAGCGTGTTATATCTTTGTTCTTTACTATTTGTGTTCATTTTAAACATTTCAGACAACCTTCACTCCCCCCGTCTTTGCAAATGGGAAAAAAGCACACTTTCAGTTATTCTCGAAATCGAAAGCGATTAGGCAGAAAAGAGAAGGCAAAATTAAAAATTAGAAAGTAGGTCATTTCAAGTGAAGGATTTTATTTTATTTTACACTTATAATTTCTATTTATTTAGTATCAGAGCTTGGTTAAAAGTCGACTAGGTCTAAGCACCAAATCGATTTGATACCCTCGTTACGTTTGTATCTTCCTTGGTCTTCAAAAGTATTTTGTATGAAATGATTATACCACTTACATTCAATAACGTTACTGTCATTTATCTCCCTTAACCAGTATTAATCTTTGCGAATTTTTTTTAAAATGTGGGCAGTTGTTATTTCACATTCTAAACATGAAACTATAGTCGTCTTGTATTTATCACATTTGACATTATTTATTCCTATCTTTAATATAAATCCAGCTGACCTAGTATTTAAGCTGAATAGTGCTAATGACTTTGAATATCCTTAATTTATTTATGCAGTAGTAAAGTTGTTGAAGTACGGTGACTGGTCTTTTAACTATAGGCTGTTAGGTATTTGATACGGTCATGATGTTGCACTAAGTTTACGTACTCTTTCTAAATTTGTGTTTCATTTACATTTATTGAATACAAACTGTCTCTTTGAATTAATATTTATTTAATAATTAATGTTTCATATCAGTCCAGTCATTAATTCGGCTTGGAAGCATGGATTATCTGTCAAATCAAATTTTGATCGTTTGGGTTTAGCTTACGATGCGAATGAAGTACTTGGAAATCAGGTAGTGTTGTTACAATTATCTAACTAGTTCTGTTTTTGTTAAATACAGGTTTTAACAAATGGCGAGTATGATAATAATGATGCAATCACAAAAAATATGCGACAACGGAAAAAGACTAATGTCGTAAAAGGCGAGATTATTCATTGTTTATTCAACATGTTCTACACTACTCGATTATAGTTTTAGAACAGTTAGCCAAACATAAAAAACAAAAACCTGTGTTTGTATCCGAAGATGATCAGTTGTTTTGCATATACAACTTAGAGATGTATGCTGAGGATGATTTTGAAGTGAGTGTGTTAACTTAAGGTATAATTCTTTCTCTTTTGTAGTCTATGAGCAGAGATCCAAAGAATGTTTATCAGTTGACATCCAAACAGATCGAACGACTAATCAATAAATTTAAACAAACCTCTGGCTTTCAAAAGTATCTTGAAGATAAGCAGTCAGGAGAGCTTGCCATCGATGAGTTGTTTAATCAAGAACTAATGTAAATATATTATTTTGCTAAAAATATAGTAATTTTGAATTTTACGTTCGTATTTTGTGCATTTATAGAGCCTTATATAAGTTCATTTAAACAAAATAGTGTATGCCTTGAACGTACGAAAAGACCGGCTATAATTTAGATAATGTCACTGATAAAATTGACTAAATATATCAATAGATGACATATAATGGAGCAATGCACGGTTCCGGTGTTATAGATTCCCAAGATAGTACTAAAAAAACTTGAAAGTAAGTAATCACATAGCTTCAGAACATATCTGTTGCTCTTTATTAATGGCGAGGTTCAAAGATTTACTTACATAGGATCAGTTAGTGAGGTTGTAATGAAACTGATTTGTAAGTAGTAGGAGTCCAACTGGTTCATTTATTTATTTAAACGCATAAACATTGGTACAAGGAGGCACCATATATATATATATATATATATATATATATATATATATATATATCATACTTCTTCATTCGATTTGTGTGAGGTCTGTAATACTGTCTGAGTGCCCAAACCGACGTGGTTTTTATAGAGGGCCACTCTTCGAGCCTTTGACCTAAAGGTCTAATCTACAAGGTAGTGGAACAATGTAAGAAGGTGCAGTTCCATGATAATCGGTGACAAACAATAGCCTCATATGCCATTTTTCCATCAGGACCCTGGAGCCCATGTGCACCATTAGTTTGGAACCAGGGTTTCTCGACTCCCCTAGGTGAATCCTCCGTATCAATCAACTAGGTTAAAGTGCCGGACATTCACTTTCTGTCCTCTCAATTTCGTAAACGACGCCCTTGTGGCGAAAAAGCAGTGAGTAAGACTTTCCTGACAGTGGCTGTATACGCGTGATCATGTGAGAGCATTTCGAGAGGGAGCGGACTCTCCTCACCCTCGACTGTACCATGGCATTTGGGGACTGGATCGACATCGAAACAAAGACCACTAACTGATTGTGTCTAGGTATAACATTTATTCATAGTTCTTTTCCTAGTCGATTGTAAATTTAAGGGGAGGAATTCAATATACAGTTGTGGAGCTTTAATGAAGAAGTTGAACTTTGGCGTCTCGATTTTAGAGGTAAATATATTTCAGAAGTATTGATATTTATCAAAGCCTAAACGACCAGTTTCACAGATTAGAGCCTCATATGGGAGGTATTACATGTAATATATCAGTATTTTGTCATATACTCAGTTTTCTTTTGTTGCATCGTGCTTGTAGTGTAATAAATTTGTCTTAAATAATAAAAATCGGTAGTCACTATTATTCTTTCGCAATTTATATATTTTCTTCCTGTCAAATTTTTCTGATTGCATTTCACGATTTTTCAACTAGAACTAATGCAATAGTTTTACATTGTTACAAAAAAATCTCGCTTTTGCTACATTACGTATTGCTACCTCTTCATATATATTAGTGATTGTTAACGAACATGAACTTATTGTAAGCGATGATGGTACATCCAGCTGACGAGTCCCAAATAGGACAAAGCGCGCGTCCTGGATTCTACTGCTAGCCACTATCCATCTTTACTTACAATGCTTGTGAATTAAGGCTATATCGGGGCAATACGTACAGTATTTATTTATTTAAACACATATATATTGGTACAAAAGGGCACCAGATACATATGCGCCACACAAAATAATGAAAGTAGAAAGAGAAGGGATGAAAAGATAAGGCGGACTGAAATGTACAACCAGAAAACTCAGTTAAGAAAGCTAGAACCACTTTATATAGAAAGTAAAAGAAGGTTACAGCAGGTTCTCCACTGGCTTCTATTCTGAGCCATATCTGATAACGTCTCTAGCCACCATCTCTCGGACCCCAGCCAGGGAATCGTGAAGGACCAACAGCAGCTAGCCCTTTGCAGCTTTCCTTCATGCCACGACACCATGTCATACACTGACCTCCTCTCCGCTTTTTTCAACCAGTCCCAGAGTCGGCAAATAATGCACGACGTGGAAGACTCTGGGACGACATTCGTAAAACATGTCCGAGCCACCGAAGTCGGTGTTTCAAGATGGTGACACCAATTGAATTATCGTCTCTACGCTCAACCACACGATGCCGAACCTCTGCATTACTAACATGGTGTTGCCACTGTATGTAAAGACTTCCCATGTACACCAACACGATTAAAGCACCTGGCATTCGCTTTTCGTCCTCTCAATTTCGTAAACAACACCCCCGCCACTGTAAGAAAGCAGTGAGTAGGACTTCCTTGGCAGAGGCTATATACGTGTGGCCATGTGAGAGCATTTCAAGAAAGAGAGCGGACTTTCCCCACTCTCGATCGTACCAGGTCATTCGGGGGCAAAAGACTCAGAAATTATAAAGAATTTACTTTATTGGCCAGTCAGTAATTTTGTTTCCGGAATCAATCATAAATTGAAGAATAAGTATTTAGAAGGGGATTTGTGGAAGCTTCCTGGTTTTCGATGGTGGTCTAGCTTCAATTGACTCATGATTTCAACTTTGAAAAATACTGAAATCTCCACAAATCCCCTTCTAAATATAATCATATGCTCACTAGTGACTGACTTCAAGATACATATTTTGGAGTTCTAGTGGGAAGCAGTGACCAGTGGAGTTCAACCACGTCTGTTGTGAGATAGGAACTCACTGAAGACAATTGGTGAATGGTTGCTCAACTTCGTGGATCAGTTGAAGTTATGCATTAACACCGTTGGATTCCGGCCGTCTCAGTGGTCTATCGGTTAATTGCTCTGGCGCGAGACTGGTAGGTCTTGGGTTCAAATCTCGCGAGGTGGGATCGTGGGTGCGCACTGCTGAGGAGTCCCATAATAGGACGAAACGGCCGTCCAGTGCTTCCAGGTTTTCCATGGTGGTCTAGCTTCAATTGACTCATGATTTCAACTTTGAAGAATAAGTATTTCTTATCTAAACAGATTTTTGAAATCATAAAAAACAAGAGTGTGTAAAACTATAAGCTATATCTATATGTCTTAATGTGTTAATTTAAATGTCTGAAGAATGCAATGATTTACTAGCTTTGTCAAGATTTATTCCTGAGTCCTTCAGCAATCAATTTTGTGGTACAAGTATTTAAGTCATAGTCAATATAGATTGTAGCACTGAAGTTGCCAAACCAAATTAACACTGAAAAGTGATTCATACAGAAGAGTTTGTAGTAGTAGTGATAGTGTCTGTAACTGAACAGAAATGGGCATAAAAAGTCACTTCACAGGATAAAAGCTATGAAATAATGGTGAATCTGAAGATCTGAGAACAGATAAGGAATGGAAGGACCTGGGTTATTATAATCTATTCTAAACCATTTCACTTAAGAACTTTAGCCATTATTTGAAAGAATTGGAATTTTGGCATTTAGTCTTGCCAATATTTTTAATGCAATCATTTCAACTGTCTTTTTTTATCTAAACAAGACTAATTTTATCTTTGGTTATTAAATCAACTAGGCTACAATGGTTTCAGAAATCGAATATTTTTAAAACTTTCGTTACTAGAGCAGTATATAAGCTCAAATGACAGTCTTCTACTACAAAAAGTCCTCATTTCTCACTACACACTGGGGAAATAAACTTCTACTAGTTTAAATGACTGATTTTTCATCCTTGTTAACAATTGGTTGCACAGGCTTGAGATTCTAATTGATATCACTCGCTAGATTTACCAAGCATATTTCCGGTTATCGATTAGTTCATCTAGATTCCTAGTATGACCCTCATCGATTTACTAATAAATAACAGCCAATATGGTAACGTTTATTGGTCCTCAAGCTCTTCCTAACTCAGTAGCCAATCAAACGACGACAGTAGAAGCATACTAATTCTCTATTTTACTCAACTCACTGGTGACTTAAAACTCAGACAATAATATACCTGGAGTGACTGACTACATAGCACATCGAATAAAAAATCACACTTTGAACACAATCATATTATAAGTGGTAGAGTGTGGAGCGAACAATATGTAGTTTATTAGCAGTGACTAAAGAATAGTCAACCGTATAATGACAGTTAATAGACCAACCGAAAGCATACAATAAGGTGAATATAGAATTGCAGCAATACACTTATCTATTAATTATACAATAAAAGTATAAATGATAGTAATAGTTCGTAAGATTATTCCGAAAGTTCCAACTTTCTTAATATTCGTCCCGTTTTAAAACTTGAGGAGAATGGTGATGTATGTTTGTGGCAGTCTCATAGTTTTAACATGAGTTGCATTGTTGCTAAATTACTGTCCTTTAATCTAGTATTATTTCACTAGTTGAAATCTATTACAGTTTGTAATACGCTCATCACAACCATTTGACTAATCAATAATATGACTGTAGTCACTTAACTATTCAATAGTTTATCTCCTCTAAGACGAAATCCAATTAGATGGATCACAGGAATTTGTAAACATCAAATTTTAATTTATTTCACCCTGGTTAATGCTAGCAACTAAAAGGAAAGACGAGTAATATCTCATAATAAACAATGTATTTCAGTTTATAACTGTACCACTTCCTAATAATATACCGAGTACTTGTGTTTATTAAACTATAATGTAGCTAATCAAACATCTCGTCTACTGGAACACTTTAAACTTTTCTCAAGATGTGCGTTCTTTAAATAAAATTTCGTAGTTGTAACTCGGGTTATACTTTTGCGGATCGTAAAATGTAATGTTGTATCTACTTTTTCTTCTTTTTACCCTTCCTAGTCTTCTTTATACCTTTTCCTGTTTTCTTTTTGCCTTTTTTCGCCCCTCCCTTTTTTAAGGGTTTTGTTTCTGGTTTCTTTGTAAGCGGTACATATTCAACACGTTTTCCAATACACCTTAACTAAAAACCGGTTTGGAAATAATAAAAAACTGTAAGATAAGGATTGACATCATGTAAAACTTTTTCACTTGAGGTGTCGAAAGTAATATAGAGATTTTTTCTTATGTTGTTGTATACTCGGTGACTGTCTTACTATTCATATCTTAAATGTTTCTGACAAGAGTCATTTTTACGAGAATATTTTGTTTCTTTTGGTCTTTGTGCTAGCGACTGATAATATCGCATCACATATTTCCGATCATTTTTACGTAGGGCACCAGTGTATATTAGTCTTACAAATCGCAGTTACACTTTATGGTTACCGATTATAATTAGTACTTTACAGCAGACACACTGAAGTTTGGTTGGAGAATTTCTTTAACACTATACCTTAATATATCTGTCATAGTGTTGCAACTATAAACTTAAGTTGAATTTCTATCTCATTTGACCACTAATATGTTTGCTGAACTCGTAGCTAATGATTTTGCTTATTGTGGTACACAAAAATGTCTGACATTCAACATGAGTCCTTAGTCTAGATGGAAATATTGAGAGAGGTGTAGAAAATGTTCCTGTAAAGTCAGAATACAACAATGCTACTTCATGTCCTCCGTCTTATTTGCTAGTTGAGAGAGTACCTCTGAAGCTAATTGACATCGCAAGTGAATTGTACGGTTAAATTTTACACCACCTAGTTAGTTTCGATTACTTGTCGTTATATTTTTTATGGGAAGAAGTGTATCAATAATAATCACAGATTTGCATTCGCTGTTTAGGTGCTACTATCTTATGTATGAAAATCAATGTATTCGTGTTATCCGTGAAAAAGATCTGGAGTAACTATGCGCTATAAATCTGGAACTAATGACTTATCACCGGATAGATCTTGGCGCTTCAAAAACAGATAAATCCCCAAATCATTGCTAATCCAAATTTATAAAAATTTATTTGTTAGGCAAGAATTGGAATATGTCACTGCGTCACTTGTTTTTACCTCGTGCAAATTTATCTATTTATACTTTCAGCGCATAAACATCAGTTATGTTACTATAAGTTTTAAGACGTACCTCCAAATAAGACCTATTCTTAACTTCTGAATGAGCTGCTTATTAAACCAGTATTATCTAAATGCATGAACAAGATTTTTGACTCCGTTCATCAAGGTTAACTAAATTTCGCCCAACCTTTCCCCTTGTAACCATTACATAAGACACGAGTAAGGCTAGTTTGTGGGTTTTACATCCATATGAAATAAGTTAATAGTAGCTGAGATAAATAGATGTCTCCAAGTAAAGTATTAGAAATTTACCTGATTGCAAACAAAACAGTGATCTTCAGCTTTCATTTTCCCTTGAAAGTCTCCGACCAGACAAACCTTGCAAAATCTTGTTCCACACCACTTGCACATGTATGTCTTAATAATTAATTATCATTCAGTACTTGAAACGATTGTAAGATACTGTGTCGTTTGCCTGACAGCCCCATCTACACATTTAGATGCAGTTTTTTTAATTTAGCTTGCGAACAGAAATTTCTTAAACGTTTTAAGGACGACAGTTGGCACTATAATCACCTGTGTTACAAAGGGTCAAGAATCTAGAGATAACATATGATAGTGGCATTTAGAAAAAATGAAAGGAATGTATGTTCAGTACTCTGGCTATACTTACGTATAATTATGCTCACAACCTAAATAGAGATAAAGTTAATAAATAAACAAGCTTCCGATCTTCCTAAGGGTTTTTCATACTATTGCGTAAAGATCAAACTTAGTTACCGTCAAGGTCGAAGGTACAATACTAGTACATTGGAAAGATGACCACAATATCAAAATTTGGAAATAACTGTATGACGCCAAGTGGAACCATTTCATTTTCACTATTTTGGTAGGGTTGGTAGTCCCAGAATGATAAGGTAGTACTTATATCCAATGTTTTGTATAAATGGTTCTGGAAGCAACACAAGAAGCTCTAGCTTAACATGCTCCCGTATCTAGTATCAGTGCGCAGCGGTTAACAAATCCCCAAAAGCGAATTCGAACACATGATAGAGTTAGGAATCATTCGACTGTCAAACAGCCCATGGGCATCTCCCTTGTATGTGGTCCCTAAGAAAGGCAGCGACGATTGGCGTCCAACTGGTGATTATCAGTGTTTCAATGCAAAAACCATTCCCGATCGTTACCCATTGCCTCGTATTCATTATTTGACGGCCACATTGAAAGGCACAACTTTCTTTTCGAAAGTCGACTTGGTTAAAGCCCACGACTGAATCAACATGGCTACTGACGATGTTCCTAAAACCGCCATCATAACTCTCTTCGAACTCCACGAATTTTCGCGGATGCCTTTTGGTTGGCGAGTCATTGATATAACACAATAACGAGGCCATGGAAGTCAGTATTCAGACTGGAAGATTTGTCATGTTTTACTTGGCAATCCATTGGATATAACAACAAGTAAGGCTTTTTACACTCACCTAACTTGGGATAGTTGAATGTTTATATATGACAAGAAAAATTGAGAATTTGAATGAAATAATGGTGAAGAGCATCTGCTAAAATGAGTGAGATTTTCTGGAAACGAATCACTCGTAAGTATGATTAAAACTTCCAATAAGGCTCTTAAAGTAATGCCACGAAAATTACTCCATGCGTCCGATTTTGACACTGATTTGAATATACAACATATTCTTCCGAAGTAGAGTAAACACTGAAGCTTCAGTTCTATAGCTATGAAACACTTTATCAAAGCCACAAACAGTGAGATTATCTTGGTTGACAACTTTAAAATAAACAATAGTGATATCCGACATTTCTCGAGTAAACGGCACACATAATATCTTTGAAAATTGGCAGTTTGGCACAGTTCATGAGTTAAAAATATCTGGATTGGAACTCGAATAGGATGTCATTAAATTTTTCAAAAAACAAATGAAGCATCGTTCACCATTGTGATCAATAAAAGTCAATCTAAGGGTGGTCGGGAGTAACTTATTCCCAAATTAACTTTGGAGAACCTTTTAGAACAATAAAGTCAGTTATGATTGTTGTTGGCCTCAAAACTAGTCAAAATTTTCCCTAACTACCGGGAATTCAGTTTGGGATCAACAAAACATTGTTGAATTCAAATTAAGGCATTGAACATCAAGGAATCACACCACTTAAGATCAAAACTGTTAGTCTCAATGTATAACGGATGTTCAGGGCTCAACAACTCTTTCATCTGCGACTTCTTTGTGAACTAAGGATCCAAAACTTAATCGAATCAAAGGTAAAAATGAAATTATTCAAAGACTTATTTGAAAATTAGCCTGTTTGTAGAGAAGCAAGTTATCTAAGCTGATTAGTTGCTGCAAGGGATGCGTTGAACGACATATTCAATGGTGATATGGTGAGGATGCATGAACGAGCGAATCCAGCGACAGCATCTCCGGCTAGGTAAATGACGTCAGATTCGATGCCTAAGACATATCGAACCATTTATTTATTTAGTTTTTTGAGAATCATTTATTTATTTTGAGAATTGATTTTCTGCTACATACTAAACAACTTCAATAAGTCCCAACATTTTAGTTTCAGATCGCATCTACAAAGTCATTCTATTTTCAGTATGATCAGTTTTATCAGAACTGCGATCCATTATGAAAATACGCAAAAGTTTCCTGGTAAATAACTGAAGCGAGGTGAGCAGAAAGACAAATGTTTATCCACGAGGACATTCCAAAAAAGTTCACAAGCCCAGAACATATTACTTGTCAGCTGACTACCGACTTGTCCATCGAATCATCAATGAGTGGAATCCATTACCTCAGCACGTGGTTGAGGCTCCATCCGTCGACTCCTTCAAAAGAAAGTTTGATCAGCTGAGAGACCATCATTACCAGAACTAACACAGGCCATCGAGCCTCCTGTACTTTCCAAACTGAAACTGTAAAATGCGACTATGAAAGTCTACAAGATTAAACGAGTGATCTCTCAGTTATGAGGCCATTCTACCAAAATGACAATAAGAAGCGAAGAAATTAACCAGTGAAAATTACCCCATCTTATGGATATAGGATATATTTCATCTAAAATTCCGAACCTCACCGAAGGAACAAAATGGATGAGCTACGTGAAATTAGCAACGCTAATGATGCCCATCTGATAGGAATATCTGAAACTTGGATAACGTCTCAGTTTACGGACCAAGAGTTAGCAATAACTGAAATGTCTTTATCCTGCAACGACAGAAAAACAGGAATGGGGGTGGGGCAGCACTATACATACGGTCATGCCTGGATGCGCACCAACTTCACAACCAAGAGTTTCTCAATCTTGATGAGTCAGCATGGTGCTCAGTAAGATTATCATCAACCTCGAGGTGTCTAGTTGGGGTCATCTACAGGAAGCCCACTGCCGACATCGAATATGGCAAACGTCTGCTGGAAGGATTAACTCGCTCTACGCGTCTCGGATTCTCTCAAATCCTGATTCTAGGGAACTCCTATCTTTCTACAATCAAATTCGTGGAACATACATACATTGGAGGTGACAACTCTACTGAAGCTCTGTTCTTCAACCATATCGGCGACCTGGGATTATTCGAAAATGTGAAGTCGGCAACTCGTTGGAAATACAGTCAGACGCCGTCGCACTTAGACTGGGTATTCACAAACGAAGAATTCCTAGTTGACGACCTCTCAATCCTGGCTCCCCTGGGGAACGGTGATCACGCCGTCTTATCATTCATCTTTGTCAGTAAAACGGAGCTAAGATATCCTACTAGCAACAAGCGCTGGAACTTCAAAAGGTTGAATGTGTTAGCTTTACAGGACTATCTACAACAATAGTCCCAGACATTCGAGATGACCCACATCAACTATACTGACGAAAGCTTCATCTGCACCCCTACAGGACTTTCTGAAGTGGATCTGAGTGCTGACCTGGTGCTCCGTAAACTGCAGCACCTTAGAAAAGACACTTCTCCTGGTCCGGATATGGTTCATTTCGCTGTTTCCAAGGAAGCAGCTTCAATCCTGACAACACCACTTAACGTGATGTTTGCACACTCGCTAAGCATAGGCAAACTACCGGAAATTTGGAAGCTGGAACGTATACAACGTCGAGCCACGAAATCAGTTCGGGGACTCAAATTCAAACCTTATGAAGAGCGCCTCAAATCACTTAACCTTTACCCGTTAGAGTACAGGAGTCTTAGAGGTGATCTTCTTATGACTTACAGTATTCTTAATACTTCTGATCATCCCTTAAACATCTTCTTAAACTTAGTCATAACACTAACCATAGAGGCAACACGCAGAAATTGGAGACCCTACATAGCAGAACAGACTGCAGACACAACTTCTACTCCGTTAGAGTTGTCAAGTGCTGGAATTCGCTGCCGACTGAGCTAGTCCAAGCGACTTCTCAGGAGTCCTTTAAGAGGAAACTTGACTTATTCTTAAGGACTAAGGATAACATATTATTATGATTTACCAAATTCATTTTTTCCCTCTATTATCGTTCATATACCTAGGTTTTTACCTGGAGGTATTGGTGATCCACTGCTACTAGACACGGAAGACCGTTAAGCGAAAGCTTCTTCTATTCCGTCCTCAACCATTTTAACATTAGACACTGAATGAATTTTATTCAAGGCTTATGCTACAAGTGGTAGCTTTGGTCACGGGTTTGTGTGTAATTGTTAAGGTTTCGGTTGTATTGTGATTTATGAGATAGTCCAATCACCCATCAGATAAACAAATTCCACTACATTGACATGAAATTGTCTATCCGTTCTAATACTCAACAGCTTTGTCACGTGCTTGTATAGACCTGTTTGTCTATACAATGTCAATTAATCGATATTTTTGCTCTTTGTGTGGTTTCGATACGGTTCCAGGTATTTGGCATCGATGATTCACAACTAAGAGTGATGCATATCTGAGGACTCGAAAGTTCTTCCTGGCTTTGTAGGGTCAGCCAACCTAAGATTCAGCAGCATATCACGTTTCTCAAGCATTTCCCCGCAGAGCCTCTTTATTGTATTTACTCTTGTTCGACTATCATGGGATTTCCACACTAAGATTCCCCTATGCCTTTTACGAGATTTTAAAGTCACTGCTCTATCCCTATGTAAAGATCCTTATTAAACTATCTGCAGCTATGACATCGAAGATGAACTCTGAGCATGATGTGCTACTTTGCTCCCAAGTTATTACTAGGGAATTTCAAGCTTATTAGCGGGCGTTAACGATTGGTACGAACCGTGTTGTTCCCGTACTAGTAAACTACATAGTTCTACGTGTCTAGGAAGCTTGTCCTAATTAACTCCTAGAAACTTGTATCGGTTTGTTTTGCGAGATATTACATAAACATAAGGGCAGATTGGTGCATGAAATACCTAGGAGGTGGGGATAATGGCATTTTAATATATTTATTCAGTTTCCTTTTACACGAGAATAATTATTTCTGCGAGTCCGAAAACAACTTGTATCCCCGCTTGATAATCCTATGATAAATGTAAAAGCAATAAGTTGAACTTACATAGAAGAGTTTAAATTGCAGACTATATTAGTGTGAGGAGTAGTGTAACGTCGTGTACTATATTACACCTACATAGCTTATTCTAGTTTCTGGACAAGCCAATTCACCTATAACGTTATGAGTCATGTTTTGATCTTGTTAATTATTCGCTTATTGACCTTGACTATATTTTTATATGAGCGTATGTGTATGCACACTTCTTATCCTACCTATCACATGTCTGTCATTCATTTTAGCCTGACTATAAATGTTGATTAATGCTTGCTTATAACGAGTTGGCTTCCCAGCCATCTCCACTCTGCGTCATCTTTCCTTCGCTTGCTTACATTTGCTAATGTGCTCACTGCCTTCTAGCCCATGTTAGTTATCAATAAAAATGTAGTTGCTGCTTCCCTTTGTCTTCTGATATTATACACCGTTCAGATTGTTATAATAACGGTTATCAAGACGATCGATTAACGAAGCACTACACTACATTAGTTCCTAGTTCACTTTAAGAGAAAAAGTGTTCTCCGTTGGTAATTTATGTAGCATTTAAGAGAAGGCTGGTTTATAGGTATTTCGAAGTAGTTAACCACGAAAGGACTGCCTTCCCACCCCAATTCTATTATTCTTCTTTCTAATTTTTCGTTCAAACAAATAGTTTCGGTGCACAAAGTCGTTTATGTACTAGATCCTATGTTGTATATACAGGTTGATCATATTCTGAGACATGTTTCATGACGATATTGTCTAGCCCCTCCAGTGGCCCTGTAATTTCTTTATTCATGTTACATAAAAATCCACGAAATCACTCAAGTCATATATCATTTATTTTTTATTTATTTATGTTATCGTTCGTTCCAGAGTCATTGTCCTTTAAATCCTTTGTAGTATTGTCAAGCCTTGAAATATATGTTTTTCACATGTGATGAAACAATAACACAAGTTTATCTTCGTCATGATGTCGTTTTGTAGCTTTCTTATGGCTTGGCGCTAACAAGTTATAAAAAGCCTCACGTGCGCATCTACTTAAAAATCACACCAAAGCCTGCACGTTTTGCACTCAAAATTTCCTAGTGCACCACCATTAGAACTAGACTCGTCTGTAGGTGTTTGATATAAAGAAAAACTTTCAGTGATCATCCGATCAATGAATGTAGAGTCCGACACATGTGTGCATGGGTTCGAGCTACCACACTATTAGCACAGTAAGGTTGTATTACCAAGCTATATTCTAGAGCAGTAAAAGTAGTAACAGTATTAGTGCTAATAGAAAAGACTATACAGCGATATCTTTAGACCGATGTTTAGATATTATTCAACTGTCTTACCTAAAGCATGTAAAAATGGTTTTCTAATAAATGATAGCTTTTTGCTTACCGTGTTATCTGTTAAATAGTTAATTGATCTTTTTCCCAACTTATATAGGATTATATTATCATCTATCGTAATTTATAAGAATCACACGGTTCCACTTCATCAAACCAAAGTTTTGAATAATTATTCCAAACAAAACAGTAAGCTATCATATAAATGGGTAAGCATTCTTTTAAACGCAATCATTATGATCTCAGGTGGTATATTTAGTCTGTTTTCTCGACTCTTTGGAAGTAAAGAACGGAGAATTCTCATCTTAGGCTTAGATGGAGCCGGAAAAACGACAATTCTCTATAGGTTACAAGTTGGTGAAGTGGTAACAACCATTCCTAGTAAGTCTTTAATCTTCGATAGATTCTTTATAAACAGCACCTGTTATTGGTTATCATATAAGTAATGTACATTTAATAGGATTAAAATACACTTAAATCCCCATAATTGTAATCTTTAGACTCTGTAAGAAAATCTTAGCATAAATTATGACAAAAGTTCTAGTTTTTTATAATTGGAATCTGTCAATTCCAAATTAATCTGAGCTGTAAAAATGATTTATATAAATGTATTTTATGAAAATACTCTTGGTAGCTTAGTACAAACTATGCATAAAAGAGAAAAAAGTATTCTCTTTAGCGTAAAACACTTATTCTCTACCAGTTTAACTCAATATGGGAGTGCTTCTCTGTATATTTAGTTCATTGCTTTCTTATAAAATATGAGTATACTCAGTTAGTTATTAAAACTTTAATATTGCCAAACTAATCAGCAGAAGAGGGTCTTAAATAAAAAACGAGAATATAATTTCAGATGGATCTCCGATGCAGGCATGCGAATTTAATGATTATTAGTTTAATAGATGAATATTTAGTACCACATAACAAGACATTTTTGTATACTTCCGGTCGTATGAAGAGATAATGTATATCTATTACTGTCCCGAGGTCTTAAAGTATGATTATTTTGAAGAAACCACTTGAAGCTTTTGAAACTACCTTCATTTCTGCCTTGTATTTAATCAAAAAACGATTTGTAACAGTGAATCTAAGTTTGGAAACAGGTTTAAAGTTCATGTGGTCGAAAAGTGTATTGCAAACAAACATTCTAATAACGCACCCATCTCCCTGATATCATCCAGAGTATGTAAGTTGATCCGACACCAGTTACACACACCGATATGTGAGATATTTACCGCTATCTATCAGCATAAATTAATTATTATCCCTAGAATTATTCCAAGCTCTCCTATAAATAGTAAAAGTTTAGGCTGGTCTAAATAAGAGTTTCAATCCAAGAACTGAGTCATTGAATATAAATAGCACTGAGTTCTGACTCAAATGTTAAAGTTTCTAGATGCATTTCTAGAGATCATTTGAATTAAATGCTAAAAAGTTCGAAGTATGAATAAAGTAACTGTCCAATATCCCGTCTGTTATTAGTTTTTAGCTCTGTTTTTAGAAGCTATTAGGTAAATTATTGGGTCTGCTCTAACATTTGGGATCAATTATTTTAAATTTTTTTAGTCCTAATGCTAACTGTATATACTCGTGGTTGAAAATAAATGACAGATACTGTCTATTTAAAAAATTTGATAAAGCTTTTCCTGAATAACTAAAATTTGAATAGATACTAAACTAAACAGTAACCAGCGGAGTTCAACCAGGTCTGTTGGGAGATATCAACTCACTGATGACATTGGTCAATGGTTGCTCAATTTCGTGGATCGGTTGAAGTTAGACATTAACACTGTTGGGTGCTGGCTCAGTGGTCTAAAGGTTAAGTGCTCTGGCGCGAAACTGATAGGTCCTGGGTTCGAATCTCGCGAGTGCGGGATCGTGGATGCGCACGGCTAAGGAGTTGCACAATAGAACAAAACGGCTCTCCAGTGCTTCCAGGTTTTCGACGATGGTCTAGCTTCAATTGACTTATGATCTCAACCCTATAAACAGATATTTGTTGCGAAATTATACTATTAGTGCTAAAATTCCTTACTATGACAAAATGTATGGTATTGGATAATACTACTGTTATTATTATCATCGAGATAATCACTAGATATCAGTATAACTCCTTTTTTTAAAACAAAGCCCAGTAAAATTCTTTAGAATTATTGATGTTCATATTCTCTTTTTCGAAATCTTAGCTATTGGATTCAATGTAGAAACGGTTGTTCACAAAAATCTTAAATTTCAAGTATGGGATTTAGGTGGTCAAACTAGTATTCGACCATATTGGCGTTGTTATTATGCGAATACTGATGCTATTATTTATGTAGTGGATAGTATGGATAAAGATCGAGTTGGAATTTCCAAACAAGAATTATTTTCTATGCTTGAGGTAAATTTTCAAATTTTAACTTAATTCATATCTGAACTAATAGATGACTTACAGTTGTAAGTATAGGGCTGTCGTTTAGTTTTATTTCGATCGCAAACCGATCAAGGTTAGAGAGAACTATTGAAAACCTGAGGACACGACCAGGAGTTCAACCGTGTTGGGTGTAAGGAAGTCACCTACCAAATACTATGAAATATGGCCTCCTAATATCGTGAATTGACTGAGGTTAAACTTGTACATTATGATTGATTTATTTAAACATATAAATATTGGTACAAGGAAGCACCAGATATATATGCGCGACACAAATCTCATTTGACTTATGTGAGGGCTGTGATACTGCTCAGGTGCACAAACTGAAGCAGATGGTTTTCTTAGGGGACCACACCCGTAGCCTTTGACCTGAACAACAAGGCAGTGGAGCATCGTGAGCAGATGCAGTCCCATGGTAGCCGGCGACCAACGATTGATTCATTCGCCATTTGTTCCTTCAGGATACTGGAGCCCATGTGCACCATTGGTTTGGAATCAGGGTTTTTCTACTTCCCTAGGTGGACTTCCCGTGTCTATCAACCCGGTTAAAGCACCGGACATTCATTTCCCGACAATATAAATAAGTTTACATGAACTTACTATCTTTCATGCGGTCAGTAATGACATCGTTTCGTTTGATGATTTGTATGAATAATATAACCCAGATGGAAACCATAGACCATTGGTTTAGTACTGACTAAAACTTATCAGCGTAATCTACCTGCAATCCTGTTAAAGATTATAATACATACATTCGATTTACTTTGCCACTATTACTACTAAATGATCAGAATAAAACCCAACTTCATTGTATTGTCTATAGTATCTATTGGATTCTTTTACTAATCGCTTGACCTCCTAATCCCAACCAACACAAAACTTTTATCCTCCATTCGTTTAACATAAAAAAACTTGACTAAATCATCTAATGAACTTTTAAAAGATTATTTAGTAGAATTACATCAACACATAAGGAGGGAGGACTAGACGATAGAACATTAACTTATATCCACAGATTAATGTGTTAATCTTACTTTTGTCTCATATTGTTTCACTCTTTCCTAGGTTAGTATTCTTCACTCGGTTTGACAAAAATAAGTAAAAGAGTGAGGAAGTTGAAAACAACAAATAATCTTCCAAAGAAGGAGCTAGAACGAAGTTAATAAATGTAGAAATACAATTTTGTGTGGAAATTAGAAATTTCTAAGATGAGTTAGTTATATTTCCACTAGCGTCGATTCATTGACAATGAATTATAACCAGTCTAATTGAGTTTCTCTCATATTGTGTCTACATAATCTTTGGGAGTCTTGAGAAATTTGATACTCGGACGCTTGTTACTAACTTTCTAGCTATTTACGTATAACCCCAGAACAGCTGTACATCTCAACTCGAAAAATAGGAAAAGACACGAAATGTAAGAGCTTTGTCTCATAGTTATGCACAAAAAGTCAAGTGCATTTATGGCGTCTTATCACTGTAACCTTTTAGAAACTTCTGGAAACGCCAAATATAGCAACGATGTAAGTAATTATTCAACCAAAACGTGACAACCATCTGGATGTTTCCATGAAACCTCTATTGCGTACTAGACTAAGAGTTCCCAGTTTCATGAGCCTCTGATGACAGATATTTCCAGACATCAAAAAACTCTTTTCAACTAAATATACTTTCATACTTAAGAAATTTTATAACGTTACTTAATTTGTCTCGGTATACAGGAGGAAGAGCTTCGTGGTGCTGTACTGGTAATATTGGCAAATAAACAAGATATATCTGGTTGTATGACTATCAGTGAAGTAGCACAATCACTTGGCTTAGCTGCAATTAAAAATAGACGTTACCAATTATTTAAAACATCTGCATTAAAAGGTGAAGGATTAGAAGAAGCCATGGATTGGTGAGTTTTATTCATTCGATTATAAAATGAATAATCAATTTTACTTTAAATCTATATTCCTTATGGTTACATAGAGTGGTTAGGGTGTTTGACTCTTAACCACAAAGTCATATATTTCAACCTTGCGCCTCACGTACTTGTCTTTGAAGAACTAGTTGGTATCACCAGCCTTCGTACTTAGAGCGTAACTCGAAGCGAATAAAATGTAATTGTACTTGGTAAATAAGTAAACAGGAGATGTATACAGTAAGATATTATTTGGCTGGTGATGAATTGAATGGCCCACCTACTTAAATTGGGTTTTGCGCTAGTTGTCACTTGTCAAGAGCAAGTTAAATTTATAATCTTATCGAAATTAATGCTCTATATAACATTCAAACTTGGATCATTCATTTTACAAGTTGAAGGTGTTACCAATGAACTCTTCAAGTTTCGTTATCTTTCTACATGTGATAATGAGTGAGACTGCGCTCATATTTCAGGACTTGAGTCAGTCAGTCAGCTACAACGTAGGACCAGGCACATATAAGCATCGGTCCAAGTTGCCACACCTCGTTAGCACAAGATGAACACCGGATTCATAGAAGTAGTTAATTTAGTGGTGGTAATATATAAAAGAAAGGTTGTTTAGTAACGAATTCAATCTATATTGGTAGAATACACATATTATATGGAAGTAAAAGAGGTATTTAACAGTATTATTGCTAATTACATACTATCTATTCTATTAAAAATCATATTTTATTTATCCAGGTTGTCGAACACTCTGTGTACACAGAAATGATTTTCTCTATCAAAGTTCTTTTTCATTACACAAAAGAAATAGATTGTGGATTGGGGAGCTCCTGGTTTTTGATTTTACTTTTAACAGGCCCTTTCTTTGTAAATGCCCTTCTTGTCATTTGTTTGAGGTTGACAAAATGTTTCTACTTTTAACTTTTATTTGTTAATCAATGTCTTCCTGTGTTTCCACTGAAATGTACAATTTAACTTGCCTGTGATATATCTATTTCCCACTATAATACATTTTCATCAGTGGATATAATCCATCATAAACTACATTGAAATTGCATACCTACACCTCGCGAGGCCGCGTCGAAGGTATAATGAGGACTAATTTGTATTAACATGTACCATTATGTTTTTTGTGACCTCTGTTATGACTCGTAAGTTGAACGTTTTATTCGGATAACCCCAGGCTAGCACTACTCAGCGACTTGGAAGACCAGAGAGAAGACACGAGTATCAGAGATGCACTTTACTACAAGGTTCAATTATGTACAGAAAAACAGGGGTTTTATAGTAGCTAAAAGACCTTGAGATCCCACAGTAACAGTATGTTAACAGCCAATCAGGACCTTGTTATTTTAGTAGCATAGCTTCTAACTAATCGCTGATTGGTTGGTCTCTTTATGAGCCTCTCTGGAGGCTCTGATAGAGTTTATTGTAAGCCGATCTAACACCTCCCTTTTTTTGAAGATTCGAAAATTAGATTCTGATTTTTTTTTAAAATTATCTGTAAGTTGAAATTCTCCAACATTTCCTCCCCCACGAAATAATGTTGGATCTTCATATCTCCAAAATACAATAAGTATGACATATTTCTCGTATTGAACGCAGAATCTACTAGAAATGAATAGATGATGATGAACGATATTTGATTTTAGGTTATCGGAATTCAGCTTTTCTGAAATATCTCCATCAAATTCATTAAAATTTTCACTAGAGGATATTAGATAACTAGGAGGATCGGCATCTAATAAATTCGCATTAGATTTTTGATCACCATCTGATTCGACCGACTTAGTTTTCTCACCTTTATACGAAATTTCATCAGAATTATGGGCATCATTACGCGAACCCATATTATAGGCTTCTGTCTCCCCATGATTTTGAATCACATTTGGCGCAATTTGGTTAACTGTACTGTTCCAGTTATTTTCTGGACATGCGTTCTTCCAGTTTTCTTGGCCAACATCACGCAAACTGTAGTTCTGTTCTGACTTAAGTTTGTCTTCAGATATGGGCGGACTTAATGGTGTTTCATTTGATTCTGGACTACTGGGGTTGTCTGCGGAACCTTCTTTTTCTTGCTCATCTGATACTGTCACAGTTTCATGTGCATTAGGCAAGATATTGTCTTGCTCTGAACCGGCCAACTTACCAATTTTGCATTTTCCGTCAGATATAAAGGGAATTGAACCCTCAACTTTGCGTTCTTCTGAGACGGCCATTTCCGCACCATTATCTGCATTATAAATAAATTCTTTATTTCCTGAGACGTTTTGTTTAGTGAAAAATTTGTCCAAAAATGTTTCAAATAGTTTCTGCTGGAAGCTTAACATCTGCTGATGCTCTAATATTATCTGCAACTGTTCCAGAGAAATCGTCATTTTCTTTACTGCTAATAATAATAATAACTCCAAAAAAACCGCCGGCAATTATTACAGCTTATTTAATTCAAAAATACGTTACCGACTGCTGTATTTTTTTCCAGAATCCCCGTCGCCAATCGTTATGACTCGTAAGTTGAACGTTTTATTCGGATAACCCCAGGCTAGCACTACTCAGCGACTTGGAAGACCAGAGAGAAGACACGAGTATCAGAGATGCACTTTACTACAAGGTTCAATTATGTACAGAAAAACAGGGGTTTTATAGTAGCTAAAAGACCTTGAGATCCCACAATAACAGTATGTTAACAGCCAATCAGGACCTTGTTATTTTAGTAGCATAGCTTCTAACTAATCGCTGATTGGTTGGTCTCTTTATGAGCCTCTCTGGAGGCTCTGATAGAGTTTATTGTAAGCCGATCTAACAACCTCTTAAAAGAATTTTTTAGTCTCAGGAATGACTTGTAAAACTCTGCGACCCAATTGAAATGAATGACGCAACGACGCTAGGGAATCAAATAACTCTACACCATGTAAAAAAAAGGTAACAGATGACACTGCGAACAGAATTCAACTGACTTATACCGTTATAGAATACAGCTTCTGAAGACAAATATATAACACGGTCATCCCTTTGTCCCAGCAGTTTTTCTCTTCTCGCAAACATTATATCATCATGAGAAATAAGTCGAACTTCTCCCCATGCCTCGGTGGCAATTCCGTACGAATGATTGCATTACCTTCAGTCTACTACAACAGGCATGATTAGCACTGGAGATATATGTGTGTAATTTATTTGCTTCAATCGATCTACAGCGAAGTTCACTGCTTAGAATGGAATAAATGAACTCATATTACACATAACTAGGTCAAATTATCCGACACTTCTTTAAGTTCTAGTCCACGTCTACATTTTAATTCCCAGACTCTGAGTTCACGATAATGATTATAGTGTATTTTTCATTTAGCCATAGAATCAATGTTTATTCAATTATTGGAGTGTTACAGTCTACTATTTGGATTTAAGAGCAAAAAACTAAGAAGTTGAAAAGATACTACAGATTCAAAATATTACTCAACATCGTTGCCACTTATAAGCATTCGACGACCGCGAAATACATGGGGAACGATCTTTTTACGATAACTGCAAATAACCTAGTCTTCTTTTGAATAATTAGTCAGAGACATGTCGCCAAGTAGAGCGGGTAGAATGACGGAAAAATCGATTGATAAGAACGTTTCGCCAGGTTAGTATCTCATAATTACATAAAAACACTAGATTCAAACGAGACAGATGTTCCTAGTTACCAACGGTGGTATGTCAGTCAGTCAGCTACAACGTAGGACCAGGCACATATATGCATCGGTCCAAGTTGCCATACCTCGTTAGCACAACAAGACGAACAGCGGATTCATAGAAGTAATTAATTTAGTGGTGGTAGTATATCAAGAAAGGTTGTATATAAGGATATAGTACAGGAAGGGAGATATGAAGCAATTTTAGTCTCAAGGTTTAAGGGAAGATAAAGAGTGTATACAGCTACGCCATTGTGATCGATCCTGAGCCATGTCACACAGAGTATCCAACCATTGGTTACGATAGTCACGCGGACCCCAACCAGGTAGTCTGCATCTGCCAACATGGCTCAGATTAGAAGTTAGTGACTTCAAACACTGATGTTGTGTTTTGGCCGCCCCTAACTCTCTTCCAACCATCCCCAACACTAATCATAGCGCGTCGTGGTAATCGGTGTACAGGCATACGTAACACGTGGCTCAACCATATCAGTCGATGACGACTCATGACCTCATCAACTGATTTACCATCATTCCCTGATACCCTGTACCTAACCTAAATATTACTTGCCCGGTGATTCCAGCAGATGTGAGCAATATTTCTAAGACATCTGTGGTCAAATACTAGTAACCTACGAGTATCTTCTACTCTTAATGGCCACGTTTCACAGCCATAAAGTAGAACAGAGCGAACTGCTGCGCAGTATACTCGTCCCTTAATTGATAGACGGATATCTCGTCTTCGCCATAGGTGACGTAAGTTGGCAAAAGCCAAACGAACTTTTTGAATCCGTGCTGAGATTTAGTCAGACACCAACCCATTAGGGCTGATCAGACTTCCAAGATAAGTGAAGTTGTTGGCGCGTTCGACTATGTCATCTGCGTATTCTAAGTCGCTTAGTGGTCCCCCTGGTAGGAGATCAATTCCAGTAAATTCGGTCGACGAGTGTTATTTCCAGCAACAGGTCTATAATGAAGTTAAACAAAAATGGGGATAGTGGACAGCCTTGACGGACAACACATGAGGTTGTAAAATCATATGACAGTTCGCCATAAGCTCTCATTCGACTAATAGTGTTCGAGTTAAGAGCCTTCACAAGGTTTATGTACTTCTGAGGTACACCTTTCAATGACAGACACTGCCACAGAACCTCTCGGTCTACAGAGTCAAATGCTGCTTTCAAGTCAAGAAAAACTATCATTGTCGGACGGTGGTGTTAAGAGTTCATATACATTTACGAATACATAAAATGGCTTTGTCATAAAGACGCTGTAGGGACCTATAACACGGACTATGTGAAGTGCGGTTTAACAGATAGATCCACCAAACCATCATAACCTGAAACATTTGCAGACCAAATGTTCGTAGATCCAGGACAGTAAAATGCAAAGAAAGCAGGAAGAGACATAGAGTACGTAAGAACAACAATGATGAAATAAAATATGGGAGGACACCCCGCTGAATAAAACCATCAGAAGAGTCATGGTCAAAATATTAAGGTGGGCAAGAACAAACGCGTCCGCCTTCTCCAAATGAATTTCGAGTTTTCCTACTGTCCTCATTAATATATACTGTTTATCTCAAGTCAGCGGATCCGCAGCTCCCAGTAGGGTTGTGGCGACAGTCCTTGACCTCATAGACTAATAGCATATCTTGGTCTGGGGATTCATAACATTCAAATCTACTCGTACGTTAAGATTAGCACCTGCATTAGCCTGTGAACAGAATAGACATAAACGAACCACCTGGACGGATGTTACTTCACAAACTAACGATTACCGAGTGTCTTACGTTCCATACCAGTCAGTAACAATTACAGAAGGATCACACTAACTTAGGCCTATATTGCCACATCACTATGCTATAGTGAGGGATAAGACTTTTCATAATAAGGGAGTCGCGGCAGTAATACGAATAGGTTTCTAGCAAATGGAACTAGTGAGAAGGACGTCTGAGGCCACGTAGGATACAAAATTGTGGTGGCAGTTGGAAATGAAACACATCGTCACGACTACACCTGATTGTGACCCTGCTGGTTAAGGCTACTGTATGGACACTACAGCATCACCTACTTAGTAGTTCTTCTATAGGCCTCCAGAGTTTGGTTGACACTCACGACCGAATACTTCCAAATAATTACAACGGGATATTAGTCACTGTTTAGTGAGTTCTTAGTAGTGGGTAAAGCACTGTGTTGAGTGCGCAATCTAAATCGCCATTTTGGCTCCTAACCAGGCTTTCAAGGATTTGAAAGTTTCATGTTGGTGATTCACGAACATTGTGAAGGCCCTTATCATGAACATTCTACTGTAATCTTTCGAGTTCTTGCGCAAAATTAAACCGTTAGACACCTTTCAAAAACATTTTAAAATTAATAATCTTCAAGATTTGATAAACTAAACATTTGTAAACTGTTCATTGATGATGAGGAGGAGCAAAAGTAACCACTTGTGCTAAGAAAAATGTCTGAATATCATATCAATGGTCGGAAAACACGTAAAAATGAGGTAGTTGTTCCGAGTTCATGGAGAAAAATCATTGTGCCATTAAGACATCGTGTCATTTAGTTGTTTCTCTGAGTGGGTCTACTTGAATAGATACTGAGGGTACGTCCTTATTTCTTTCCCAGTTTGAGTCCCATGCAGATGTTATATATGTCGAACAACCATAAGAACAAAACATATTATTGATCACTGGGATAGGGAATAAACCAGTATTTTAATAAACAACGAAATGGTATCCATGTTTTTCATCACAAGAAATCCAACAACTAACGCAGTAAGCAAGAATATTGCGTACCAAAAGAAACCACGTTTGTGGTTGTCAATAACTTCGTACACAGTTTCTTGAGGTTCAGAAAACCTGACACGATTTCTCGAACGAACATTTGTATCTTTAGCTGCATCAGACGTATCGCTATTATCTGAAGAATCTGGATCTTGAACTCTTATATGATGTTAAAGTTTCTGTTAGACACTTACGGCTCTTCAATCACCAGAGAAGCTGGAAAACGTACAGCGTCATTAATGGTAAGAAATAGGACATACGATCAATTAAAAGTGCCAGCTTTTTGCGCAATATTCTCCTAGTCACATCATCTTTGTGAACTTAAGACGTAGCAATAGTGCGACAAACCTTGGATAGGTGGTGGGAAATATCCCTTTTCTGATAACTCAGCTCTTAACTCGTCATCTGTGAGATATTGTATTCGATCCATTTCCTAAAGTTGATAGATGCATAACGCATGAGATAAACAACCTTGCGACGTCAGATGACCTAGTAAACTAAAACAATATTGAATACTAATAACGGGTACATAACATGAAGTGCTTCCTTATGTTAAAATATATATGTATAAGGAATGGTCCGTAGAAAATTGGTTAAAGCTTAATCTGTCAGAATGTTACGTCATGGACATTTTGCCTCATTTGACATAGAGCACTTACAGCATTCATGGAAATTCGCTCTTGATTGCCTCCTCAGAGAGTGATCTTGGGCTCTTAACCGAAGTGAGCTTAGGTACCAGCTCAAACTACATGTGGGATGCAACCAAGTCAAACACAACTGTACTGTATGCGTAGACAACTTAGCACAACCACCTCTGAGTTGTTACTAGCACTGTTTCAAACGTACTCAAACCCTCACCTTAAAGTCCACAATGTCTTTGTGCCCAATCTTTTTAAGAGAGACGTAAGTCCCTTAGACCAAGTGCAGAGAGGAGCAACCAAGTGGGTGATGGGTCTGAAACACAAATCTTACGATGACAGACTCCAACACCTATGATTATTCTCGATGAGCTACAGGATATTAAACCGTGTTCTGATATTGTGATACCAACCACTAAGTGAGTCAAACCACCTCAGCACGAGCACATTGCCAGGACGTCTTCGCCACGGCCCTCAAGGTAAACCTCGAAAGGCAACGCTTTCGTCTGCAACCCATTTACGAACGAGGATCCTTAAATCTTTTGAAATAAAAGTCATGAATAGAGTTTGAAGACTGATTTGGAAGGTCGTCTATATGCCGAAAAACATGTTACCCAAGCAAACTAATCGTCTCAAGGGACATCTAAGACGGCGTACCCAGTGGCGATCTGATGTGAACGCTTGACCAAGAGATATCAGAAAAGGTATTCTCAGCATACAAACGAGGTGAGAATCAATCTCAAAGACTAACCGAGGTATTTATTTTGTGGACCAGTTTACCGCCAAAACCTCAGACGGTACAGTTTCTGCTATAAAGTCGAAAATTTCTATGTGAAAAAACAGCACACTGAAAAGCGGAAGAAACAATCATTTAATGCATACTTAACGAATACCTTATCTGGGAGGCAATTGGGATGTGATTTTTTTATAACATTAGAACAAATTGATTAGTCCGTGGACGAGAGTTGAAAATAGTTGAACATGGAACAATTTTTAACCTTCATATTTTTCACTAACAACCAGTTGTTATTGTGTATCCAATTCCGTGAACTATTGAACAAAATTAGTTTCTTAATATGGCGCAGTTAATACATTGCTACTGTGAGGGATCTTAATATATCTCCGATATCTTTCTTATGAGTCAGCTTATTTTTCCAGGCTAATTTCTTGTTATTTATATACGGTTCTAGATATTTGATGATGTCCAATGGGTTGTAACTTCATCTGTAGCTCTCCTAGGGCTGCTAACGGTCCCAAACCTGGGCAAGGAAGGAGATTCGGGCATAGGATCGACCTCTACATCCAGTTGAGAAAAACGTACTAAAAGAACGCTAACCAGAATAGACAATTTAAACCGTTTGAGCTTTATCCTCCCAGCTGGGAGGAGAATTGTGACGTCTCATGATGAAAGCCAAGATTCTTTGGAAGTCATGAGACCGATGCCCCTTCTTATGACCAAAGCAACGATCAACATTGGTATGTGGAATGTACGGACAACGCAGGGAGCTGGAATGACCTGTCAAAGAGCAACGGAAATTAGGATATACAACTTGGCGGTTCTTGGAATCAGCGAAACCCATTTTACCCAGGCTGGATAGCAAACGTTAGGTACGAGAAAGATGCTGCTCAACTCTGATCACGAGGAGGAAAATACTCCGCACGGTCAGGGAGTTGCTGTGATGCTGTTCAAAGAAGCACGTGAAGCACTTATAGAATAGGAATTTCATGGACCCAGTATCATCAACTCATTATTCAAAACAAAGAATGAAGAAATTACAATGAATATTACCCAATGTTGTGCACCCATCAATGATAGCAATGACGACGATTAAAATCAGTTCTACTAGAGGCTGCAATCGATCATAGTGAAGTGCCCAGAAAAGGACCTGTCAATCCTGATGGGAGACCTAAACGCCAAATTCGGAATGGACAACAACGGTTATGAAGATATCGTGGGACGACATGGACTGGGAAAATGGAATGAGAATGGTGAGAAATTTACAGATCCATGTACATTCGACAAACTGGTTATAGACGGTGAAGTATTCCTACATAAACGCATACACAATTTTATATGGACCCCACCAGATCAGATATTCGCGGATTATATACAAGTAGATCATACCGCATCGCACCATAAACTGAGAAATATTTATTACATAAGATCAAATCCGAAGTGGTCATGAGTATAGGAGATTATAACTAGTAGATTGGCGAACATTCAAAAGCAACAAATCGAATAATGGTGGCTTGCTTGAATATCTGGACTACCTGTTCGTGCCACCTAGATGTTTCAACAAATTATCTGTTTCCTCGTTTGCTTCAACAGATCATTATGTAAATTAATTTCATAACCTATTCAGGTACGTTTGTGAAACGTTTACGATCTTTTGCGATACAAGTTACAAAAATGTACACTCAGAGACATCGTGGTTACTGGTAACATGGATTGAAAAGAATGAACATCATGCAGATGTCGATTTCTGAAGTGTTAACATCTAACTAGCGGACACTTGACATCATCGTCAATGTCGATCAAGAAACAAGAAACGGAAACTCGCTGAAGCACTTTGAGATGACAATTCTATTTTGTACCAAACATATAATATTGAATAAAGTTAATATTAATAATAATAAGTCAAATGAAAAGCTTACGATAATAGTAATATGCACATGTATGGCCTAGTTATTCAATAATTATACGAAAGGTATATACATAATGATAGCACATATATAATTCCTGAAAGTTATCGTCCGTTTATTCTTACTTCGGACACAACACTTTCGAATTCAACTGCTTAGTTCTTCGACGTTAATCTGGTGGACTACATCCCTGTTTAGCCACAAGGTTAGTGGAACCATTTGATAAGCATATTGCCTACTTGGATAAGACTTCAATTGCTCTAGCTGCACACATACCTGGGAAGGGATATATTTTAAGTGTGGGTAAATGTCTGTCGATGATTTGCTACAAGGGTAAGATGGGCTTATAACTTTTCATTTTAGCAAGTACACAATATGTGAAGATTTGAAAAACCTGAGTGAAGGCCTATGCATTCTAAAGCATATACGTTGCATAAATGAAAACCTTGTGACAGCATTTGTCCGAGTATACACTATGTGCACACCTCAAATACATATTTCAAATCTAACTACGCATCCTGTAGCAAACATATGGGAGTAGGTTCGCTCGTGTATCCTGCAGAAGCAAACGCTAAATTCCCTATACGAGTATTGAGAAGTGCTTGACCGAGAAGTTATAGCCATGATATCAGTAGCTGACAATTTCGCACTTCGTTACAGATTCATCGAAAACTTATACTGACCACACTGCTGCTACGACGTTCAATGAAACGTGTTCAGGGGTGATTCAGAAAGTCAGTTCGAAGAATAAAGATTACAGTTTGTAGAGATCGACCTAAGTCACCGATTATTTATACATTGAAGCATAAGTGGCTATGATGTGACCTTTGATGGTTAATGGCGTTCTCTATACTCGTGTGTATCCTCTGAAACACATTCTTTATCTTAGCTCTAACAAAAATCCTGGTAGTAATGTCCGACGACTAGAGGTAAATGACAGAAACTAAATTGTACACACGACTCCAACTGTTCACGAGTAGTCAACTCCTGGAATTCGTTACCAACTGACATAGTTCAACCAAATTCCTAGAAATCTTCAAGGGACAAACTTGACATGAAGGAACTAAAGTCGTCGTATTTATCATCAATGCATTCTGACCACTAATTCCACCCTCCTTCCAATGAACTTATCATAGATTATAGCGATTCATCATCAATGATAGTCCGATAGACACTAGACAAATCAGTGGAGAAGACGTGAAAGAAAACACGGAAATTCAGACCTAAAGTGAATGCAGTATTGAAATGAGATAATAATTCTTCGAAAAGAACTAACAGCTCTATTCTAAATTCAGTGTGATTAATCAAAGTCTATTCTCTGTAGGATTTGGATACGCGTATGTGAATTTGTAGTGCATCCACGTATTAATGTTTAATACCCGTAAACCATCAATCATTTTCTTGCCCATTTATTGAGCGCATGTTACACATACTAGCATATTCTACGATGGTTGACACAAAATGAGGCTCGACCTTTCACTTTTGTCCTCTGTCTTCTATCCTGACTCACTTTCAACGAATACAATACATGTTAGCTTCGTCAGGAAATTTCCCAGTTAGTATTTTTAATTTTCGAATGGTTCTTGGTCTTAAGAAGCACCATCACAAGGAATGGATCACTGTTCTTACACTTGATATGATTGAAGAAAGGATGAACAAGAAGGCTGCAATCAATACCAGTCGGACAAGAAGCCTTTTCCACCGTCATTGCTAAATCTTCCACATATTTACGATTGTCGGTTCTGATGTTCTTCTTCACTTGCTTGTTTGCTTCTATGTATTCAGATTGTGCCTTGGCTTTCTCTGTTCTTGTCCGACTGGTATTGATTGCAGCCTTCTTGTTCCTCCTTTCTTCAATCATATCAAGTGTAAGAACAGTGATCCATTCCTTGTGATGGTGTTTCTTGTGGCCCAGAACCTCCTGACATTTTGAAATGGTTGCCTCTTTTATCCCTTTCCAATCGCTCTCGATAGTAGTTCCCTCCCCATTGAGTAGACCATGAAAGGCCTGGAGCTTATTGTCGAGGTCTGTGTTGAATTTGTTGAGTTTGTCAGTATGTCGAAGAAAAGCCGAATTTAATTTTTGTGATGTTGTCCGCGCCGTTGTCCAGTGCTTCTTAAGTTTTAATATCATCTTGGCGACCAGCAAGTGATGATCTGACGCTGTATCAGCTCCACTCCTGGTTCTCACATTATCCATCGTCCTCCTGAACTTTTTGTTGATGCAAATATGGTCAATTCGGTTCCGCGTAGTGTGATCCGGTAAAATCCATGTGTTTTTGTGAATGCTTTTGTGTGGTAATATAGTTCCGCCTATGACCACTTTATTGAAAGCACATAGGTTTGTGGACCTCTCACCGTATTTTTCCTTTCTTCCAGTCCATGTCGTCTCATGATGCCTTCATATCCGGTGTTGTCCGTTCTAAACTTAGCATTTAAACCTCCTATCAGAATGGTCAGGTCCTTTGTTGGACACTTCTCGACGATCGAATGCAGCCTATTATAGCATTGGTCTTTAACGTCTTCATTGTATCCGTTGTTAGGCGCATTGCATTAGATGATGTTCATTGAAATGCTCTCTTTCTTTGTTTTGAAGGAGGCTTTGATGATCCTTGGTCAATGAGATTGACATCCTATAAGTGCATTTTGTGTTTGTTTGGACAGCATCAATGCAACTCCCTGTGTATGTGGAGCATTTTTTCTTCTTCATAAACGGTGTATAACAGAAACTCCCCTGAAGCTGCTCGTTGTTGTTCAATGTGTTTCACTGCTCCCAAACACCCCCAGGTTGTACTTTCTCATTTTTGCGGCAATTTGGAAGACTCTTCTGGTCTCCCACAATGTCCGGACGTTCCATGTACCTATAAAAATTGGTCTTTCTGGAGAAATTATGCATAAAAACTAGGCAGTATATTATCTAACAAATCATTTTTATCTACAGCTTTTGGAATAATCAAATAGTGTTCGAACTTGGACATACTGACTAAATTAAGCCTACTTGCTGTCGGATACACGTATTTACCACTATTTATGATTGAATCGATTCTTTTGTAAATTAAAGACCAAAAGTCACGTATTATCACAGATCATGAAAATAACGCAAGATACTTTAAACTTACATAATTTACACCAGCGGTGGGTAAGGTTCAATAACCTAGTAAGCACGCAATTTATCATCTTCAAAATTCTGAAGCTGATAATATCAGCGGTTGTATAGAGTATCTTACTACTGTTAAATATTCCCCTCTTCAAAAACATAAACAACCCTACCAAACAAGAAATCTAAGTATCCATAACTTGGTAAACCAGCTATTTAAAAAAATAGTCTGACACAAACAACCACCTCTTAGAACTTTAAATATGGAAAAGTCAACAGGACCGGATTAATTACACCCCGAAATCTCGGGACATATTGCACAATATATCACAGCACCACCGAATGTGATATTCAATATTTCACTTGACCAAGGTGTGTTACCCACGAACTGGAAGGACACAATCGTCACTCCCATACAAATAACAGGAACAATACAACTTCCACCGAACTAAAGACCTCTCAGTAGACTCACCAGTTTCTTAGTTAAACTACTGGAAAGAATAGTCAAAAAGACCATAATGACATCTGTGGAAACCAACAACTTGTTAAACAGTGAACAACATGTTTTCAGAAAAGGCTTATCTTGCACAACAAACCTCCTTGTAGCAAGAGAGCATTGGATAAAGGCCGTAGAAAACGGAAAAATCAGTAGATGTTGTTCACATAGACTTCACCAAAGCATTTGACAAGGTGCCAACTAATTGACCGCTATTGAAGCCAAGAAACCTTAGTATTGCCGGACCTCTCCTAAAATAGCTTAAGGATTTCCTAGTAGGTTGCAGACAGAAAGTAAGAATAAATTCGAAGTACTCCACTTGAAGACCAGTACTTAGTGGGGTATCTCAAGGTTCTGTCCTATGTCCTTTACTTTTCATGTTGTATGTATATGATCTCCAAAGTATAATAGAGTCCCCAATGTTAAAGTCTGGCGAGAAATAGCGGCAGATGCAGATACATACGCACCTCAGCCAGACGTTAATATTGTGATTAACTGATCTAGAGAGTGGTTGATGCCTATCAACGCGGCAAAGTGTGTCTACATGCACTTCGGGGACACAAAAGTAGATAGGTACAACATAGAGAAAGTGCCTGTACCCGTTGTCCCGTCTCACAAGGATTTTGGGGTCACAGTCAGTCATGATTTTAAGACCACGGTCTATTGCCAGGAGGTCGCAGCTAAGGGGTTTAGAACCCTATGGGCTTTGAGACGGACATTCATCAAGTTAGATACTACCATGTTCACTACAGTATACACAACCTTAGTGAGAACTAAGCTTGAGAATTGAGTTCAGGCTGCGAGCCCTTGTTTAAAAGGTGACTCAGATATCTTGGAAAAAGTACAGAGGGCAGCTACTCGTGCAATTCTACAATCCCAGAGCTGACCATACAAAGAGTGGCTTGAAAAGCTAGACCTCTTTATTCTGTTCTATCACAGATTAAGAGTGATTTGATTTTGATGTATAGAATACCAAGAAATGAATTCAGACCCAATCTATCCTCTCTTTTTCTTCTTACTAGATCGAACATCTCAGAGAACATAGCAGGCGATTAGAAAAGCCAAGAAGGAATAAAATACCAGTGGCATACAGGTTTTCACACCGAATCATCAATTCTTGGGACCTATTACCAGAATCAGTGGTGTCTGTACCTTCGATTAACTCATTCAAGAGAAGACTGGACACTCACAGAAACATGCTAGAAAAGAAATAACATAGGCCATAGGCCTTCTGTCCTTACTACACAACTCTACGTGTAGTGTTACAACTACTTGTCCCGTTGACAATGAGAAACCAGCCATAGGACCCTTACACGTGACAGAGGATATTGTTCTTCCTTTGATAACTAACCTGAAACCTTGTAAGATACCGGGCCCCGATGGGTTACACCCACGTTTGCTGTCGTCGCTTGCGGACATTATCTCAAGACCGCTCACGATGCTCTTCAACATGTCCCTTTCACAGGCTCAACTACCTAGAGACTGGAAAGACGCCATAGTTAGTCCTATATTTAAGGATGGTCAGAGACGGATAGTATCTAACTACCGGCCTGTTAGCCTGACCAGTATAGTAGTTAAGTTACTTGAAAAATTAATTCGGGCTAAGCTACTGAGCCACATGGATTCGTACAATCTGTTAACTCCCGAGCAACATGGGTTTCGTAACAAGCATTCATGCTTGACTAACTTACTCATTGCGAGAGAGGATTGGACAGCTGCCCTAGACAACGGCCAGTCTGTCGACGTGATATTCATAGATTTTAGCAAAGCGTTTGATAAGGTTTTACACCTAGGTCTTATGCAAAAGCTCTCGAGCTTTGGTATAACAGGTGCTATACAGGAATGGATAGGAAGCTTCTTATGTGACCGCAGACAGAGAGTGAGAGTCAATGGAACTCTATCCGAATGGAAACCGGTCAAAAGTGGTGTACCCCAAGGCACCATCTTGGGCCCTTTACTTTTCCTTCTGTATATTAATGAACTACCTTTATTACTTAAGTCGTCGACGTTATTGTTTGCGGATGATGTTAAAATCTGGAGAACAATAAGAAATGAGACTGATCGTTGTTATCTACAAGCAGATTTAGACGAATTAGTTAGGTGGGCTGATGATTGGGGCCTGGAAGTTAATTCCAGGAAGAGCGTGTTCATGCACATCGGGCACGATATTAGTTACCACTATACCATTAATGGTACATCTCTACCACGCGTTCATGCGCATAATGACTTAGGAGTAATTATAAGTCACGACTTAAAAACTACTACGCACTGCAATGCGGTTGCTTCCAAAGGCTATCGAGCGCTATGGTTGCTTCGCAGAGCATTCAAATGCTTTGACGAGGATATGTTTCGAATTTTATATCCCACCTATGTAAGGCCACACTTAGAATACTGTATCCAAGCAGCTAGCCCTTGTCTGATAAAGGATACTAAATCGCTTGAGCGTGTCCAGCGTGTAGGGACAAAATTAGTAAAGGGTCTTTCCAAACTCCCTTACGATGAGCGTTTAAAACGTCTAAATCTTTTCCCCTTATCTTATCGTAGGACGCGAGGTGACCTTATACTGGCATTTCGTATCTTTAATTATGATCTGGGTGTTAATATGTCTTACCTTTTTGCTCCCTCCAGCACTAATAATCTCCGGGGTCATAGCAAGAAGGCTCTGAAACCGCGATCTAATAAACTAAAGGTGGGGTCCCGTTTTTCTCATCGAGTGGTCAATGACTGGAACGCTTTACCAGAACAAGTGGTATCAGCACCATCAGTGAACATTTTCAAAAAGAAGCTGGACCTTCACTGGAAGGAAATCTGTCAGGATTAACACAGGTTCATCAACCTACTATCCTTATTACTGAAGACTGAAGACTGAAGACTGTAAATAATGTATGGTTCCCGTTCAAATCAAACGTTACTTGACCGAACTAAAATATCAACTAGCTGGGTTGTATCATATCAACACTAATGTATTCAGGTCAGAGATAGTTGTACATAATAACTGAAATAACCAGCTTGGGGTATAGTTTTTATTTTGATCAATGTTTCTTTTTTTTCTGTTCCTCAGTGATATTAGAATTTTACTGATGTGTCTGAATCTATACGTTTGCATCCATTTACAAGGAGAGGTTTTATTTTCTTACTTGATTAGATAACTGATCCATGTATTTATTATAACCCAGTTTTTTCCAAAAGTCCTATTCTGTTAACCCAACCGGCTTTAAGTTATGTCACCTAACTACTGGTGACGATTATCACGTAGATCCCAATTAGGAAGTTTTCTCTCCGTATGGCTCAAACCAACAATAAATTAATTCATATGTTGGTCGCCTTTAGCCTACCTTTAACCTACTATATCAGCCAGAATATGACATCCGGGAAGACGGTAACCGGGAATCCGGAACACATAATTGAACCTTCCTAATCAATACAGATCTACAGAATCGTCATTTGACTTGCCATTCCTACCTAAAACCTTATGTTTAACACCTTAATCACATGATTAGGAATTCTGTCAGTAATGTCTTGAAAATATGATGAGATACCTACAAGTTCTTTTCTTTCTAGTGATGGACAGTTACACAAAGACTACCTTCTCTAAGTCAAAGTCATTTGCATGTTAGCTACTGGATGATGCTCACGAAACATGTACAAACCATTTGAGCCAGTGTTTCAAAATAATGTCACCAATCAAGCAACCGAAATTCACGGAAATATGTCACTGAAGTTGGTTTTTTAAGCCAACAGCACTTTCAGTCTTCAGTAATAAGGACAGTAGGTTGATGAACCTGTGTTAATCCTGACAGATTTCCTTCCAGTGAAGGTCCAGCTTCTTTTTGAAAATGTTCACTGATGGTGCTGATACCACTTGTTCTGGTAAAGCGTTCCAGTCATTGACCACTCGATGAGAAAAACGGGACCCCACCTTTAGTTTATTAGATCGCGGTTTCAGAGCCTTCTTGCTATGACCCCGGAGATTATTAGTGCTGGAGGGAGCAAAAAGGTAAGACATATTAACACCCAGATCATAATTAAAGATACGAAATGCCAGTATAAGGTCACCTCGCGTCCTACGATAAGATAAGGGGAAAAGATTTAGACGTTTTAAACGCTCATCGTAAGGGAGTTTGGAAAGACCCTTTACTAATTTTGTCCCTACACGCTGGACACGCTCAAGCGATTTAGTATCCTTTATCAGACAAGGGCTAGCTGCTTGGATACAGTATTCTAAGTGTGGCCTTACATAGGTGGGATATAAAATTCGAAACATATCCTCGTCAAAGCATTTGAATGCTCTGCGAAGCAACCATAGCGCTCGATAGCCTTTGGAAGCAACCGCATTGCAGTGCGTAGTAGTTTTTAAGTCGTGACTTATAATTACTCCTAAGTCATTATGCGCATGAACGCGTGGTAGAGATGTACCATTAATGGTATAGTGGTAACTAATATCGTGCCCGATGTGCATGAACACGCTCTTCCTGGAATTAACTTCCAGGCCCCAATCATCAGCCCACCTAACTAATTCGTCTAAATCTGCTTGTAGATAACAACGATCAGTCTCATTTCTTATTGTTCTCCAGATTTTAACATCATCCGCAAACAATAACGTCGACGACTTAAGTAATAAAGGTAGTTCATTAATATACAGAAGGAAAAGTAAAGGGCCCAAGATGGTGCCTTGGGGTACACCACTTTTGACCGGTTTCCATTCGGATAGAGTTCCATTGACTCTCACTCTCTGTCTGCGGTCACATAAGAAGCTTCCTATCCATTCCTGTATAGCACCTGTTATACCAAAGCTCGAGAGCTTTTGCATAAGACCTAGGTGTAAAACCTTATCAAACGCTTTGCTAAAATCTATGAATATCACGTCGACAGACTGGCCGTTGTCTAGGGCAGCTGTCCAATCCTCTCTCGCAATGAGTAAGTTAGTCAAGCATGAATGCTTGTTACGAAACCCATGTTGCTCGGGAGTTAACAGATTGTACGAATCCATGTGGCTCAGTAGCTTAGCCCGAATTAATTTTTCAAGTAACTTAACTACTATACTGGTCAGGCTAACAGGCCGGTAGTTAGATACTATCCGTCTCTGACCATCCTTAAATATAGGACTAACTATGGCGTCTTTCCAGTCTCTAGGTAGTTGAGCCTGTGAAAGGGACATGTTGAAGAGCATCGTGAGCGGTCTTGAGATAATGTCCGCAAGCGACGACAGCAAACGTGGGTGTAACCCATCGGGGCCCGGTATCTTACAAGGTTTCAGGTTAGTTATCAAAGGAAGAACAATATCCTCTGTCACGTGTAAGGGTCCTATGGCTGGTATCTCATTGTCAACGGAACAAGTAGTTGTAACACTACACGTAGAGTAGACTTCACTGAAATAGTTAGCAAATAACTCCGCTTTCGCTAGATCGGATTCAGCCAATAAAGCTGAATTTTCGCTTAACAGTAATGAGGGGGTACCATCACTACGTTTCGTCCGCCTTTTAACGTACGAAAACAGTCGCTTCGGACAGGTACGGCTATCGTATGCCAACTGTCGTTCGTAAGCCGTGCGGGATTTAGCTATGGTCTTTTTACATATATTCCGGATTTTTTTATATTCGCACTTAAATGATGCCTGACCTGTTGACAAGAATAAGTCCCAGAAGTGTTTCCTACGCTTGAACAGCTTCCGGGTTTCCTTATTAATCCATGGAGGGCAATATAATCGTTAAGACGCTAAAAACTTTCTAAGCGCGCGATATATATATCCCTCCTTCATATTTTTGACTAAAATAGCTAGTTTCTAGCTAGTTTAGTGCATTATAGGGAGACCACCGAGTTTAGGGTAGTCTCCCTTCGAGGAGTAATAGTGTTAAGTGAACTCAATATCTGAAAACTGAGCAGTTTTCAGACTCGATAGTTCTTGTCTTAATTTGTTATCTATTGAGCCACTCTCTGAGTGTTCATGTAGGCTGCTTCAAGATTTATATAAGAATCTAATGTTTATCCTGTGTTGATTGATGTGGAACTTGAAGTGGTCATGACAATTTACATAGTATCGTTGTTTGCGTGTTTTCAAAAATTGAATAGTTATAATTATTCAACACAAATCAGTTCATACAGTTGTTATTTATATTACCTATCCTAACTAGTCATCAACCGTTAAGTGACCTGCTACTATTACAAGCAGATAAATCTTGAAAACAAATACAACACTCCTAAAATTTCTTTATCATCACGAATTATTAAAAGGTAACTTCATCTAGAAAAGTTATATCCCTACAAAAGGTTATTTCTTAGCTCTTGTTCTAATTCTCATATTACTGTTGTTATTGTGTCATTGTTCCACCAGTAATGTTAGATTCTTGTATTACTTTCTTACAGTCACAAATCTTTGATAAGAGGGAAACAATATCACGATTGATGATTTGATACTCACATCCACCTTCCTATCCTTTGTGTTTATTCAATATTCCAATAAACATCATCACTACGTCTACCTTTTTCACTTTGTACTCACAACAGCAGTTATCACTTAAGTTTTATAATTCGACTTATCAATTTTGTGAGTTCCATCAGTTTATAAAATGGACTGTCCAATTGAAGATATCGACAAGAAAGATGTAAGTTTTTCAATTCCATATTGTTAATATTAATAATAGCCAGTTGTAGAACAAAATACTGATGTAAATTTCGTTTATAATGATACTGATGAATACAGTGTAGAAATTGCTGGTATATATTTTTTCAAATAGGCTATTACTAAATTCCTTTCTTGTAGAATTATATAGTTATTCTGAAGAGCCTGAATTTCATATAAATCGTGAATGTTTTGAAAAAGATTTTCATAAATTTGGTAGGTGTTACTCTTCCTTTTGTTTCTATTTGCTTGTATAAAATATTTCCTCTGTAATTTTATCAGGGAACTAGTAATTTCATTTTCTTTCAGCTGTCCTTCATAATCGTCAGCCATTTTAAGTTCACGGTCACTCATTTTCACTGTCTTTTAGATACTCTTCTCTAGTTTTCAGCCACTTCATGATGTGATGTCTTCTTCGGTGTTACTTTACTACAGCTAACTTTATGTATTAACATGGTGTATTTTAACCATACTGTTCGATCCAAACATAAACTCATGTGGTTTACATTACCCCGTATCTGTACATCCAACTTGAAAATTATTTATTTTGAGCCACAGTATACACAAATACTCTGTTACATCATGTGTCTTCGGTGTTGATATTCCACATCCAGTTTGGCTTGTTGAGACCTGACATTCGAACTCTATATCCTAGGGTGAATTTTGTTTGCCTCTGTGTCGACCATATCTAGCTTAATTGTCTGGTTATTGGAAACAAGTTTCTTGAAGTGGTGATTTATTTGCATTTATTATGACACTTGTAAAGTTAAGTGCATTGGTTATTTTCATTAATTATATATGTTCTACTTAAATTTCAGTCTCTGTCAAATGGTTTGAGGCTAGCAATGCTGAACGTCATTCACATATTCAACGATTATTAGATCATTTAGAGTCTAGTGATTGTGAAATACGTCAAAGAGCTACTCGATCTCTGTTGTACTTGTTACAAGGAAATTTCGGCGATTGTGAATTAGAGGAAGATCAAATAACATGGGCTAGACATAATGTTTATTTATGCATTGAATCAGGTTTATTACAAGCTATTATAGAACTTCTATTGTTTGAAATTCACTATGAGTAAGTTAACTAAATCAGTACTATGGTCTTATTAGTGTTAATTCGACTTTAAGGCTTTATTTTAATTTTATGCAGACCTTCACATTCTCTCTTCTTGCTACGTCTATACAACCACTACCAGGGAAGTCTCTCACTGCCTTCTTGTGGTGGGGGTGTTGTTTACCGAATTAAGAGGACGAAAAGCGAATGTCTGGAGCTTGAACCGGGTTGGTGGATATAGAGGATCCACCCAGGGATGTTGGAAAACCCTGGTTCCAAGCCAATGATGAACATGATTTCCAGGATCCTAAGGGAACAAATGGCTTATGAACCTAATTCTGGTCACCGGCTATCATGGGACTACATCTCCTGACGTTGTTCCACTGCGTTGTGGATTAGACCTTTAGGTCAAAGGCTCCGTGTGTTGCCCCCTAAGTAAACCACGTGCTTTGATCTGGGCACCCGGTCAGCATTCCAGCCCTCACACAGATAGAATGGTTTATATGGCGCATATCTATTTGGCGGCTTCTTGTACCAGTGTTTATGTGATTAAATAAAGAAATAATAGCTCTTTTCAACCATAGGAATAAGAGATTTTTATTGACACAAAGTAGGTGCCATTGTTTCCTGTCAGTTTCAATCTACAGAATCAAAATATTGTCTCCGTGGTAGTTAATAGATTTTCTTTTTTAAAAAGTTTTTAAATGACCTAAAATATCAAATGGGAATAAATATGCAGCTGATAATTGTCTCATTGGTTTGTGTATCATTCTCATTTGTTTTGGACCAAAAACCTAAAGATTATGTCTTTACGTTGTATGCTACTCGTAGTTCAAATTAAACAAAAACAAAAAATGCATCAACACCAAGATGTAAGGCAAAATAATCGAAATATTCATACCAGTTGTAATAGTAATATTAGAAAACAAAATATAGGAATATATAGTTTCAAAAGAAATCTTGATCTTTAGATAAATGCTAGTCGGCACTGATCAGACTACAATGGCTTACCACCAGTCTTGGTGAAAATAATTCTGTCTTCTGTGAAACTTATACTTGGGGTGGGGGCACTCAGAGTTACAGTGTCAGTGATCTGAATCAGTCAGTCAGCTAAAACGTAGGACCACGCACATATATACATCGGTCCAAGTTGCCATACCTCGTTAGCACAACAACATGAACACCGGATTCATAGTAGTTAATTTAGTGGTGGTAATATATAAAAGAAAGGCTGTATATAAGGATGTAGTGTAGGAAGGAAGACAGATATCAAAATAAAGAGTTTAAACACCTACGCCATTGTGATCGATTCTGAGCCATGTCACCCAGAGTCTAACCATTGGTTACGATAGTCACATGGGCCTCAACCAAGTAGTCTGCATCTACCAACATGACTTAGACTAGAAGTTAATGACTTCAAGGAATAATGCCACGTTCTAGTTGGGTCACCCCTAACTTTCTTCCAACAATTGCCAATACTAGTCAGCATAGCACGTCGTGGTAATCGGTGTTCAGGCATACGTAACACGTGGCCCAACCATCTCAGTCGATGAAAAAATAATGGTAATATCGTTGTTGGTGAGAAAAACTAGTGATTCAGAATAACGTTCGAAAAGGAGGTATATACATAAAGGGGTACTGAAACCTAAGATTTAAGGGAATATAAAAAGTGATTGCATCTGTGCCTCTGCAATTCATTGTAAGCCGTATCACCAAATATATTAGGTGGCTTGGTTTACCATGATTCCATTCCATATTTATTATTAACGTTGATTTAGGTGTTGTAATTTTTGAATATGACTCAATTATTTAACATTCTTAAGCGAAACATTTTTGATTTTCATTAACTTACACATACGATCTGCTCATTAAATATGCAGACTAAGCCACTAAGCTTGTTATATCGAAATATAACTAAACAAATGACCAATCTTGCTCAGCTTAAACCCCCATCACATTAGGTCAGTCTGATTTCGGCGATCTGTTTTTTGTTTCATTGCTAATCGCATTAAAGATAATAGGAAGTAAAACAGTCGATATGAATTCCTAAGGTATTTTAAACAATAAAACTAGCGATGAAACATGTGTACTGCTACATAGAGAAAGTAGTAGAAATAAGGCCCCCAAATGCCCTGGTACGGTCAAGAGTGGGGAGAGTCCGCTCTCCCTCTCCAAATGCTCTCACATGGTCACGGGCATATAGCCTCTGCCAAGGAAGTCCTACTCACTGTCTTCTCACAGTGGCGGGGTTTTGTTTACGAAATTGAGAGGACGAAAAGCGAATGTCTGACGCTTTAACCGCATTGGTGGACACGGAAACTTCACCTAGGGGAGTTGGAAAACCCTGATTCCAAATCAATGGTGCACATGGGCTCCAGTATCCTGAGGGAACAAATGGCGCATGAACCGATCGTCGGTCACCGGCTACCATGGGACTGCATCTCCTTACTATGCTCCACTGATAGAGTCTCAATCTCTGCACTTTATTTATTTAAGCACATAAATATTGGTACAAGTGGGCACCAGATATATATGCGTTACACAAAAAGGTCTGATCCACAAGACAGTGGAACAACGTCAGGAGATACAGTCCCATGATAGCCGATGACCAACGATTGATTCGTACGCCATTTGTTCCTTCAAGATACTGGAGCCAGCCCATGTGCACCATTGGTTTGGAATGAGGGTTTTCCAACTCTCCTAGGTGGACTTACTGTGTCCACCAACCCGGTTGAAGCTCCGGACATTCGCTTTTCGTTTTCTCAATTTCGTAAACAACACCCCCACCACAGGGAGGCAGTGAGTAGGACTTCCTTGGCAGAGTCTGTATACGCGTGACCATGTGGGAGCATTTGGAGAGGGAGAGCGGACTCTCCCCACTCTTGACCGTACCAGGGCATTTGGGGGCAAGATCTCTACACTAGATCATTTAATACTAGCGCTGCTTATAAATTTATTCTGAAAATATTGTCCAGAAGGATGATTAAAGTTAAAGGATTAAACTATCTAGTTCAGAAAACGTTGCTTCACCAAAATCATTTACATGAGTTACAAATTTTCTTCACCATCTTAGTAAAAGTATATATGTCACCTGAAATCTAAAATGATAGAAACAATTCAAATGTAACCATGGTGTTTGTATTAAATTTTCAAAAATAATATTTAGTTGGTGAATATTTCGAATTTTTATTCAACTCTCCTATTTTTTTTTACAGTTCATGGGGTGTAAATTCAATTGGAAACGATTCAGCAACCAACAATACCACTTGTAATGGATCAACTAAACCTGGTCAATCTACAGTAACAACAACTATAATTGATGCAAATCAAAATTCAACAGTTACATCAACTCGACAATCAAATATTACAATGAAAGATAGTGCAAATCTTCGTATTTTATTATCTATTCTATATATTATGGTTGAAACTGTTCGTGATGGAATGTTAACAGATCATACGCAACAACAATATCAACAAACTGTTTCAGTAAATGATAAACATATTCCGATGACAACAAATCAGGCTAATAGTGATCCAATGGCAAAACTGAGAGAACAGTTTGTGGAAGATTTAGGTATATATGTATAAACGTATATTTTATTTATTTATTTATTTATTTACTTATTTATTTATTTATTTGAACACATAAATATTGGTACAAGGGGGCACACAAAAAATTGTCATTTCATTTAATTGTGTGAGGGCTATGATACTGCCTGGGTGCCCAAACCGAAGCAGATGGTTTTCTTGAGGGGCCACAAACCGAGCCTTTGACCTAAAGATCACAAGTCAGTGGAGCATCGTAAGGAGATGCAGTCCCATGGTAGCCGGTCACCAACGTCTGATTCACACGCCATTTGTTCCCTCATGTGCACCATTGATTTGGGATCGAGGTTTTCCAACTCCCCTAGGTGTAAACGTTGAGTAATATCACTCAAAAATCGTTATATTGATGCAAAGGAATTTACTTTTCATTTTTCCCTTGTATCCTAAGCGTCTACATTATTCTATACTTTCGTATTGCACGAATTCATTCATTCTTTTCGAATCATTTTTGCTGTACATAACGTTTTTTACTATTAACGATACTATCAGTAATTCAGTTTATCTGCTATTCATCATATTGGTCGTATCTTACAGTATTGACATTGTGTTGAAACAACTAGAGCTGATACATATTTATACCTGGTGTTTCCATAGTTGAAATCATGAGTCAACTGAAGCTAGACCATCATGGAAAACCTGGAAGCATTAGACGGCCGTTTCCTTTCGGCCTGGTGTTTCGTTGATTATGTCCGAATTGAATATCATGTAGATACAAAAGTTTTTCATCTATATAAATGTCTTTTTCGAGAACGAAATCATTTGTCCACTAAATAAACTCCATTTGATTATTATGAATTCTCAAAATGGTTTTTGGTTCAAATGTCAGTGTTAATATATAAACAGCACTGGGATGGAAGTATGTACATCCAGTTGATTAGTCTCTAATTTGACAAAACGTTCATTAGTGAATAGGGAAGCAACATCTAGAGATATCATCCGTTTCCCATTTAAGTTCATATGTTCAATCTTAGAAAGGAAATCGAAAACGTCTTTCACGCTTCTGTTGACCTCTAGTTTGTGTAAGGGTTCATTCTAGCTTCCACTATTAACCGCGATTCAACTTTATTCAAAACTTGTGACTATATGGCACTATTGAAGTAGTAATCGGGTCGGGATGTACACATACTGTCAACGGTGACTGATCAATTAAAAGTCTTTAATATCGACAGTTGGAAAAAGGAAAGCTTGACAAATAATTCCATTTTTCTTAAACATTTCTGCATATTAAATTCATTTAGTATTGTTTGTTTGAATCTTTCCATCGATGTGTTAGGACTGCAACTTACTTACTTACGCCTGTTACCCCTCGTCGAGGAGCATGGGCCGCTCACCAGCATTCTCCATCCAACTCTGTCCTGAGCCTTCCTTTCCAGTTCTTTCCAGTTGCTATTCATCCTTTTCATATCGGCTTCTATTTCCCGGCGTAGTGTGTTCTTTGGCCTTCCTCTTTTCCGCTTCCCTTCCGGATTCCAAGTTAGGGATTGAGTCGTGATGCACATTGGTGATTTCCTTAATGTATGTTCGATCCATTTCCGACATCTTTTCCTGATTTCCTCTTCAGCTGGAAGCTGGTTTGTCCTCTCCCATAAAACGCTGTTGCTGATAGTATCCGCCCAATGGATGTTGAGTATTTTGCGTAGACAACTGTTTATAAATACTTGTACCTTCCTGATGATGGCCGTAGTAGTTCTCCACGTTTCAGCCCCATACAGTATGACTGACTGTCTTGACGTTCGTATTAAAGATTCTGACCTTGAAATTGTTTGAGAGTTGTTTTGAGTTCCATATGTTCTTCAATTATAGAAATGCTGCCCTTGCTTTGCCAATCCTCGCCTTTACATCTGCATCCGATCCTCCTTGTTTATCAACGATGCTCCCCAAGTACTTGAATGTTTCCACATCTTCCAGAGTTTCTCCATCAAGTGTGATTGGGTTGGTGTTCTCTGTGTTGCATTTGAGAATTTTGCTTTTTCCTTTGTGAATGTGGAGGCCTATGGATGCGGAGGCTGCTGCTACACTTGCTGTCTTCATCTGCATTTGTTCGTGTGTATGAGAGAGGAGGGCTAGGTCATCTGCGAAGTCCAAATCATCTAATTGATTCCGAGAAGTCCATTGTATTCCGTATTTCCCCTCAGATGTCGAATCCTTCATAATCCACTAGAAGGAAGAGGAATGGGGAGAGTAGACAGCCTTGTCTGACTCCGGTCCTTACTGGAAATGCATTTGTCAGCTGCCCTCCATGCATGACTTTGCACTGTAGTCCATCGTATGAGTTTTGGATAATGTTGACAATCTTTTCAGGAACTCCATATTGTCGAAGAAGTTTCCATAATGTTCTCCTGTCCACGCTGTCAAACGCCTTCTCATAGTCAATGAAGTTGACGTATAGTGATGAGTTCCACTCAACTTACTGTTCAACGATGATCCGTAGTATCGCAATCTGGTCCGTGCATGACCTATCCTTACGGAATCCAGCCTGATGATCCCTAAGTTCGATGTCTACTGCGTCTTTCATCCGATTCAGCAGCACTCTGTTGAAAACTTTTCCTGGTACTGATAACAAACTGATGCCTCTGTAATTCTCACGTTTGCTCAGATATTCTTTCGTTGGTATCTTGATGAGATATCCTTCTTTCCAGTCCGTTGGCACTTGTTCCTCTTCCCAAATCTTCTTGAATAGAAGGTGAAACATATTTGCAGTTATCTCAATGTCTGACTTCAGTGCTTCTGCTGGTATATTGTCAGGTCCTGCCGCCTTCCCACTTTTGATTTGTCTGATGGCCATCTTGACTTCTTCGATCGTTGGTGGAGTGACATCTATTGGAAGGTCAGTGTGAGCTACTTCGATGTTCGGTGGATTCAATGGGGCTGGTCTATTCAGCAGTTCCTCGAAGTATTCTGCCCATCTTTTCCTCTGTTCTTGAATCTCAGTGATTGTCTTTCCTTCTTTGTCCTTGACTGGTCTCTCTGGTTTGCTACATCTCCCTGCTAATTTCTTCGTTGTATCATATAGTTGTCTCATATTTCCTTCTCTTGCAGCTTTTCCCGCCGTCATTGCTAGTTCTCCCATGTATTTCTGCTTGTCGGCCTTAATGCTTTTCTTCACTTCCCTGTTTGCTTCTGCGTAGTCTGCTTGTGCTTTGACTTTCTCTGCTCGTGTTAGGCTGTTGTTAATTGCTAGTTTCTTGTTCTTCTTTTCTTGAATCTTGTCCAGGGTTCCCATAGAGATCCATTCCTTGTGATGATGCTTCTTAGGACCAAGAACCTCCTGACACGTTGAAGTTAGTGCTTCTTTTATCCCTTTCCAGTTGTCCTCCAAAGTAGTTTCTTGTTCATTCAGTAGATCTTGTAGAGCCTGAAACCTGTTGTTGAGAGGTATCTTGAATTCATTGAGCTTGTCAATATCTCGAAGGAAGGCTGTATTGAACCTTTGAAGTGCTGTTTGTCCAGTTGTCCAGTGTTTCTTTAGCTTCAGTCTCATCTTGGCCACAACCAGGTGGTGATCTGAAGCTATGTCAGCTCCTCCCCGGGTTCTCACATCTTCCATTGATCTTCGGAATTTTTTGTTGATACAGATGTGATCTATCTGGTTCTCTGTGGTGTGGTCCGGTGAGATCCATGTAGCTTTGTGTATGCGCTTGTGTGAGAATATTGTGCCACCTATAATCAATTTGTTGAATGCACATAGGTTTGCAAGTCTCTCCCCATTTTCATTTCTTTCTCCTAGTCCATGTCGTCCGATTATATCTTCATATCCTGTGTTGTCCACTCCAACTTTAGCATTTAGATCTCCCATAAGGATGGCGAGGTCCTTTCGTGAGCACTTTGCTATAATTGATTGCAGCCTTTCATAGAACTGGTCTTTATCATCGTCGTTGCTATCATTGATGGGTGCATAACATTGAATGACGTTCATTGTGGTCCCTTGCTTCTTTGTTCTGAATGATGCTTTGATCATCCTGGGTCCATGAGATTCCCATCCCACAAGTGTATTTCGTGCTTCTTTGGACAGCATTAGAGCAACTCCCTGAGTGTGTGGAGCATTTTCCCCTTCGTGACCGGAGTACAGCAGCATCTCTCCTGTACCTAGCCTTTGTTGTCCAGTTTGTGTCCAATGGGTTTCGCTGATTCCGAGTACTGCCAAGTTGTATCTCCTCATTTCCATTGCTATTTGGCTGGCCTTTCCTGTCTCGCACATTGTCCGGACGTTCCATGTACCTATAAAGAGTGTTGCTCTGGTTGTTAGAGGGTGCATCGGTCTCGTGACTTCCGAAGAATTTCGGCCTTCATCATGAGACGTCATAAATATTCCTTCAGCTCCCAAGCCAGAGTTTAAATGGTTTGAATTATTATTTTTTCTGGTTAGCTTTTTTTTAGCGAGTTAGCTTTTCTACGGGATGGGGTCGCTAACCCCATGCTCAACCCTCCTCCTTTATCCGGGCTTGGAACCGGCAGTAACTCTAGAAGAGCTACAGGCGGAGTTAGGACTGCAACTGGTCAGTCTCTAATTGGCATATGTGCATACTGTGCGTATTGCCTCGATATAGCCTTAATTCACAAGCATGGTAAGCAAAGATGGATAGTGGCTAGTCCCAGAGTGAACATCAACTCTGAGATGAAGGTACATCCAGCTGACGAGTCCCCAATAGGGCGAAACGCGCGTCCTGGATTCCACTGCTAGCCACTATCCATCTTCTCTTACCATTTCTACGTATTATTACGTTTTCTTTTATGAATCACGCTAATGTTGATCTCTCTTTTTTTCTTTCCGTCTCTTTCGCATCCAATTCATAATAGCTATGCCTATTGAAAAAGACGGTGATCTCACATTGACTGCTGTACTATTTGGTATGATTCATCGTTTTTGCAGTGGTATTGATCCACATTTTCCAATGAAAAAAGTTCTCTTGTTACTTTGGAAAGTTTTACTGGTAAGTTGCAGTAATAATAGTAATAATACTATTATCATTATTACTGACAGTAGGCAAACACCGCGTAGTATATTTCAACAAATACCCGTCTTTAAATCTTTTTATTATGACCTACGACTTGGTATGTTCAGTAAGTAAAATCTTGATTATCGATTTGTCCACCCATATTTCCAGTAGAGCCGATGACTATCCGAATGCTAATTGACACACTGACCAATAAACAACATCGAGGACCTTAACTCTCATCAGTCCTCAAGCTCCTTCTAACCCAATAAATAGTCATCCAGAAGACGAAAATAGGAAGTAGATTAGTTTCTTATTGAAATCACTTCAATTATAACTCAAAACTCACATACTAACATACCTGAAATGCCTGACCACATAGAAAACCAAATTATAGAAATCGTGCTTTAAACACGATCAGATCACAAGTGGCAGAGAGACAAAGCACACAGCATATGAATAATTAACAGTATAACAACAGCTAATAGGTCCACTAATAGTTTACAGTAGAAGAAATATGAGAATGCAGCAATACAACAACAACCCCACAACGAGAAGGCAGTGAGTGGGACTTCATTGACAGAGACTATATATGCGTGGTCATGTGAGAGCATTTGGAGAGGGAGAGCGGACTCTCCCCACTCTTGACCGTACCAGGGCATTTGGGGGCATATACTATACTACTACTTGTATTTTTATTACATATACTACCAATGCAATAAAAATACAAGTAATAGTTCGAAAAATAATTCCGAAAGTTCACCCCGTTGAAATACATTTAACTCATGAGTATTCAAAAAGTGTATATAGATTTTTTTCCATTATCTTCTGGCTACCGTTCTTCTTGATCTATAGACGTGCTTTATCCTGTTTTGCTTCTACGGCATGTTTCATCATCATACATTATACAATGCTCATGAATAATACTAATTATAATCACCTGGCATTTCGTGTGAAGTCCAGACAGTGAGCAAAATATACCAACCATTATAGCGCTGGTGGTTCCAATTAAATTGTATGATAAGATTGACATGGCTCAAAATCGTTTTCAATGGCGAAGTTGCATCCACTCTTTGTGTTGTGCCAAATCCTAATGTTCTGAATTCTTCATGTCTCTATCTTTTTTCTCTTTCCAAATTTATTTCATTGGATTGTACTCTTTCAATAACATCTTCAAATCCTAGTCTTTCCAATTACTGCTTATACTTTTACTACTTCTACCACTGTGGGATTTGAATCGACAACTGCATCTCTGTGCTAATGTGGTATGGCAACTCGAACTGATGTATGTACGTACGAAGTTCTGCGTTGTGACTGACTGACTGACTTAAACACCTCCAACATACTTACATAATTAGTCAGTGGAAATAAATTTAGGAGTGAGGAAATCGGAAATTAATACTGACAAATTTGAGTAGTAATGTTAATAGAATTAGTCCAAAGTGAGAGAATTTTCAGTAGGTCACCGTCGTTCAGTAAATTTTTCTTAATAAGGTCCTGGGTTCGAATCCCGCATGTGGGATCGTAGATGCACACTGCTGAGGAGTCCTAGGCTAGGACAAAACGGATATTCAGTACTTCCAGGTTTTCAATGGTAGTCTAACATTGATCGATTCGTGATCTCAATATATATATATATACTAGTTAAGGGATATGGCGGAAATCTGTGTACACTTACATGGTCGGCTGAATTCTTATTTGTTCAGTTATAATTATAATTTTTGAAGTCACCATTTAGATTTAAAAGTCTTATGTGTTCTTTTTAAAAGTATAAAACAATTTACTTCAATATATATATATTCAAATTTTCACTTTTAGATAACACTCGGTCCTTTGAGTAACTTATTGGTACGTAAAAATCAAGCACGTGCTCGTTATGGTTTACCACCAGTTTCAGAGGATTCTGTACATGTAATTCAAAAAGTTCGTGCAAGTAGTCCACCTGTAATGTGTATCACGGACCAAGTACTTTCTAGAATGCAGCGTAATAACACTAATAATAATATTAATAATAACAATCGACATCCAATCATAAGTCAATGTGTGTATCTTCTCAACACCCAATTTTCTATTTTGTATAGGTTTTTTTAAATACAATATTAATATGAAGGGATTTGTATAGATCGTAGTATTTTCACAGTTGAAATTACGGACTGATCTTAGCAAGACCACTACTGAAAACCTGAAAGCATTCAACGGCTGTTTCGTCCTAGTATGGGATCCCTCGGCAGTGCGCATCCAATCATGTACTTACTAGCGACTAACTTCGGTGGGTAATTCCCGGAGTTCTGGTGAGAAGCTGTGGTCTGTGAACTTCGGTCCGCGTCGGGTGTGAGACAATTATCCGCCACAGGCAATGGATGAACTGGATCAATTGCAGTTAGACACTAACATCGTCGAATGCCGGCTCAGTGCTCTAGAGGTTAAGTGTCCGTGCACGAGGCCGAAGGCCCTGGGTTCGAGTCCTGTATATGGAGCCATAGATGTGCACTCTTGATGAGTCTCGTTCAAGAGGTTACTGGCGTCAAGAGCTTCCAGGTTTTTGATCTTAGTTCTGTTAAGATTAGTTCGTGATTTCAATATATGTTTATGATAATAATATATTTAGTTGCAGTGAACAATTCTCATTACATAATTGTGCAATAAGTTAAAAAAAGTGATGAAATAATAAAACCTTTGTAATATTGTTAAGAGCCATCAGGAGTCCCTCGTTACAGTCTATGAAAGCTAGAAAAAGGCTGAAAACCATTTTCATCCGATTAGCATATAATAGAAGCCATGACTTATGAACATATGTCAACCTAATGTTTTAAATAACATTTTTACTGGAATACTATGAAGATCATAGATCCTGTTGTGAAAACTCTTAACTATACAGATGATATTCTTCCTCCTATTCCAAATTACTATAACTCCTTAAACTAATTATGGTTTGTAATATTTTTGTGGATAAAGATATTACTTGGTATTTGCATCTGAGGAGGAAGTTGTACTGAGGTATTACGTGAGTAAACTGTTTACATAAGCTAACTGGGATCTCAATCGACACTGCTTTTTCATAGTAGAAGGAAGAGCTAGAGAAAGTTGACCGTAACATTAACACACCTTACCTTACCACATGGATTTCCACCGCAGTCGATAAAGCCTAGGATATGTGACGTTAATACGTCCGAAACTACTCACATAAAAGCCATGTGTAATTAGCCTGAAGCAATTATCATTTGAGGTCACTCTTCCAGGTTAAAAAGATCACGTTTTTCAAGAATGAATATCTCATTGTGAGCTATCAGAAAGTTAAAACCGTCTTAGTATCTTTAACAAAACTCAAGCTAATTGAGTTGGTCTAGGATAAGTTAAAAATACCTTTCTTCATAAAATCTCTCCATTCCATATGAAATGTCAATTGGATGCATAACATGCTTGACATACACATTTAGAATGTGGTGTATGCTACTTATATCGACAGACATAACTAGTAAGTAACACCAACCGGAAGTGAAAACCCCGCCAGCAGAAGACTAAGAAGATCAAGTTGAAGGGAAAACAGAAACGGAAATGGAAAGGAATTGTGACTTTGAAGAATCATACAGAATGTGAGACACAAATGATAGAATTTTGCGAATGAAGTATTCAATAGATTGTTCTCATATTTTACCTAGATATTCCGTAATTTTGTACGAAGATATAAGTTTGTTGTCCCTACCTGTTTTCTCGTTCATTGCGAGGAAAGGTAGTTTAATGATTAAAGCATTCATATTTTGACCAATTGGAAATAGATTTGACCTAGCTTTACACCTTTTTCATAATAAAAAACCCTTACAAATTTACTAGGTAGGATACATAGTGTGGTTTAAAACAAGATACAAACCTCTCAACCAGCTACTTAAATACCACAAAACCTGACGACTCTGGGTTCGACCCCGTGGAAGATCATGAGTGCACACTCTTGACGAGAAGTCGTTTCAAAATAACTTAGCTTCTTTTCCTTGTATTTCCGTGATTGGAAAAGCTTTTCGTGTTTCATTGGTCATTTCATATCTTTAAATTGTATAGTTTTAAATAGGTGCATGTCTTTGTTACATTTTTTTATCACTAGCAAATCAATCTCCTCGACAAGGTAGTTTAGCTGGCGGTCGCTTGGCGTTTGAACAACAGCAGCAACAACATTCTGTTGTCACTGCAGTAACTTTTCCATTCTCAGCTGATTCTTCTAAACTCCCTATCATTCAAAGTCAATCACAATCAACTGAGGAGTTTACAACAACTTCAGGCTTTGATACACCTCGACCAAGTTCACCTGTATCATCAGATACTATTAATCATGATGATGGTAATTTCAGTTGAAATTTTCAATCATAATTTTAGGAACAAATAATCGTGATACAAATGAATTGTTGACTTCATCTAATTTAAATCAACCAAATTTCAATCATCATCAAGTTATCCTACCAGGATTATCAAATTTATATATGGATGAGAAAAGTTTACCATGGAAACCGAAAGTTAAAAAAAGGGATTTAGAGGTAAATTTTTTGTTGTTTTTCCTCCTGAAACTGAAGTTATTTGTTTATCTATTTATTTGAACACCAACATTGGTACGATAAAGCACCAAATACATATGCGCCACACAATAGTCAATCAGTCACAACATAGAACTTCGTACGTATATACATCAGTTCGAGTTGCCATACCACATTAGCACAGAGATGCAATTGTCGATTCAAATCCCATAGTGGTAGAAGTAGTAAAAGTATAAGCAGTAATTGGAAAGACTAGGGTTTGAAGATGTTATTGAAGGAGTATAATCCAATGAAATAACAATAACGTGACTAGTAGTGTAGTGAACAAAACACGAATGGGGACAATCTAATGTATTTGACACAACTTACAAACTATCTCACTAAACTCTGTTCACCATACAGTAAACGGTTAATTTGCAAAATAACAACCAATGGTCTCAATCTTCACTGTTCCTTCTGTAAATATCAATCCGTCTTCTCTAATTCCATTGTTCATGCATTTTCCTACCAATTGTGCTTCATTTCAGTTTTTTCCTTATCGGTCTTCTGCCAAAATACATTTTATGTCTGACCATCGACATATACTACTTATATAGATATAAGTAGATCATACTACAGTAGTTATCATTGATTTGTGTAAGAGAGACTGAAATAGGTGTAAAGCGAGGTTAAAATCTGAAGATCTTGTGATTTTTTAATTTTATTACCCTTATAACATAAAAGTGTCTCACATCTAAATATACAGTAAATACTTTATTTGCAAAAATATTAGTCAATCGTCTCAGACAATAATGTTCTTTCGTTTCCACACTATTCATTCTCTGTTCTACGAACTTCCTAGCCTTCTGCCTCCGGATATTTCACTTTCGGTTAACGACAAGACGACCTGCTTGAATATCTGGTCTACTTGTTCCTGTCATCTGGATATTTCAATAAGTTATCTGTTTTCTTGTTTGTTTTAACACATCATTATGCCTATTAGTCTCATAACCTATTCAGGTGTGCTTGTGAAAAGCTTACTATATTTCACTGTGCAAGTTACAAAAGAGCCTAAACAGAAACATCGTGGTTTTCGGCAATATGCATCAAAAAGGATATACAACATTCAGATGTCAATTCCTGAACTGTTAACATCTAACTGGTGACTACTCAGTATTTATCGCAAGGATCGTTCAGGAAATAAGAAAAGGAGACTTGTCGAAATACTTTGTAATGACAATTTCATATTGTACCAAAAATATAATATCGAATAAAGCCACTAATAATAATACACACATACATCCTACTTATATCTGTCTACGTCAGTAGCACACACCATAGTATAATAGTCAATAGATCAAATGGAAGCTTATTAACAGTTCATAGATAATTCCTAGCAGTTACTATTCATTTATTCTTCGTTAGGATATAACAAGTGCGTACTGCTAATGATTCTAATAATAAGACGAAATTGCTGTCCAATACTCGTTGGTTCTCAGTGATGCTTTAATTTTTGAAGAATACCGCTCACAAACAATTATCAATTATTTTCATAGTTGAAATAATGAGTCAATTGAAGTTAGACCACCATGGAAAACCTGGAAGCACTGGACGGCCGTTGGATGCCGGCTCAGTGGTTTATCGGTTAAGTGCTCTGGCACGAAACTGGTAGGTCCTGTGTTTGAATCTCGCGAGTGCGGGATCGTAGATGCGCACTGCTGAGGAGTCCCATAATAGGATGAAACGGTCATCCAGTGCTTCCAGGTTTTCCCTGGTGGTCTAGCTTCAATTGATTCATGATTTCAACCATGAAAATACTGAAATATCCACAAAACCCCTTCTGATCAATTATTGATTAATTAATTGTTATAGTACTCCTTCCTGTTTTCTTTTGTTAACTTACTTTAGGCATTTCTAACAAGTGTTCGCTTGAAATTTATTGGTTTTCATGTACCTAATGATATAGTCTCTTTGGCTGGTCTTCCTGAACCAATTCATGAAGCTATACGTGTAATGCGTGAACATCTTTATATTTCATTAGGTGAAATGCAAATTGAACGAGAAAATGAAATTTCTCAAAATCCTCTGTCTATGGTGAGTTATTATTACTATTCCCGAACAAATTCATGCAGTATGTCACAATGCCTGAGCATACAACTGGCAAATGAATCGGATTAAATATTTAAGTATTTGGCTCTCAACGAATAGGTTTCAAGTTGAAACACTCAGATTTCGGTTTAACCATTTCTTGCACAACTAAAATAGAGCTCAAGGTTAAGTACATGAACCTGTAGTTGTGAAGCTGTAGTTGTTATGTCCTATGGCCCGTCAAATATCATGTGACAACGTCACTAACTAATCTGACCTTATCCCTGTGCTAAGCCAATGATGCTTTAACCATTACGAGCAGCCTTGAATCCACCTAGTCCTTATTGATCCTCTGTATAGAAGTTCTCGCCTAACCCAGCCCGGTTCAGTCCAGAACGCAAATGTCAGACTCTACTGTGTTGATAACATTTCAGACGTATGTGGTTTGTGTACAAACAGATCAAACCACATCACACTATAAAATGAAAAAAATAATAATTATACAAGATCAAGCCGAAAGTGGCTATGTGTGCAAGAGGCTGTAAATAATAGATTGGGAATAACTTAAAAATAGGAAATGTTATAATAGTAGTCAGTAGATCAAATGAAAGCTTATAATAAAAGGAATATAGATTTATATGATCTATTTACTTAACAGTTATACAATGAGAATATATATGATTTATAATTGTGTAAATAGTTCCCGAAAGTTACCCGTAATTTCATCTTCGGACACAACAATAGTCATACTGGAACGTGCGGCTGCTGGGCTGACATCGGATGTAGATGGTTCAGCAGATCGCTGGGGCTCAGGCGTCTAACGTCCCGAGTTCTGAGTGGACATCGGATTTTGATGGCCCGGCTGATCGACGGAGCTGCGAAGGTCGGCACGCCTCAGATTCAACATTTTGACAGGAAGCGTGGTTATGAATGACTTAGTTGGTCAAGAAAAGCTGTTAAGTTCCTGACTGTCGATTTGAACTATTTAAAGAAATATCATAGGTTGCCTGGTTAAAACATGTAGAATAATCTGTTATTCTGTAGTTTGAAACTTACGGTAACGTAGTTCTAGAATCCATAGAATCCATTCACTATTCTCAGATTCTTTCATTCATGTGCTCTTGATGTTCTCTTAAATTTTTACTGCATGCTTCTATTTCACTTAAAATTTCGTTATTTTTCTCAAGGTAGGAGAGTCTATACCAAATACACCAGTTGAACGACTCTATCGTTCTATGTATCCTTTACTGCCACAATATATGGTAAGTTATCAACTTGTTTTTAATCTGAACTATGTGTTAAATAACTCCACAACTGTTGCTGTTACCTTGACGTGGTGGTCGGTCTTGCCTATCGTAATGAACCAATTGAGTTATACTGGCTGCAACAATCGTTCCTCAAGATCCTACCGTGCCAGGCAGGTCAGTTGAAGAGCGTAAGACTAATAGCAACAAACCCAATGTCCGAAGGAGAAGTCGTACTGCTGACTGTACAGAAGTATGACGACAATAATGTGTTTCCATCAGGTAACCAGCACAACAGCGATGCTGCCTTCCCACAAGGAGGGGTGGAGTTAGAAATGGTCGACCATAAAAATTCACACCTCGCCTTATCCCACGGATATCCGTCTTCGGCGGTAAGGTTCCAACAAGTATGAAGATAACACAAAAATTACTCATAAAAAGGTCGTGTTTGACCGACCTCAAGCAGTTGCCCCTTGGGTACTGTGGTCACGCTCTCAGGCCATTACGACCACTTCTAACCCGGTTTTCTTTTCAGGTACCTCTAGAAGAACCCTTCCACAGTGTGGGCAATCGGGAAGTGATAACTGCCCTCATACCTCTAACAGCACTCAAGACCACTGTTAAATAACTCTGTAAATGTTTGTAAATGCTCATTTTTTAAAATGTTCAATATTGAAACTAGTCAGTATTTGTTTGGTCAATATAAGTTCTAAGCAGATTGATTTAAGATTACAGTCTTCCAATTACAAGTTTCATTATATTTTGTATGTGGTTAGGGTTCGAGGTGCGTGTTTCTTTCCATTTTGGGGCTTAAATCAAAGTGCCTATCTATTCAAGTTCATCGGATTCAGAGTGAAGATCAGCTACACTAGATTGCAGGTCCATGAGTCCCGAATGTCATGTAACCCGTACCGTAGATTCCACTGCTAAACTACTATCCAAACATAATAATTCTGTAATCTGTTATGATTGTGTCATATTATTTTAGTTTGAATCACCAACTGGTATTAGCTAGATCATCATCAAAACCTGAGAATATTGGATGACCTTTTCATCTTAGTATGTAACTCTTCAGTACAGTACTTCCAGGTTTTCAGCGGTGCTCTAATATAATTTAGTAATGTAAACTTCGAACATTGTACGATCTCTACAAATCCCCCTTTACTAATAATCATTTTATTATTGTTAAATTGAGTTGTAGTTAAATTGTGCCAAAAATGTGAGGCATTTATTCATATACAGAATATGAACAATTGCCATGCTACACATTGTAAATTTGAGTTGAAAATTAGAAAAATTCTCAATTCTGGTTCAATAGCGGTTGTAAGGTAACAAGTATGTATGTGGAATAGCATTGACTTATTGCTTAGTGAGATTCAACTTTCAGGCACTAATTCACAGGATTGAACCTCGCTTCACCCATTTCGGTTTTGAGGAACCAGATAGTATCAATAGCCCTTGAAGCCTAGTGCAGTAATGTGTACACCTGGCGATGAATAAGTTAAGAACAACCATACAGTGGGACGTAAAAACCTTAATTTCTATTTCGTGTGAGGTCATAGGTGCGTTGTGCTGAAGAGCCATTTTTTTCAGATTTTGTATCAGCCACTACGCTTGGCTCTATTGTTCCGTATTCTTTCACCTAATTTCATCACCAAGTAACTACTTTCGCCCACATTACTTGACCAACTCTTTAAGTCACAACTGTCTACTAGGATTTCTTAAAAAATTACTGAAAATCAGATTACTACATTTGATTAGTTCTGGTTTAAGACTTGCCTATGATGTATTTCCGCAACTGTAAACAGGTAAGTTTTAATAAAAAGGTACAAATTACCTATATAGTTGGGGAATTCATCAGATGCATTTTGGTCACTTAACATGATATATTCAATAAAGTCGCGCTACGTGTAAATTTTGACCTGATGATTTTCTTCAGTCTTTCTTTATTCTTAAATTATAGATAGCTTTACTAAAGATCCTGTTAGCTGCTAGTCCCACTTCACGTACAAAAACAGAATCTATTAATATTTTGGCTGAAATGACACCAGAAACAATGCCGTAAGTCTATCCACAGTAAAATTAGTTTGTTTAGTTTGTCATGGTTTGAGTTATCGCGTTTTTTGTATTTTTTTGGCTTCATTTTGATCAACCTTGGTATTGAGCACTGCGTTCGAATCCCGGAGTAAACATCAACTCTGGCTAGTAAACACATTTAACGAACGAGTTCCAAATGTAAAAAAACGCGGGTGTTCGATTTAATGGTTGACATTCTATTTATTATATATATATATAATAGTTAATGTTGGAGATAGGATATGGGATGTAATGAAGTTGAAGTTGTCAATGAAACATGAAATACACCGATAGCTGAGTACGGGTTTGAGCAATGACTATTGAATGAATATTGAGAACATAAGTTATTACTAGTGAGTGTATGACTCTAAACCCATGTCTTTAAAATCGTTACTAACGGTTCCCAGTATTCAGGTGGTTGCAGCAATACATGCGGATTATCGGTCGAGCCCCAAAGCGCTCTGATACGGCTAAGAGTGTGGAGAGTCTCCTCTCCCTTTCTAAATGCTCTCGCACGGTCACGCATATACAGTCACTGTCAGGGATGTTCTACCCACTGCATTCTCACCGCAAAGGTGTTATTTACGAAATTGAGAAGATGAAAAGCGAATGTCCAGCTCTTTTACCGGGTTGCTGGATATAGAGTATCCACCCAGGTATGTTGGAAAGCCCTGATTCCAAGCCAATAGTGAACATGATTTCCAGGATCCTGAGGGAACAAATGGCGTATGAACCTAATGCTGGCCATCGACTACTATGAGACTACATCTCCTTGCGTTGTTCCACTACCTTGTGGATTAGCCATGTAGGCCAAACGCTCGTGGAGTGGCCCCCTAAGAAAACATGTTTCGATCTGGGCACTCAGTCTGTATCAAAGCCCTCACTATAAATCAATAATAAGTATTAGTGGCGTCATTGTTATTGTGTTGTGCATATGTATTTGGTGCCTCCTTGTGCCGATGTTTGTGTCTAAATAAATAAATAAGTAAACGAACCTTCTGTACACTGAAAGAAGCATACTCCCAGTTACATTGACGATATATTCTGCATGTAGTGGTTAGAACAGTTCTTATCGCTTCCCGAGGTAGTCTATTTTTTGCTGGCCATTAAATGTGACATTCTTCCCTAGTCAAGTATTTTATAACTTTTCTATGCAATTTGTTATCGTGTTAGATGTATTTTACGTTTACTTACATTGTGCGTATCTCATCCGAACAATTGATTGTCGATGTTTTATGCATCATTCACCTCATGTAAAAGGACTGATTCACCCCTATTATTTCATTGGATAGACCTGTTTATCATCTCCAATTCACATCTTTTATCCTCCATGTGCATTAATGGATATCTGATAACTATATATACCGTCGTTCAAAACCTGTTAATTCAACAGAATATATATGTAGATAATTAGGATATATGCGTTGTTTCTATCGTTTGATCATAGTGAAGTCGGGTATTTATTTTTATTTAAACACGTAAATATTGGTACAAAGGGGCCCCAGATATATATGCGCGACACAAATCTCATTTTATTTGTGTGAGGGCTGTGATACTGCCCGGGTGCCCGAACCGAAGCAGGTGATTTTCTTAAGGGACCACACCCGGAGCCTTTGACCGAAAGATCTGATCCACAAGGCAGTCGAGCATCGTAAGATGGTGCAGTCCCATGGTAGCCGGCGACCAACGATTGATTCATACGCCATTTGTTCCTTCAGGATACTGGAGCCCATGTGCATCATTGGTTTGAAATCAGGGTTTTCCAACTCCCCTAGGTGGACACGGAGAGTGTCCACCAACCCGGTTGAAACGCCAGACATTTGCTTTTCGTCCTCTCAATTTCGTAAACAACAGTAATGTCACGAGAAGGCAGTGAGTAGAACTTCCCTGTCAGAGGCTATATATTCGCGTGGCTATGTGAGTGCATTTGGAGAGGGAGAGCTGACTTTCCCCACACTCGGCCGTACCAGGGCATTTCGGGGCACTGAAGTCGGTAATGAGCATTAGAAATTTCAATTCAATTCATATATTTCTTCTATAGATTTTATCTATCCACCTGCTGTTATCATGTTATTTTTCTATTTCCTTGTTGCTTTTTTGGATCTATTTAGAACTGATGGAACTGAAGAGACTATACTTGATAGTGATAATAAACGTCATCGTGAAATTATTGTTAAAGCGATATCAGCTTTATTATTACTATTATTGAAACATTTTAAATTGAATCATATTTATCAAGTAAGTTAAATGTTATTTCTGAAACATTTGTAATAACTAAATGAGAAGTAAAATATTTAAATTCTTGGATTCGACTCTTGGGTATGAGGTGTTGTATATGATACTCTCATGAGATGGTGGAGAAGATTTATTCCTCAGGTGGGTGATTTTGATGAAGTTTTGTTCTCTGAGCACAAAATTCGGGTAGTTTGTGCTGCTGCTGCTGATGTCGTTCAGAAGGACGATGAAAGCTCCACGACCAAACAATCCAGCTCAGAGAACAAAACTCCATCAAAATGATTTTCTCATGATTTCTGACTGTTGTTCAGTGATATGAAGGTCGATATTTTTCGGGCACAGATAACATGTTTGATTTTCTGGGACGAACAGTAAGATTGATTTTAATGACCTATACGATTGTCACACACTTATACTAGATACCAAGCTAATGAATAATACATTATACGTCAAATTAACTCAGATAAAAAACGCGATATCAGTCCGTCTCTAACATGTGTATATGACGAAGAAATCACAAGGTTAGGAAAATATATTACAACATATTCACAATTATCTATCCACATATGTGGTTAGTCAATCACAATTCACTATGGTCGGGCCTAAACATCATTTTGTGATCTAAATTTTCGTTAGATTAAACTGATACTATTGTGTGTGTACAGAGTTTACGTTTATAAAACAGTTTGTTTAACATACACCTCATACTTTTATATACAGTACTAGCTGATATAGAGGAGTGAGCAAGATCAAGATATGATATCAATTCATGAAATCATTGACTGGTGGTTTAAGTGGTGTTGTCTGAAAGTACGAGACTTTCTGATTTGAATCGGTTCGATACTCGTAATCAGTGGTTGGAAAAATTCACTGACATGGCGTAAAACTAGTGTCATTGGCTGTATTGCATGCATTTCTTATGCTCTTCAAAATCGAGGGTGATATATTATTCCCAACTCTCAGTTCTACAGTCTCGTCTTGTTACGTGGTGCGGCCGTCCGATTGTGATACTAAGATACATATTCCATATACCCGAATCTTACGTGGTACATGAGTGAAGAGACTAAGAATGAGAAGAAATCTGAATTCCTAAAGCAAATCAAGATGTACATAGTTTATTGCTGTATAGATGCATAAATCTCCACCTCTCAAATATATATGAACCGAGCCTTAATAAAATTGCGTAGTGTCAATCAACAGTATGCCTCCTTTAAAACTTCTATTCCTTTTTCACATATAATTCTAATATTTAAATTCTAATTGAAGTTTGATATTACTGCCCTCATAATTATTGGCAATGTGCCCCCAAATGCCCTGGTACGGTAGAGAGTGGGAAGAGTACGCTCTTCCTCTCCAATTGCTCTCACATGGCCACGCGTATATAGCCTCTGACAGGGAAGTCCTACCCACTGCCTTCTGACAGTGGCCGGGGTGTTGTTTACAAAATTGAGAGGACGAAAAGCGAATACCCGGCGATTTAACCGGGTTAATTGACATGGAAATTCCACCTAGGGGAGTTGGAAAACCCCGATTCCAAACCAATGGTGCACATGGACTCCAGTATCCTGAGGGAACAAATGGCGTATAAATCAATTGTTGGTCACCGGCTACCATGGGACTGCATCTCCTTAGGATGCTCGACTGCCTTGTGGATCAGATCTTTAGGTCTAAGGCTCCGAGTGTGGTCTCCTATGAAAACCACCTGCTCCAGTTTGGGCATCTGACACAAATCTCATTTGATTTGTGTGGCGCAAATGTATCTGGTCCTTAATTGTACCAATATTTATGTATTTAAATAAATAAATAAAATAAATAATTGGCAATGTGTAGCCTTTAGTTACCACCTACCTTGGTAGGTTATGTTAAGTGATGTAGGAGTAAATCAGAAGAAAACACTGAATTTTTATCTCGTTTTAGATTTTCAGTTTCAGTATTCTTTCATACGTACTTTTCATACTGTTGCCTCAAGTTTTTTTCCAAATGTTTAACACATTGGTACAGTTGGACACCAAATATATATGCGCCGTACATTGTAGTTATTATTCAATTTATGTATTTGAAACCACAGTTTTCCAAATACCCTAGATGAATCTTCCGTACCTATCAACACGATTTAAGCTTCGGAAAATCTCTTTCTGTTCTTTCAAGTTCGTAAACACCCTCACCGTTAGAATGCAATGAATAGGACTTCTCTGACAGTGGCTGTATGAGTGTGGTCATGTGAAAGCATTTCGAGGGAGAGCAGACTCTGTTCACCTTTAGCCGTTTCAGAGCATTTGAGGGCACAGTATTGATTATAATTAATCAATAGGAGTGCTTTGATGTTTGCAAGCAAAAATGGTTAGTAGCTAACAATGAAATCTAGGACGCAGTTTTCGTCTTATCTGAGACTCGTCAGTCGGATGTACCCGCTTTGATAAGTATGTTATAACCAACTAATTCTTATCTTTCTCGTATAAAATACATTAAATGCTTCATTGTATTTTATATTTCAGTTTGAATATGTCTCACAATATTTAGTATTTGCTAATTGTATACCATTGATTTTGAAATTTTTCAATCAAGAAATTACACTTTATATTACATCGAAAAATACGTAAGTTATTTTTATCTTATGCCTTAATGGATTATGTAATAATAATGATAATATGAGACAATGTAGTTCACTTATCACGTACAAGCTTTTATGTCAGGTGATTGGAAGTAATCCGGAGAAAACCTTGGTTAGCTTAGGTTTCGTACCCGACAGTTGTTGCTACCTTGAAGTGGTGGTCGGGCTTGCCCATCGTGATAAACCAGTCGGGCTATACTAGCAGTAAAGTCTGTTCTTTAGGTCCTGCCATGCCAGTCACGCAAGTCGGTTGAAGGATGGTAAAACCAAAAGCAGAAAACACAAAGTCTGAAGGCGAAGTTGTACAGCTGACTGTACAGAGGTGTGACGACAGTAATGTGTTTCCCTCAGAGATCCAGCATTACAGTGATGCTGCCGTCTCACAAAGTAAGGGTGTGGTTAGAAAAGGTCGACCTTAAAAATCCACAACTAGCCTTATCCCATGGGTTTCCGTCTCCAGCGGTAGTGTCTCAACAAGTACGGAGATAACATGGAAATTACTCATAAAAAGGTTGTGTGTGACCTCCTGTAACAGTTGTCTCTTGGACACTTCGGTCACACTCTCAGGTTACTAAGACCACTTCTAACCCAATTCTCTTTACAAGTACCTCTAGAAGAACCGTTCTACAGTATGGGCGACCGGGAAGTGACAACCATTCTCATACCTCTAACAGCACTCAAGACCACCGTATTCATGAATGGCTGACTAACTTAGGTTTCGTGCCAGTTGACATTCTTCAACATTGTATCATCTGCAATCTTGAGTCAATGGACACTCCTTGTGTGAATTAATCTTTTGTAGGTCTTAGATATTTCATATTAATTTATTAGTAAATGGTAATCAATGTACAAGCCTTTATGCCCTAACTTTAAGCTACACCATTTGTATGTGAGTTAACGATTCTAGTACTATTCGGTTGGCCAAACCAAATTAGATGATACGTGAGTACGAATCTACGACTCACTAGTCGATGGGTTCCGAGAGCTTTGATCATACTAGCTTATAGTTCGAATACGTGTTTTCAAAAGAAATTACCTTGTGAAACTATGCTATATTACCAAGAATGAGTGGCAATGAAAATGTCGTAGAATTTGCTAAGCCCTGTTAGTGAATCAGTTCACTGCTTTTATATCATTTCATTATTATTGTGTGGTATCACAGTTGATAAGAATGCGATTCTCCTTGTCCAGTTATTCAATTTGGTTTGTCTGGCTTATTTTATTTTGATGATGTGGTGTGATATGATCTGGTAACATTGTTCAGTGAACATGTTTCCCATATTCTATACTGTGTATAACTGATGGATAAGTTTTTCTTTTCGTTTTTGCACTTGTGTAGCTTAAACATCGCAAAACAATAATTAAACAAACCTGATGATTTTAAGCGGATGTCCGGCGCTTTAACCGGGTTGGTAGACACGGAAAGTTCACCTAGGGGAGTTGGAAAACCACAATTCCAAACCAGTCGTGAACATAGGCTCCAGTATCCTGAAAGAACTAATAGCGTATGAACCAATTGTTGGTCACCGGCAACCATGGGACTGCATCTCCTTACGATGCTCCATTGTTTTGTGGATCAGATCTTTAGATCAAAGGCTCCGGGTGTGGCTCCTCGGGAAAATCACCTTTTTCGGTCTGGGCACCCGAGCAGTATCACAGCCCTCACACAAATCAAATAAGATTTTGTTGCGCATATATATATCTGGTGCCCCTTTGTACCAATATTTATGTGTTCAAATAAATAATCAACCTCCCTGAAAAAATATATAACAGTATAACCTATCAACTTATAAGTCTTAGATACTTTCAACAGATACTCAAGTTATAGCCTCAACAAAAACTGTCTGTATGTAGACAAATAATAATATGCTGGGGGTATTGGGGATTGGTCTAAAGGTGAAGTAAATATCGTCATGCTTGAAATGCCCAGATTCAATTCATATTGGAGTCATGAAAGTTTACTGTACCAAGAGGTTTCATCCCAGTTGAAAACAGGCGTCAAGTGTTTCATGATATTCACTGATTATATAACTAAAGAGTTGGTCCATGATTTAAAACTTAAAAATCACAATTTTATCCGTCTATGTACTTCTTATCGCTTTATTTTCGTATCTCCTAGACTTTCATGTTTAGAATTCCCAGCTCGTCTAATTGGGGAACAAGAAGCACTATCGATCGATATGGTTGTAAGTTGTATGTTTTATTTTTTGTTTAACCTATTCATAAAAATTTTTCAAATGAAATTACATTGATCCATTGCATTCGCGATGTATATGAACCGTGGTAGAGATGTCAAATGAACAGTAATGACAATTCTGTTCATTAACTCATGTAAGATGGTAAATAGAATGACAAGATCTTGTCAAATATCGTTTTCATGTTTGTTGAAATAAGTCATCATATGAAGGATGCTACTGTTCAGTAGTTGTATACAGTCAAAAAGAAACCGTCCTTGGCGTAGGTTTCGTGCTAGTTTTGAAACGCGTCAATAGGAAGTATATCCAATCTTGACTGAAACCGGTGCTTCCATTATGATTCAAAATCATTTTACTCACTATCATAAAAAAATGTTACTACTAAGCTACTTAAGTTTCAACTGACTTTCTGTAGGATTAAGCTATCCTAACGGATAACACGGGTTTGAATCTCATGGGGAGCACATTAGCCAGTAAAAAAGCAGGATTTATACTTTTTGCTTGACAAAATACAATTTAGCCTAAAAAAGTAATAATTTGATTATTGGTTATACTAATATTATAGTATCAATTTGGAATGACCTGAGAGTAGTGTAAATAACGTACACTTTACCAACAGTGTGTAGAGTAATGGCCTTAATGACCAAGGTATTTGACTTTCAACTATTGAATTGCCTCTTGTAACATCACCATCCTATCTTGATGATTTCATTTCGTTGTGCTAATGCAACTGACACGTTTTGCTACCGATACACCTAAACTGTCTTCCTAGATGGTTAAATACTTCTACGTATCAACGTGAACTGTAGAAAGCAGATACGAATCATAGTAGAACCTTTTCTCCAAGGTTGGTTTATGTACAGATAATACAATGGTATTGATAGAGTTAAACATGACCTTGGGCGTCTGAAAATTTGCAGAATCCTACTAAATATAGTACCCGTACAGGTACTTAACTAATCTAAATCGTGGAACGTGATTCCGCACCTTTTAGACGTTTCTGTGAATATCTTATTTAACGCTGATTGAATGAAACGTTTCTGGGCCTCCAAGAGCTTTGATGATGTTGGGGACGTTAAATCCCCAGAACTTACTTGGTAAATAGCCAAAGCGCTCTTTTCACCTTCGAGTCGTATTTCCCACTTGTAAATTATCTTGAACGCTATTGGTCCGTTGTATCTTTTAATGTGCTATTTTAAAATGCTGCCCAAGTACAATTTATTGCTGTATATACACGTTTGAGTTTTTTCCCTTACGATTGTTTGTATTTCTGCTGCTTACGGAATATAGTTTCCCCTACTTCGCCTTGGACTTCTTCCTCTAGTTAGCGGGCCCTGGGACAACGGATTAGATTAGCCTATCGTGTCACTGTCATTGACCTTCGTTCTTTTACCGAGAAATCGAATTAGCATCAAGCATAACAAATGAAGAGTATTTCTAGGACCCTTTCAACAATGATATGACAACTTGTGTACTGATGTACATGTGCTGATACATCCTTTGGTTATGTTTTGGCTTAACTATAACTGATTGATTATGTATTTTGTATTACAAATCCTATAAAATGAATAATACATTCGATATTGAGTAGAATGTTATTTTCATAGTTGAAATCATGAGTCAATTGAAGCTAGACCACTATGGAAAACTTGGAAGCACTGGACGGACATTCCGTCCTATTATGGGTTGGTTGAAGTTAGACATTAACACCGTTGGATGCCGGCAGGCTCAGTGGCCTATCGGTTAAGTGCTCTGGTGTGAGACTGATAGGTTCTGGGTTCGAATCTCGCGAGTGCGAGATCGTGGATGCGTGCTGCTGAGGAGTCCCATAATAAAACGAAACGACCGTCCAGTGCTTCCAGGTTTTCTATGGCGGTCTAGCTTCAATTAACTCATGATTTCAACTATGAAAATACTAAATTCTCCACAAAACCCCTTCTGATCTATAAACTGTTATTGATTATCATTCTTCCCCCCCCCTTGATTCTTATTTAAAAGCTTGACAGCATTATTAGTAGTATCATCAAATTCTCTTTCTTGTTTCTTTGTTAGTTTGGTGATTGGGTTTCCTGTTGTTGGCGTAATATGTTTTCATGTATTAATCTATTAAGAATATTGAATATGTTAACTAAATGGAAACATTCAAGAATTATGGTATGTTTTTCTTTATATAAAAACGTTGAATGTTAAGAGTTCTACACAAATATCTATAATCATCATCGTATTAAAATGTATACATTAGGAAACACTTGTCAATGTAAAGAACAAAACATGATTTTGATGGAGCTTTGTTCTCTGAGCTGGATGGTTTGGTCGTAGAGCTTTCATTGTTCTTCTGAATGACATCATCAGCATAAACTTTGGATAGAAATCTCTACTCTTTCAATAACATATTCAAACCCTAATCTTTCACATTACTGCTTATACTCTTACTACTTCTACCACTATGGGGTTTAAATCAACAACTACATCTCTGTTCTTATATGGTATGGCAACTCTAACTGATGTAAGTATGTACGAAGTTCTACGTTGTGACTGACTGGGTGAGAAAGCTCCACGACCAAACAATCCAGATCAGAGAACAAAACATTCTGAATGGAAAACTTTGTAAAAATTATAAAAGACAAAAAATAATTAGGCCGTTATTGTATTTGTTCAGACTGTCATAAGCTGGAAGAAAAAGAAAGGGGAGAGCAATCAATCTTGTCTGACACCAGTCCTTACTTAAAATGAGTTTATCAGCTATCCACTTTGCAGTGTAGTCCGTCGAATGGATTCAGTATAATGTTGACGATTTTTTCAGATACTCAATGGTGTCGAGGAAGGTTCCATAGAGCTCTCGTATATGCACTGTCAAATGCTTCCTCATAATCAAGGAATTTGATGTACAGTGACGATTTTCATTCATTTGATTGTTCAACGATGATCTGAAGTTTCACAAATTGGTCTGTACACAACCGATCCTTACGGAATCCGATTTATTGATCTCGAAGTTGAGCGTCTACTGAATCTTTCATCCGGTTTAGCAAAACTCTGTTGAAAACTTTTCCTGGTACCGATAGTAGAATGATTCCTCTGTAATTCTCACATTCGCACAGATCTCCTTCCTTTAGTATCTTGATGAGTTATCCTTCTCTCCAGTCTGTTGGCATTTGTTCTTTCTTCCAAATCTTTCAGTTAGGAAAATAAGATATCGTTCAAATGCCTTGAAAACCTCGTATTGTCGTGCAAATTTATTCCTGGGCTTTTAAATTATTTATTTAAACACATAAATATTGGTGCAAAGGGGCACCAGATACATATGCGTCACACAGATCTCATTTGATTTGTGTGAAGGCTGTGATACTGCCCGGGTGCCCAAACTGGGGCAGGTGGTTTTCTTAGGAGACCACACCCGGAGCCTTAGACCTAAAGATCTGATCCAGAAGGCAGTGGAGCACGGTAAGGAGGCGCAGTCCCATGGTAGCTGGCGATCAACGATTGATTCATATTCCATTTGTTCCCTCAGGATGCTGGAGTCCATGTGTACCACTGGTTTGTAACCGGGGTTTTCCAACTCCTCTAGGTGAACTTTTCGTGTCCACCAACCCGGTTAAAGCGCGGACATTCTCTTTTCGTCCTCTCAATTTCGTAAACAACAGTAATATCACGAGGATGCAGTGGGTAGGACTTCCCTGTCGGAGGCTATATACGCGTGGTCATGTGAAAGTATTTTTAGAGGGAGAGCTGACTCTCCCCACACTCGGCCGTACCAGGGCATTTGGGTGCACCTACTACTAGCTTGCACCTTATCAAGTTACAAGAATACCAACTTCATTTCTGGAGAATCACTCATTCATTTGTCCAGTAACAAAATGAATTATAGTTCATTAGGATTACTTAAACCATAGCCTGAGATAAACGTTTTTGTAATTGGCTAAGAATTTAAAATATTGACATATAATTCCCATTTAAATAATAAAGACACGAATTTCAACAAAGGGATCTATTTTCAACGACTTCATTATTATGATGTACCTTTATATGAATCTAGAATTCAAAGGTGACCGAACATCTGTTGCAATCAAAAATCATTTAACAGCAGTGGTAAGAACGTTCTTTGCAGCAAAAATGAGAATAACGTTTACTAATAGGAACTTGTTTTCTGTATCCGTAAAGGATAAACTTCCCTGTCTGGTCTCCTCCGTATACATCTACCAGTTCACCTGCTCTTGTGGAGCTAGGTATATAGGCTGTAGCCAGCGCGCACTTTCATGTCCCAATGTGGTTTCACAAGGGTGAGTAGAAAGCAGCTAGATGTTCTATTCTTGGACATGTAATCAATTCTAACCATTCTACCGATCCACAAGTTGATTTTAAGTTAAAATAAACCTTTTTCCTAATTGACCAACGATTCGAAATACGACTCTTTATTTTTTCTATAGCTTCTTGTAGTTTTTAAATCTGCGCCAATTCTAAAACGTGCACTACGTGTTAGACATGCAATGCTTCAATTATATGTATTAAAATTATTAAAATTACAAAGTCGTTATTTTGGTCGTCAATGGCGTAAAAATAATATGTCAATTATGTCTGCGATTTATCAAAAAGTTCGACATCGTTTAACAGATGATTGGGCTTATGGTAATGGTAAGTTATTTTCTAGTGTTTGTTATCATTATAATGTAAACCATAGACTACCTATGAATATATATATCGTTGTTTTACAACATGTCATTCACAATCCGAATGACTAGCTGAAGAGTTTCATACTGTACCATTGTGTTAAAATTCTAATATGGAAGAGGTAATTTTACTGATAGGTACCAATCAGTTGAATAAGGTTTAGGTTTACAACATCTTGTAGACTCTCTTTTAACTTGATCTTAGTACATCCAAATATGTTCTATGGAACATCGAATGTATTAAATCATATTGAAAATTGAGTAACCATTCGTAATATAAGTAAACAGTTATGTAAAAACTATTAACTGTGATGAATTTTCTCAACAACGATAATCAGTTAGTCATAAGCAACATAGAGTCGGGGATAAATGTGCTTCAGTCAGAGTTGTCATATCACATAAGCATAATGAAATAAATTTATCAAGATGAATACGAGAGTAGTCAAAATAATAGTAGCAGAAGAAACAGTAGGAAGTTTGAACAAGACAACGGAGTGTTAAGATGTATATAGCAGAATGCCGAAACTTAAGTGGAAGATCAATGTTAATAGATTAGGGTTCGAAGATGTTATTCAAGGAGTATAATACAGTGATATAAATTTGGAAATAGAAAAAAGATAGAGACATGAAGAATTCAGAAGATTAGAATTTGGCACAACACAAAGAGTGGATGCATCTTCGTCTTTGCAAACGATTTTGAACCATGTCATTCAAGGTCTCTAACCATCGATTGCTATCATCTCGCGGATCCCAACCAGGTAATCTACACCTACCAACATGGCTCAGTCCACGTGTCAGTGACTTCATGGATTTGTGCCACGTTTTGGTCTGACCGTCCCTAGCTTTCCTCCAACCTAATCCTACACCTAAACATTGCATATCGGTGGTCGAGCATACGTAACACATGTCCCAACCATCTCAACTGATGAAGTTTCACTATTTCATCAATTGATTTGCCATTCTTACCTAGTACCCGTTTCCTAACAACTGCATTACTTACTCGGTGGTCCCAGGGTATACGAGCAATGCTTCGAAGACACCTACGATCGATTACTAGCAGCCATAAAGTAGGATGGAACCAATTACTGCACAGTAAACCCGTTCCTTGGTTGCTAGATGGATATCTCGCCTACGTCATAAATGATGCAAGTTGGTGAAAGCCAGGCGAGCCTTCTGTATCCGTGCTGAGATTTCGTCACATACCAGACTACAAGGGCTGATGAGACTCCCAAGATAAGTGAAGCAGTCAACACGCTCAACTACTTCACTCCCTATCATTAGTTCAGGTGTCGTTACAACCCAATCTTGAAGTAACATTTTGCATTTCGAGGGGGAGAATCGCATCCCGAACATGTCTGCATAGTTGCTTATAGTGGTCAGAAGACTCTGCATTTTGTCAGTGTCTTCACCAAATAAAACTATGTCATCGGCGTATTCTAAGTCAACAAGTGAGCGTCCCTTTAAAAGTATATTTATGTAAACAAAACAAAATACATATCTCGTAACAAGTAGTAGTGTAGTGAGCGAGAACACAGGCAGGGGACAACCAAATATGTTTGAACACAAAACTACAGAATCTCTTAATTAAATCTAAGAACTATACAGCAAATTCTTCATTTGCACAATATCAATCAATCGTCTAAGACATCATTGCTCCTTCGCTCCCACACCGAACACTCTTTGCGTCGATCTTCTTAACTTTCTGTCATCAGGTACTTCACTTTCCATTGATGATACATACTACTTACATCTGTCGATATCAGTAGTAGGTTTTGGTCATGAGTTTAATACACACAGATATAAACTTATTGAATATATAACTTAACATTAAATTTGTTGCATATTTTTTCTACTGAAACCTTCTTTTAATTAAAATTATACTTTATAGATGTTGATGCATTACCATGGCAATTTCAAGTGGAAGAATGTTCATTACGTACTAATGTTGATCAATTTAATCAACGTCATTATACTGATCATTGGTTTGATCCTGAATATAAACCAGTTGATAATTGTTTAATGAGTATACTTAGTCAATCTATAGAATTATCTAATGAATTTAAAGAAAATTATGAAAAATGGCTTGAAGAAGAAGTATTCTCAGTACCAATCAACTGGTCACATGTATTAGCTCATTAAAAAGAATGGGTTTCTATTTGTAAACCTTTTGATGATTCAAAAGATAGTTTACCCCCTTTTTTCTTAAAAAAACAAACAAAACAATACCGGTTTATGTTTTGACTTCGAATGAATGGTACCAGTACTAGTACTAAGTAAACAAATATTCAGTGCAATGTAATGCCTGTTTTGTTTAATATCTAAATTTATAGCTTATAACAAAACGTCTTATGATCCTTTCATTCCTCTAGAAACCTTTCTAGGGTTATTGTCGGCCATGTAATTAGCAGTCTCATGCTGTAGATAAACCCTAATGAAACATTAACCAGAAAAAACTAGTTGAAGTACCTTATTTAGGGTAACGATACCTCATGATGTAAGGTGCGTTTTTTTTCGAAAATCACGAGGCTCATGCCCATTTTGACAAGCGGAGCACACTGAACATCTGCAAAATCTGGGAGAACGGAGAAACTATTCAAGTAGCTGCATGAAAGAAAAGATACAACCTAGCGGTGCTTAGAACCAGTGATGCTCACTAAAAGCAGGCTGGCCAGGAAAGCTTAACTTCGAGAGAGGTACCATTATACTCTAGTGATGAAGAGAAAAATTCTTCCACTTTGATTATGTATAATGCAGATAGCTTATAAGAAATAGACAAATTCATTATTTTGTTTGGGCGCACAGGCATTATGTTAGCCCTTACACAAATCGAATGATGAACTTTGGTGCCTCCTAGTATTCATGTTATTAAATAAATGTCTCAATCGAACTGTACAACCTAAATTAGTCCACATCGCACGACGACAATGAAAAGAAAAAAGAGGAATAATAACTCATGAATGCCGGTACATGAAAAATACTATTTTAGCGGATAAAACGATTGATATTTATTTGAAGATTTAGAATCTGTTTTACTGCAGTTGTGATCGATTACGTCTTCAATATCATCCAGCATATCTGTCCATAGGTTTCAAAACACTCAGTTTGGCTATTACGTGATCGCTTTCATTACTGAGTTTCCTAATGTTATACAACTGTTGTCTTTAATGTCAATTCAATCTTTAGTATGAATTTGTGAAACTCCCACGATCATTAGCGGTTACCATTTGGAACCTATGATTATAAACGAATAGTCCTACAGTTGTTGCAACTAAATCTTTAAGGTCTGCGCTGATTTAACAATATCTTTATTACATAATAGTCGTTTAAATTCAACATGAATTGTTTAGATAAATAATAGATTACTTCATCTGACATATTTTTCTATTTTCGCGACTTAGTAAACTATTCTCGTTTTTTATAATAAGTAATTTGAGAACATGAAATACAAGTTCGATCATTGATAGCCTTAAACAAACGGTATAAATATCTAACTAATTTATTTATTACAAAGCAAATGTTAAACTATTACAAGGTTGAAAAAACTTATTTGACTGACAATATGACTTGATACTAGTCAGAACGTTTGATCACCTGAACTACACAGAGTACATAATGCGAAGACAGCCCTGCCCCCTAATGCTCTGGTATGTCCGAGAGTGGGAAGAGCCAGCTCTCCCTCTCGAAATACTCTTACATGGCCATGTGTATATAGCCTCTGACAGGGAAGTTCTACTCACTGCCTTCGCGTGACATTACTGTTGTCTACGAAATTGAGAAGACGGAAAGCGAATGTCCGGCGCTTTAACCGGGTTGGTGGACACGGAGAGTGTCCACCTAGGGGAGTTGGAAAACCCTGATTCCGAACCAATGGTGCATATGGGCTCCAGTATCCTGATGGAACAAATGGCATATGAACCAATTGTATGTCACCGGCATCTACTCACGATGCTCCGCAGTCTTGTGGATCAGATCTTTAGGTCAAAGGCTCAGGATGTGTTCTCCTAAGAGAATCACCTGCTTCGGTTTGGGCATCCGGGCAGTATCATAGCCCTCACAAAAATCAAATAAGATGTGTGTTTGAGGTGCTAGTTGGCGCAGTCTGGTGCGGAGAGGTGGCGTCGAGTGGAGTGTTCTGGCGGGGCAGCGTTGGCTGTAGCGGGTGCTGTCGACGGAGAGGAGCAGTGGGACGTGTGGTTGCTGGGTGGACATCAGATGTAGATGGCTCAGCAGGCCGGTGGAGAACGGGTGTTGAACGTCCCAGGTGCCGAGTGGATGCGGATATTGGTGCCCCGGCAGGTCGACGGAGCTATGGAGGTCAGCGCGCCGCAGACTCGACATTCTGACGGAAAGTTTTCAGAATTTACTGAGATAATCTGTAATTTTTGCTTTAATAAATTCGATTGTCCCCAACCAGTGTTCTGTTCACTACATTTGTGTGGTGCATGTGTGTTTAAATAAAACAACTATTCAACTCACAATTGAAAACGTGTTTAGATGATATGCATCACATGCAGTTGTACAACTTAAAGCTCAGAATAGCCGCTTATAGAAGCATAAGATGACTGATGACATTTTATCAACTCAAATATATTTCGATTAACTTCTTATCACTTAGCTAAAGATAATTTATGATGTAAATTACTTTCAACAGTTAAGACGTTCGACTTTCAGCGATTGAATCGATCACTCAAACCCTGCTTAAACCTATTCTGGTTTTGGCAAATCTTCACACACATAGCTCGTATAGCACAATACAAAGTTGAAAAATCTATACTTGTAACTAAGTTAAATAGATAAATAAATAAGTCAATTATTTCTTTATGTAAAAATAACAAGTTTCATTGAAAATACAAGCGACAAAGAGAGTGAAAAAGAGAGAAATGGTTTTTTTAAAGCAATAAATAGTCAGAAGAGGTTTTGTATAGATTTAGTATTTTTATAGTTGAAAGCGTGAGACAAATGAAGCTATACCACTATGGAAAACCTAGAAGCACTGGACAGCCGTTTCGTTCCTATTATGGAACTTCTCAGCAGTGCACATCCATGAGGAGTCCTATAATGAGACGAAACGGCCGTTCAGTGTTTCCAGGTTTCCATGGTGGTCTAGCATCAATTGACTCACTCTTTCAACTATGAGAAGAAATAATCATAAAATGTATCAAGCAAAAACATCAATGCATTGAATAAATATGAACATATGTACAGAGAGAGAGGAGGGGATTTTAATGTTAACCCTTAATATTAAGCCATATTACATAACTAGTTATATTAATGTATAGAAATTACATTCAAATTACTAAGAAAAAAATAAACAATAGACATTGAAGATCAAATAGTAGATGATAAAAATGATTGAAGATTTAATATAATACTGTACAAATTTCCACAAGTCGGTTTACATGTTTTAAAATATTCTTCCAGTTTTTCAGTTCTATGTAACAGAAATAAAAAAAGGGAATGAATTATTAATAATAGTGATGATGATAACAAGAATAACTTGACACGCATAACATTGATCGACATCCAGTGATCAATCAATTGTGATTACATCTCAGTCCTACAGGAGGTCGGTCGCGGCCGAGATAGCTCAGTGATGACGACTTTGACTGTGAAGCTGAGTGACGTGAGATGGAATCCGTCAGGGAGCACTAGTTCCCTCAAGATTACAGGTACAATTTGTTGACGAGTGTCAAGTAACACGAAACCTGGGGTCCAGGGTTTCCTGTTGACCACCTCCAACCACCATCTTATCTCAACAAAGTGCACGCAGTGTCGAGCCACCTAGACTAATGGCCACATTGCAACTTGGTTGATAGCATTCGGTCAGCACTAAGAAGGACTTGACACGCATGACATTGATCACCACCTAGTGATCAATTAATTGTAATAATAATACTGCTTGTAATATATCATAACCAATATACATGACTACTTTTATATTCCTGTAAAATGTGTAGTGCGATGCTTCGTTAATTGTTTATCTCGATAACCGTTAAAATACAAATCATAACGGTGCATAAAATCAGAAGGCAAAGAGAAGCGGCAACTACACTTCTATTGACAAATAACGCAGGTCAGAAAGTTATAAGCACATGAGTAAATATTAGAGAGGGAAACAAAAATGGCGCGCATTGGAGATGGAAGGCAAGCCAACTCACTTCAACCAAGCGTTAATCAATATTTATAGTCAGACAAGAACAAGTTACAGACGCGATGAATAGGATAAGAAATGTACACACAAACGCTCATATAAAAACAGTCAGTATTAATAAGTGAATAATTGACAAGGTCAAAACGTGAATCAAGATAAACAGGTAAACTGGACTGTCCAGAAGCTAGGATAAGGTATACGGACCTAACATATCAACCGACACTACAAATGTTAGTCTTATTCGACAAAAATGAAAAATAACCCACTGATTAATTCGTTGGATTATGATTTTCATTACAGTTGGATAGTGGCTATGCGTGAAATTCAAAATATACGTTTAATCCTGTTTGAGACTCGTTAACTGAGTATGCCTTAACCCCTGTATCGATGTTTAAACTAGGATTACAATCCACCACAGCTACTGAGTTCAGATACTAGCTTACCTATCAAGTTTCGAGGTTTATTTTTAAGGGTTTGCATTTCTCTACTAAACTGAATGAATAACACATAGCTGTTCAAAACAAGAAATAATGCATAAGAGTCGCTATAAATATCACGAATATATGACAGCATCCAGTTAACAAGTCCCAAATAGGAAAAAACGCTCGTCCTGAATCCACTAGTAGTTAATAAAGAACTTTAATAAAACCTTGTTACGAAATGGAAATGTTGAAGAAGTCTTCTCCGGATGTATGTATAGAAATAGAAATTGGTCAATTGGGATCCCGAATATCATAATAACTAGGAAATGTGAACCTTTATAAATATTGTGTAGGAGATTCCAAAACCATATCACATATGTGAATTTGTGCTATGTCATTACTCCTTACAGTCGATAGCACAAACGTGTTCAGGACACTAATCGAATTATATTTACAGTATTTTTTAGTGTTTTATTGCTTGGATATGGATGTAACGTGACTACATAAGTTCAAGGACTAATAGAAAGCCACATACCAACGATGACACAGTTGCACACAAAAAAGGAGAGGCAAGACAAGAAGTTTCAACAAAAATATTTAACGAGATTAAAAGGAGTAATCATTAAGGAAAGAAGTCGATTACACATGGATGTTATATAATTGACATTATAATCCATTTGGTGCTTAATAGTAGTAATTCGAAGCAAGAAATAGGTAAATAATGTATGCATATGTGCTATGGTAACTGGTGTCATATCAATTCAACTACTGATCATTATCCCTGTACAGAATCTGCATTTACCAAGACAATTCAGTCTACACATTTCGTTCAATTAGTTAAGTAGCAACAAGTTACTGTAGGAGACAACAAACCAGATTCCAGCGGAGGTAGAAATCAGAAAGAAGCGCTGGAAGTGGATCGGGCACACTTTGAGGAAATCACCCAATTGTGTCATAAGACATGCCCTAACATGGGATCCTGAAGGACAAAGGAGAGGAGGAAAACCAAAGAACACATTACGCTGAGAAATAGAGATAGACATGAGAAGAATGAACAAAAACTGGATAGAACTAGAAAAGAAGGCCCAGGACAGTTGGGTTGTAGAGAGCTGGTCGGCGGCCTATGCTAGATTGGGAGTAACAGGTGTAAGTTAGTAAGTAAGTAAAGTAGCTTCATCAATCAATTTGTTTATAAAAAAAGTAATTGAACAAATCAACAATATTAATTTACAGTATGCGACCAATTCAATACAAATGACTACATACAAGACAGTATACCGAAGTTTCTGATTTAAAGAGGTTCTTCAATACGAACGTCAAGACAGTCCTACTGTATGGAGCTGAAACGTGGAGAACTACTACACCTACCGTCAAGAAGGTACAAGTATTCATAAACAGTTGTCTACGCAAGATACTCAACATTCACCGGTCGGATACTATCAGCAACAGCGTTTTATGGGAGAGGATAAACCAGCTTCCAGCTGAGGAGGAAATTAGGAAAAGACGTTGGAAGTGGATCGGACATACATTAAGGAAATCACCAAACTGCATCACGAGGCAATCCCTAACTAGGAATCCGGAAGGGAAGCGGAAAAGAGGAAGGCCAAAGAACACATTACGCCGAGAGATTGAAGCGGATATGAAAAGGATGAATAACAATTGTAAAGAACTGGAAAGGATTGCCCAGAACAGAGTTGAATGGAGAATGCTGGTGAGTGGCCTATGCTCCTCGACGAGGGGTAACAGGCGTAATTAAGTAAGCAAGTTTCCTAATATGAAAAATAATAACAAAAATCATATTTATAATTCATATGACAGTTAAGCATAAATATACCCCTTTAGATTTAAGGAAAAAGTGATACCTAAAAATATTTGCTGAAATAAAACACACACACACACAAACAAACATCCACCTTAATTTTCCTCTTAAGATTTCATATTCAACAGATCCTTGACTGGAATCCATGTAATCCAAAGACATTAAAGTGAATCGTACCATTATACGATAGTTACGTGTAGAAACTTTTACAGTTATGCTAATAAAAAAATAAAAGTAATGGGATGAAAGAAAAAAAGTATATTCAAGAGGTTACCATAACACAAGTGCATATACATGTACAGTACGGCAAAAGTAATCTGTCTAATTAGTAATGAGATATTTGTAAGATAACCATACTAACTCATCAGGATATGAATGAAGTGGTCAATAATCTCGAAAATGATAGTCTTGATGACACCATCAAAATGTGTTGCTTCAGATTATACAGAATAACCGGTTAAATAGTCTACAGTCTAATCAACGTCAATTAAAACATTGTGCAAACAATCTTGAATCACTTAGACGAGTGTTTAATCTGAAACTTCATTAACAGAATTCGATTTACATTAAGCAATAGAAAGACATGGTATTGACCACTATTTATTTATCTGAACATATAAATATTGGTACAAAGGGGTACCGAGAACATATGCGCAACACAAGTCATTTGATTTTTGTGTGAGCTGAATACTGTCCGGGTATCCAGATCGAACCAAGTGATTTTTTTAAGAGGCCACACCTGAAGCTTTCGACCTAAAGGTTTGATCCACGAAGCAGTGGATAAATGTCTGGAGACTCAATCCCTTGGTAGCTGGTAACCAACGATTGGTTCATACGCCATTTGTTCCCTCAGGATACTGGAGCCCATATGTACCATTGGTTTGGAATCAGGGTATTCCAACTCCACTAGGTGGACTTTCCGTGTCCACCAACCCGGTTGAAGCACCGAACATTCGCTTTTTGTTCTCTCAATTTCGTAAACAAAACTCCTGTGGCGAGAAGGCAGTGAGTAGGACTTCCCTGGTGGTGGCTGTATGCGAGTGTTCTTATGCGTAACATATACTCACTAGTTACTGGCTTCAAGAGGTATTTCCTGGAGTTCTAGTGGAAAGCAGTGACCAGTGGTGTTCAACCAGATCTGTTGTGAGATAGCAACTCACTGAAGACAACGGTGGATGTATCGTTCAATTTTGTGGATTAGTTGATGTTAGACATTAACATTGCTGGATGCCGAGTCAGTTGTCTAGACGTTAGGCGCTCGCGCGCGAATTTGATAGGTCTAGGAATCGAATCACGCGAGATGAGATCGTGGATGTGCACGGCTAAGGAGTCCCACAATGGGACTAGTTTCAATTGACTCATGTCCTCAACGATTAAAATTACTATAATATCCACAAAAAACTTTTCTGATAATCTATTTTCTATGTCTATACAGTAATATTTTATTAAATGACCTAGATCTCCTCCTACCAGATGACAGACACGATGTCTTAGACTTTGTTCAATCATAAAAATGAGGCTAATTTTGTACTGTAGTTAACAAGAACACCAGCGGGGACAATGGAATGTATTTCAATACAAAATTACAGAACATCTGAGAACCATAAAGTAAATACTTCATTTGCAAAATATTAATCAATCGTCTCAGACTTCATTGTTCTTTCGTTTCCACACCAATCACTCTCTTTTCTAGTTCTCTTTGCTTCAATCTTCTTAACTTTCTGTCACCAGACATTTTACTTACAGTTGAAGATACATACTACTTATATTTGTTGACATCAGTAGCATACACCACAATATGTATAGAATATATTTCTCACAGGTTGAAGACATAGGTTGAACTACGAAGATATTTCTTCAGACCGAATGAAACACATGTGGTTAAGCACAAATATTATAGAATAGTATTTACAAACAAGTACTTCATGGGTCTACAGATTATAAATTAAGGGCACAAAATTTCAAGTTTCCATTTGAACGGCACACAAAAAATGCACACATATGTAAGTATGAAACGAAAAAAAAAATGTTCATTTACCTAAATGGTCCAGATGGTGTTAAGTATTCATAAAATGATAATGACTTTTTAACAGGTATTATACTTTCACCAATAAACGATTGCTGATGTAATTGTTTTGATTGAAATGGTGTTCTATGTGAAGATTGAACCGCTGTAGATCGCGGTGTTTGTCCAATTAAATGACGTAATTTCTTTGGTGTAAAATAACAACCAGTAAATAATTGATCATCTATTGATGTCATACCAAAATTCACATCATATTTAGCTAACCATAAACAACGTAAATCACTGGCCAAAACCATAAACGGAACAATGATTGTTTCAATGGTCTTGAAAATAAACAGAAATACAACGTAAGTTAATAAAGATAGACATTAAATCAAGATTATAGAATCCTATGAGCTTAGAATTCCCTCAATCTATAATTTAGACATTTTCTCAAGCCAATAAGTTGTTCATAGTTGTCTGTTTTACAATGATATATATATATATATATATGAGTATGGTAATATATAAAGCAATTTCACTCTGTTGGTCTGTACTAATGTATGCATTGGTGATGATGAAGTTCGTTTTGTCTGTTGTATTTCTTTAGTCTACATTAAAATAAAATAGAATGGTTAAGTTGGCTTGAATCAGTAAGATGCGAGGTATGGCAACTTGGACCGATGCATAAATGTGCCTGGTCCTACGTTGTAGCTGACTGACTGACTGACACAGGGTTTCAAAATTTTTTTAGTATTCTTATTTAAACACATAAATATTGGTACAAGGAAGCACCAGATAAAAATGAGCCTCACAAATCTCATTCGATTTGTGTGAGGGCTGTGATACTGCCCAGGTGCTCAGACTGAAGTAGATGGTTTACTTAGGGGGACACACTCGGAGCCTTTGACCTGAATGCCTGATCCACAAGGCAGTGGAGCATCGTGAGGAGATGCAGTCCCATGGTAGCAGGTGATCAACGGTTGATTCGTACGCCATTTGTTCCCTCAGGATACTGGAGCCCATGCGCACCACTGGTTTAGAATCAGGGTTTTCCAACTCCTCAACAAATACCCTTCCACGGTGTGGGCAGCTGGGAAGTGATATTAGCCATCATACCCGTAACAGCACACGAGACCAAGTTGGTCGCTTTCAAATCCTTCCTACATCTAATAACTCTGTTATCTCCACGACTAACCCTTCACACGTCCTTTTATCACTTCGCACCGCTAGGGCAAACGATTCGAGTACACAGAACGTTAGTCCTGGTCTCCTGAAACCATGCTCTAAACTACATATAGGAACTTTTAATGTCCGAATATTGTGCCAAATAGGACAACAGGCTTCCTTAGCTAGGACTCTAGAATCTTACACCATCGATGTGTGCTGCGTCTCCGAAACGCGCATACAAGATCCGAGTAGTGTCATTCATTTGACCGCACCTAATCAAAATAAAGTTTCATCTCGATACAGGCTTCGTGTATCTGGAAGCCCTGACGCTGCTTCCCGTGGCCTAGCTGGCGTAGGTATAGCATTAAGTCCCAGGGCAGAAATAACTCTTTTAGACTGGATCCCAGTAGACAGTCGTCTATGCGCTGTCCGACTAAACGGATCAGTAAGGACCCGGAAAGATAGGGAAACTCGTCGTTGCCTCTTCGTCATCTCTGCCTACTCTCCCACTGACTGCAGCTCAGACGATATAAAAGATGAGTTCTACAGGAAACTTTCTGACCTTCTCCGAAAAGCTAGGCGTTCTGATGTAGTAATAGTAGCAGGTGACTTTAATGCTCAAGTAGGTAAACTAAGTGAAAGGGAAAGACACCTGGGTGGATCTTATGGTGTCATGGTGAAAAGAACAGATAATGGCGACCGTCTGTTGCAGCTATGCTCAGATAACCGCCTATTTCTTGCAAATACTAACGTTAAGCATAAGGAAAAACATCTTTTCACATGGCGACCCCCGAATTCGTCCCAACGTTGGACCCAATTAGATCACATCGCTATCAGCCACCGATGGAGGGGCTCGATAGAAGACTGTCGCTCATTCTGGGGCACATGTTTAGATTCAGATCGTGCTCTAGTGCGAGCACGTATCTGTCTGCGTCTTACTGGTCGTAGGAAAGACACTGCAGGGAAGCCTCTAAGGGTTCTACTTAATGATGAGCAAGCTAAGAATATATTTCAGGAACAACTAGAAAAACAGTTAGGCAGCCATGTAAGTTGTGTTCACCCCGAGGCAGCGTGGAATGACATCCGAAAAGCTGTGGAAACAGCAGTGATATCCGCTAGTAAGGTAAACCATAACGTTAGGGAGAAACAATGGATCTCGGCAGCATTTACCGCACTGATAGATGCTCGTAAACTCATCCCATCTGGCTCTGAACATAACGAAGAGCGGAGTCAACTTAAGCGCAGGCTTATAAGAAGCCTACGTAATGATCGTGAACAGTGCTGGGTAGCGAAAGCAAGAGAGATGGAAAAGGCAGTGGCAATAGGTAACAGTAGACAGCTATTCAGACTCGTTAAAGAAACCGGTATTAGGAACCCGAATATCAGTGAAACCATCTCAGATAAAGATGGGCATATTATTCATTCTCAATCCAGGAGATTGGATCGATGGGCAGAACACTTTAGGGATCAGTTCAACTGGCCTTCAGCCACACTTCAATTACCCACGATCCCCAGTCGTCCTGAATGGCAAATTGATGTAAGTCCTCCAACCCTCTGTGAGGTTGAAAAAGCTATAGGAAATCTAAAGCGAGGGAGAGCCGCAGGCCCTGACAGGTTGACCCCTGAGATTTTTAAGGATGGTGGTCCAGTACTAGCAGTGAGATTGACTGAGGTCTTAGGTAGAATCTGGGAACTGGACGTAATTCCATCTGACTGGTCCCAATCACTGATTGTGCCAGTCTATAAGAAAGGACAAAAGTCCTCTTGTGACAATCACAGAGGGATCAGTTTGACTAATATAGTGTCTAAAATATTAGCTTCAATAATACTTGGACGCCTAACCAAAGCTCGTGAAGAGCAGACTAGAGAAAACCAGGCTGGTTTTCGACCTGGACGTGGTTGCATAGACCAGATATTCAACCTACGTCAGGTTCTAGAACATAGACACAAATTCAGACGTCCCACAATAGTAGTATTTCTTGATCTTAAGGCGGCATTTGACTCCGTTGATCGTGAGGTTCTATGGCAATGTTTGTCACTGAAAGGAGTACCAAAGAAGTACGTTAACCGCATAAAGGCTCTCTACTTGAACACAACTGGTCGAGTTAGAGCCTATGGCGAGCTGTCATCAGAACTGATTACCACAAGTGGCGTTCGTCAGGGCTGTCCACTCTCCCCAGTCTTGTTTAACTTTGTCATTGACATACTTTTGGAGATAGCACTTTCATCAGCTTAACCTCCAGGAGTTGAACTTTTACCAGGAGGCTCACTTGTTGACTTAGAATACGCCGACGACATAGTTTTATTTGGTGAAGACACTGACAAAATGCAGTCTTCTGTCTACCATAAGCAACTATGCAGGCATGTTCGGGATGCGATTCTCTCCCTCGAAGTGCAAAATGTTACTTCAGGATTGGGTTGCAGCAACACCTGAACTAATGATAGGGAGTGAAGTAGTTGAGCGTGTTGACAGCTTCACTTATCTTGGGAGTCTCATCAGCTCTTGTGGCCTGGTGTGTGACGAAATCTCAGCACGGATACAGAAGGCTCGTCTAGCTTTCGCCAACTTGCGTCATTTACGGCGTAGGCGAGATATCCATCTAGCAACCAAAGGACGTGTTTACTGTGCAGCAGTTCGTTCCGTCCTATTTTATGGCAGTGAAACATGACCGATAAGGGTAGAGGATATTCGTAGGCTACTAGTATTTGATCATAGGTGTCTTTAACGCATTGCTCGTATATCCTGGGACCACCGGGTAAGCAATGCAGTTGTTAGGAAACGAGTACTAGGTAGGGATGGCAAATCGAGTGATTAAGTAGTGAAACTTCATCAGTTGAGATGGCTGGGACACGTGTTACGTATGCCCGACCACCGACTGCCCCGACGTGCAATGTTTCATGGTGTAGGAGTAGGTTGGAAGAAAGCTAGGGCCGGCCAGACCAAAACGTGGCACAAATCTATGAAGTCACTGACAAGTGGACTGGGCCATGTTGGTAAGTGTAGACTACCTGGTTGGGATTCGCGAGATGACAGCAACCGATGGTTAGAGACCTTGAATGACATGGCTCAAAATCGTTTGCAATGGCGAAAATGCATCCACTCTTTGTGTTCTACCAAATTCTAATCTTCTGAATTCTTCATGTCTTTATCTTTTTCTCTTTCCAAATTTATTTCACTGTACTATACTCCTTCAATAATTTCTTCAAACCCTAATCTTTTGGATTTCTGATTATACTCCTACTACTTCTACCACTATGGGATTTGAATCGACAACTGCATCTCTGTGCTAATGTGGTATGGCAACTCGAACTGATGTACGTACGTACGAAGTTCTACGTTGTGACTGACTGACTTTCCAACTCCCCTAGTTGGACCCTCCATGTCCACCAACCCGGTTAAAGAGCCGGACATTCGCTTTTCGTCCTCTCACTTTCGTAAACAACAACCCCGCCACGAGAAGGAAGTGAGTAGGACTTCCCTGGCAGAGGCTATATATTTGCTGGCCATATGAGAGTATTTCGAGAGGGAGAGGTGACTCTCCCCACTCTCGGCCGTACCAGGGCATTTGGGGGCAAAATAGGGGTTTAAAAATAGCAATGATAATTTCTGAGAAATGTTTATCACATTAGGTAGAGAACAATTTACACGTAGAAAATGAAACACAATCCAAGTCAATGCGAATAAGCTACCAGTCTTTCTAAGCATTTAAAAAATACATTTTTATAATTCTATATCTAGAAAGGACATTAGTTATGCAACCACTAAAAATCATTATGTGCCATTATCCATGAAAAAAAGGTAACGTGTATATATGTTGGTGCAATGGCGGGTGACTTTCGAGCTGAGACCAAAGAACTCGATCAGTGGATCGAGCAACTGTATGAATGTAATCAGATAACAGAAAAACAAGTTAAGTCTTTTTGTGGAAAAGCTAACGATATCCTCACAAAGGAGTCAAATGTTCAATATATATATATATATATATATATATATATATATATATATATATATATTCTACATGTTAGAAACCGTCATAGACATTTACCGACTATAAATTTAACTAATAATCCGTCAGTTATCATCATAGGGTGACATAAACCTGGCAAAATATTGACAACCTCGAAAAACTGCGACATTCGATTCCTTTCAAGCTAACAAGTCCAGCACAAATGAATTACCGTCGAAATTTCGACAATCGATACAGCTATCCTTAGCTCAGTGATTAAATAGAGAGATAGTTCGTTAATAAAAACATCCGACTTACAACCACCGATTTGTCGGAAATTTCAGTTTTATCGCTCCATCTACAACAGCTTTGACAATTAATTGATTAAAGACTGTTGTATTATGCAGATCTTGAGCCAATAACCCCTATATAGGTTTAGAATATTCAGTGTGTGGTTATCAGTGGAACAGGGGATATGCCTTTCAATTTATTCGTGGTTTGTCAGCTAACTGTACCTTCAACCGGATTTTATTGACTTTAATACCGAGACTCGAACCAAGTATCATATGCTTCATGTTGCCATTACATTATCAACTTAAGTTATATCTATAATTTACTCACAAATTACACAAAAGATGTATATAAAAATATAAGCTCACTTCAATTACATCAGCCATTGTAAACCCAATACATCGTGTACGTAAACTTTCAGATCCAGTTGTATTTAAATATTCAATAAAAGTACGAGTAACTGATTCAACAGGTGGACACTCCACTGGACATTCAACTGATTCAAATGAAATGATAAAACAAACGATGAACATCCGAAAGGATAAAGGAAAAAATAATTATGGTCAGTAGAATAAAAACATAATGTACAGTAATAATTTTAGACATGATGTAAGTGTTCCTTTGAAGAAAATCCCACTATTAACTCTGTGTATTTAACCAAGTCGTAGGTCGATGTACTTTTAAAGACTATATTGGTCAGTTAGTCAGTTAATGTATAACCTGGTACATGAAAACATTGGTTCAAACTATCACATACTATTAGCATAGAGAGATGAAATTGTCAAGTCAAATCCCAGAATAGTATAGGTAGTAACACTATCTGCTGTAATGGGAAATATTAGGTGTGCAAGATACGACTCGAAAAGAAAACATAAATTGGTGAGATAAAAATACAAAAAAAAGTTATGAAGGATTCAGAAGCTCAGAATTTGGAGGTACATGAAAAATGAACTCATCTACGTAATTGTAAATGATTCAAAGTCTGTAACCAATGCCTACGACAATCATGCGGATCCCACCCAGGTAGTCTGTACCTATTGACATGGCTAAGTCCAATTGTCAGTGACTTCATGGACTGATGCCATATTTTGGTTTGATCACCACTGGTTTCCAGCTTACTCCTACAACACACAGCAACGCCCATCGAGGTAGGTCGTAGTTGAACATATGTAACATGTTCGAACCATCTCAGTTGATGAATATTTACTACCCCATCAATCGATTTACCATCTTTGGATAGTACTCTATTTCTAACCCAGGCATTGCTTACTGTGTGATCTAAAAATACACGAGCAATGCTTCAAAGATACCTATGCTTGAATACCAGTAATCAATGAATATCCTTTATTCTTAATATCCGTTTCACACCCATAAAGTAGAATGAAGACACCTGCTGAGCAGTAAGCTAGTCATTTGGTTGGCAAATGGAAATTTCACCTAAACTACAAGCGACGCAAGTTGTCAAAAGCAGATAGAGCCTTCTAAATCCTATATTAAGCTTATAATAAATGAAGGTCGTCACTGTTCCTTACTCCAAGAAAACAAGATTAGGTTAACTTTTGTTAAAGATTTATGGATAGATGAAAATTTTCGGTTGTCGTATCATAAAATTATATTTCTGATCAAAGGGTCTGAAAATGAAAATGAACAACTAACAGTGATCTTGGGGACTTGGAATCGTGACCATAAAACTTTCTTCTTTTTAGCTAATCGTTTGGTTATGGGAAGACAGTATCGTTGAAAACGTACGCACAAAACATTGACACGAAAGTTTCCATATCCTTTATTGTTAAAATAAGTTGTGAAACCTATTCATTATACCAGAATAAGAATATGTTAGGTGGTTGAAAGTAGTCAGTAAGGTCCAGATTTTGTGCTTTTCTGTACTCTTCAGCAAGGTACATCTTTAACCATGAGGAAATGGATTCATCATCGTAGACTCAATTCACCGTCACAGTATGAGACGCCACCTAATACTAAGCGATTCCAGCTGCGAGTAACCTATAGAACAGAGATGTTTACAGGTGGTTATTTAATCAGCAGTTACCCAAGATGAGTTTGCCTGGTCTTTATTGCTGATCAAATTTAATCGGTCAAGTTGGAATTCAGACACTAGTCTAAGTGAACCGGCATTACTTGCATTATGATGAGATAGTAAGTGGTTGGAAACAATCAACAAAAAACTTTGGACTTTGCTTTCATGCTTTTCCGCGCTCGTCTCCTCAAAATTACAAGAACATTTCTGACGAGTACAGAAGGTCATAGTCAAGTTTTTTAGCACTAACACTAAGACAGTTCTATTGCATGAAAGTTTCACTAAAACGTACACTAATTTATAACCTATATACACAAAGTACCTCAAATCCATTGGTCAGAGAACAACAACAATAACATAATTTGGAAAAGCATAAAACAGCTACCAGATGAGGAGGGAATCAGGAAAAGACATTGGAGGTGGACAGGATACACTTTACAGAAAACAAGTCTTAACTTCTAATTCTCAAGGTATAAGAAAAGCAGGCGGATCAAAGAATATATAACGAAGAAAATTGAGAGTAGGGATCAAGACCATGAATAGTATTTGGGAACAAATAGAGCGGAAAGCTTACAACAGAGCTAGATGGACATCCATGGTTGGCGGCCTATACCTTAAGAAGGGTAAATGTTATAAACAGTTGGTATGGTTTATCATTACATGGTATGTTGGTAATTTGGTGGTACTAAGTAAATGACATCACTAAAACAACATGAAATTTTCATCTGACAATGGAAATCTCTCACAAACATTGCAATAACCATAAGAGATAAGAAGAATACAACATACCATCCGTTGGTGCGACAACTTGTACACTGATCACTTTCAAATTTTCCGGATTAAGTGTTATCTGCATGTCGTCATCATCGTCATCGTCATCATCTTCTCCTTCTTCTTTCTCATCATCGTCACCATCACCATCATTATCGTCAATGTTTTCATTACATTGATTATGATTATTATTATTCTTTCTATCAGTGTCATCCACTAACATATTGCATACTTGACAAGTTAATATGAAATTCACTAGACCAAATAATGTTGATACTTCATAAATATGATTATCTTTTTCAAATGACGTACATGTTATACGACAAGGTGAAAATCTATTAGAGAAACAATAAGAATATATAAGTGTGTGTAAAGATTCTTTAATTTTTTTTAAAAAGAGGATGAAAACTTAACTGACAGTCTGACTTGATAGCCTGATCAAGATGTGATGTGATCATTTTATGAAAAGATTGATATTTGGACAGAAGTCGTAGATTTTTTCAGTCGGGATTAGAGTCAGTCTTGAGTGCTGTTAGAGGTATGAGGGCAGTTATCACTTCCCGATTGCTCACACTGTGGAAGGGTTCTTCTAGAGGTACCTCAAAAGGAAATCGGGTTAGAAGTTGTTGTAATGACCAAAAAGCGTGACCGCAGTGTCCAAGGGACAACTGCTTGAGGTCGGTCACAAACGACCTTTTTATGGGGGATTTTTGACGTGTCAGCTCTGTACTTGTTGGGACCTTACCTCCGGAGACGGATATCCATGGATAAGGCGAGGTGTGCATTTTTATGGTCGACCATTTCTAACTCCACCCCTCCTTGAAGGGAAGACAGCATCGTTGTTATGCTGGTTGTCTGAAGGAAACACCTTATTGCTGTCACATCTCTATACAGTCAGCAGTACGACTTCGCCTTCGGACCTTGGGTTTGCTGCTTTTAGTCTCACCGCTCTTCAACCGACCTGTCTGGCACGGTAGGACCTTGAGGAACGATTGTTGCAGCCAGTATAGTTCGATTGGTTCATCACGATAGGCAAGTCCGACCACTACGTCAAGGTAGCAGCAACGGTCGGGTCGGGATTAGAGAACCTAAGACGAAATAGTTTATGATCCGTTGCAAAAACATCAATAGATTTATTCTTTATTGTACATTGAATCTTGTGGATTCAATCATTCAGAAATACAGCAACCAAGTTGGAATGTCCTAAGAAGATAATAATTAACGATAATGGAACACAGTTCTTGTCTGTCACTTTATCAGAATTTGATTGATAGAATAGAATTAACTGTTTAAACACTCAATCTGATAGTCAATTAGAACGTTTTGTTGGTATATTCGAAAAACCCTATGAGGAATTTGGAAGGGAAGAAGATCACCGAAAAGATTTTAGAGATTCTCATGTTTATCTACTGCACTAAACTGAGTCGTCAAACAGCTAATGGAGTGTCTCTGCAAGAAGCTTTACTTGGATGAAAATTACGCACATCTTCCGAAGCTATTTATCTGGTCCCAGGTCTTGAGTCTAAATAAAACAGATTGTTCGAGAAGAAACTCAATCATACCATTGAGAAGAAAGATGATTGTTTATTGTGGATTTGGAGATATTTGTTATAGACAATCAGTAAGCACCCTTAACATAGATATTTCATTGAATTACGCAAGGAAATGGAAATAACGGTCATGAAGTGACAGCAGGTTCGGAAACTGAAGTACATCACTCAGTATAACTAAAAACGACTCCAAATGCTCTCACATGGCCATGCGTATATAGCCTCTAACAGGGAAGTCCTACTCATCGCTTTCTTGTGGCACTACTGTTGTTTACGAAATGGAGAGGATAAAAATCGAATGCCTGGCACTTTAACCGGGTTGGTGGACACAACGAATCTATCTAGGGGAGTTGGGAAACCCTGATTGCAAACCATTGGTGCACATGGGCTGACTCCAGTATCCTGAAGGAACGAGTGGCATATGAACCAATTGTTGGTCACCGGCTACCATCGGAATGCATCTCTTCACGATGCTCCACTGCCTTGTGGATCAGATCTTTAGGTCAAAGGCTCTAGGTGTGGCCCCCTAAGAAAAGCACGTGCTTCAGTTTGGGCACCTGAGCAGTATCACAGCCCTCACGGAAATCTCACTTGATTTGTGGGGCGCATATGTATCTGGTACCCGTTTGTACCAATATTTATGTGTATAAATAATAATAACAATATTTAAATTCAAGTACGCTTTAAACACTGTACAAATAATGATACACGTGAATAGTTTTCGTCTTAGATTGACCTCTGCTGGGGAGTATCACTGAAAATCAAAGTGTACTGTAGACAATTGTCATCCTAAAACGGATTTCCACAGAGCTGAATATCCACAGCCCAGAGACAGAGATCGAACGCTGGACCTTTAGATATAGTGGGAAGCACATAACCATTAGACTACAATATTTTTAACTTACATAAATTTGAGATATAATAAGACAACAGTAAACAGAAACTTTTTAGAAACTTACAAATTTATTAATTTTCCCGTGCTTGTTGGTTTAAGTTTGTTATCATTGTTAATGGGTGTTTCACTAATCGGTATAGGAAATAATTCTGTACAACCAACAGAACGATTCAATAGAGTACCTGAATAATATAATTCCTCTTGACGTTTTTTTTCGGATAATTCTTTCAACTTTTTTTCTAAATATTGTTTTCTTTTGAATAACTTTTCATTTGATTGACGTATCACAATCTGACGTTGTGTGGTTTCATCAATTTCTTGTTTGATTCTATCAAGTTCTAAGAAAATAATAATGAAAATATTGACAAAGCTAGTTTATACTGTTCTATGGGAGAGGACAAACCAGCTTCCAGCTGAAGAGGAAATTAGGAAAAGACGTTGGAAGTGGATCGTACATACATTAAGGAAATCACCAATGTACATTACAAGGCAATTCCTAACTTGGAATCCGGAAGGGAAGCGGAAAAGAGGAAGGCCAAAGAACACATTACGCCGAGAGATTGAAGCGGATATGAAAAGGATGAATAACAATTGTAAAGAACTGGAAAGGAAGGCTCAGGACAGAGTTGGATGGAGAATGCTGGTGAGCGGCCTATGCTCCTCCACAAGGGGTAACAGGCGTAAGTAAGTAAGTAGTTTATACTGTAAACACGAATGGTGATGGTTATTTATCCAAACCAATCAATGGAAAAACTTGAGAAAAGATGTATAAATTATTGGATAATTACTGGGGTTTAATTTTTGGTAGGACTATCAGTGCACATTGATGATGAGTTTTAGTAACTAGGATGAAACTGGTGTCCAGTGCTCTTCATGTGGTTTTCAGTAACTGGCTATCTAAAAAGTCGATCTATGATGTAAACTATGGGAAAACCATGTATGTGGGTACTTTACAAAAACCACGTACATGTTTATTGATTAGAGGACTTTGGAATTGCTTATTTATTTCATTGCTAAGAAGAAATCAGATTATCCAGTATTTTGTTGCTACATATTAATTCCTTCATCAAACGATAACCTCAATGGTATTTTCTTCATTTCTATTTCTGTAATAACACTTGCTGTTACCTGATCGGTTGTCGTTACTTTTGACTTGCTAACTTTTATATGTGCCTCTAAGTAAAAGTTGTTTTTAAATTTCTAAATCTTTACGGAATTTAAAGCTGTCTCGAGAGTCCCGTCTCCTCCCTATTTCTAGTAAGCTGTGGATTAACAACGTTAAAGTATTGTTGTGTGACAAACGTTTAGTTTATTCGAGTTCCCATTAATTGAATCGTATTAGAAGAATCCTCAGTCGTTCGCAAATAGAATTTCCCTTCAACCAAACTTCACTAATTTAATCACTATTATCGAAACATGTCGTTTATATAAGAATGAAATAATAAACAATATAAAGGCGTTGATCAATCACTGAGCAGTAACCTATGTCACATTTATCTAATCCTCAATGCTGGCTAAAGTCTATTGGTCAGATTAAAAAGTATCTAATAGTCTATTTCAGTCAGTCAGTCAGCTACAATGTAGAACCAGGCACATAGATGCATCGGTCCAAGTTGCCATATCTCGTTAGCACAGCAAGATGAACACCAAATACACAGAAGTAGTTACTTCACTGGTGGTAATATATAAAAGATAGGTTGTATATAAGGATATTGTATAGGAAGGAAGAAAGTTATGAAGCAATTTTAATCTCAACGTTTAAGGGAAGATAAAGAGCGTATACACCTACTCCATTGTGATCGATTCTCAGCCAAGTCACACAGAGTCTGATGCGACGTTTTGGTTTGGCTGCCCCTAACTCTCTTCCAACCATTGCCAATAATAGTCAACATAGCGCGTCGTGGTAATCAGTGTTCAGGCATACGTAACACGTCTATTTGATCATTTATCGTCGTATGTACTACAAATCTGATGAGTATCGATATCGTGTAGTTCAATTTTCCCATTGATTCTTAATGTAATTAAGTAATAGTTATCATATGAAAGGAAACTATTCATTAAACTCTAAAACACATCTTTCTAACAATAAACCATTCAACGATCCTACTTTGTATTTATGATAATCAGTAAAATAAGAAGAAACTATAGCATCTCAAGAAGAAAAGTTATATTTATTATTTAAACACATATATATTGGTACAAAGGGGCACCAAATACATATGCGCCCCACAAATCTTATTTGATTTGTTTGAGGGCTGTGATACTGCCCAGGTGCTCAAACTGAAGCACGTGGTTTTCTTAGGGGGCCACACCCGGAGCCTTTGACCTAAAAGTCTGATCCACAAGGCAGTGGAGCATCATAAGGAGATGCAGTCCCATGATAGCCGTTGACCAACGATTCATTCATACGCCATTCGTTCCCTCAGGATACTGGAGCCAGCCCATGCGCACCATTGGTTTGAAATCAGGGTTTTCCAACTCCCCTAGGTGGACTTTCCGTGTCTACCGGACATTCAATTTTTGTCTTCTCAGTATCGTAAACAACAGTAGTGCCACAAGAAGGCGATGAGTAGGACTGCCCTGTCAGAGGCTATATTACGCATGGCCATATGAGAGCATTTGGAGAGGAAGAGCGGACTCTCCCCACTCTCGGCCGTACCAGGACATTTAGGGGTTTCATTGAGTAGGTACAGTAATATGGGATTTTCTGTAACTCTTAAAATACTTCAATATACATATAAATATATATAATTTCAACTTACTTTGAAGTGCTTCTTTGGCATACATTTCGAATTCTAATAACTGTTCCTGTTCTAAAATATTTAACAACAAAAAATTTAAAATTTTTAGCGCATTTAAAGATTGAAACATCAAAAGATTAGCGAGGATAAAAGATACATACCAGGTGTGTGTGTGTGTATGTATGTGGAGGAGATGTAAATAATCAAACTCAGAAAGTTTAAGTAAACGTGTTCATGTACTACCATTCGAATTAGTCATATAGAACTCTACTGTTTAAACCAAAGTATATCAGAAGAGAAAAAATTTTGAACCTTCAGCATAGTGTTTTTAGAAGTTTATAATGTACTGTACTCGTAGTATTAAAATTATTGTTGTTAACTTATATTCCTTTTATATATCAATCAGTTAATCAATCGAACACAACAAAGAATCTAGCACATATGTACGTCGGTTCAATTTACCAAATCCCATTAACACAATAGGATGAAATTCAAAGGGTAAGAGTAGGTGAAGCAACAGTATTCAGAAGAAAGATTAGACAACCAAAAGATAATTTAAGAATGATTTTGAGCCAATATCACTCAAAGTCTTTAACCATTGGTTCCCATTGATCCCATGTGAACCTCTTGGATAAATATATGAGTAATTGAAAACAAACTGATCTGGTCTTCAAATCAATTTCAAAATGAAAACAAAAACACAGTTTACAATGAATGTAAAAATATGATTACATCTAGTCATACGTACCTGAGTAAACTATAATGATTCATTGCAAATTAACAATTTGTATTTGCCCAGAGTGATGAACCAATTGGGCTATACTGCCCAGAACAATCGTTCTCCAAGGTCCTACCATACCAGTCAGGCAGGTCGATTGAAGAACTGTAAGACCAAAAGCAGCAAACCCACGGTCTTAGGACAAAGTCGTGTTCCTGCCTGTACAGAAGTGTGATGACAGTAATGTCTTTCCCTCAGACAGCCAGCATAACAGTGGTGCTCCCCTCTCACAAAGGTCGACGCTAAAAATTCACACCTCGCCTTATTCCATGGATTTCCGTCTCCAGTGGCAGTGTCTCAACAAGTACAGAACTAACACGAAAATTACTCATAAAAACGTTATGTGACTGGCCTCAAGCAGTTGTATTTTGGGAACTGTGGTCACCATTTCAGGTCAATAAGACCACCCTCTAGCCCTATTTTATTTTACAAGTACCTCTAGAAGAACCGTTATACGGTGTGGGCGACCGGGAAGTGATAACTGTTCTCATACCTCTAACAGCACTCAAGACCACTGACTAATATGTTTAGAGGTGGAAATTGCCGATATCTGTACAGTTCAAATGCCTTATATTTTGTACTATTTCTATCAATCCTTAAGATGTTGTAGATAATTTGTCATTAATAATAACTGTATCACTGAAATATTTTCCATGAAGAGAAATAATGATCAAAAATCCTTCTGAATCCTAAAAGATCCAATTATTCTCTTCATTACTAATCAGTTAGATAATATTTATATGTTTAAGAGCAGAGTGAAGAATTTCTGAAGTTCCAGTGAGTTTAACAACAACCCGAAGTGAAGTAAATGTGACAACTGAATGATAATAGCTTGTGTTATATTGTGACGAATTGAAATGTGTATAATAAATATATTCTGACTCAGTTGTAGAACGTGTTATGTATTCACCAACATGAATGAATTAACACAATAGTTAATGACTTTATGAACTGATAGCATTTTTAAGTTTAATCTCTCTTAGCTTTCCCCTAACCCAATTCTACTCTACACATTTATTATTATTACTAACGCAGGTCAAGGTAGACGATGGTTAGAATTACGTAATATATATAATAACTACCGCATCATTATACCCACCAAATATCCACCTTTTAGAATTAATCGTGAAGTTAGAAAAACGTAGCACCAGTCCATGGAGATATTGGCTGTTAGACTGAGTCATGTAGGTAGATGCAGACTATTTGGCTAGGGTCAGAGTGAATATCGTAACCAATATCTAGAAAATTTTGGTGACATAGCTGATAACTGTCCCCAATAGAGCAGATCCATTCACTCTTTATCTCCATTTAAAATCTGAGCCCATAAATCGCATTATGCCTTTCTTTCTGTATACCTAATATTTATTACTACTGTGGTGTGTACTACTGATGACGACAGGTATAAGTAGTATGTATCATAATTCGAAAGTGAAATACCCGGCAGCAAAAGGTTAAGCAAATCGAAGAAAAGAGAATGAGAACAGAGAATGATTGCTGTGGGAATGAACAAACAGTGAAAACTGAGACGATTGATTGACATTTGCAAAAGGAACAGTCAAGTTTGAAATGATTGACTGATATTTTGCAAATGAAGAATTTACCCTATAGTTCACCGATTTTACTAACATGTTCTGTTTTGTGGTCAAATGCTTTTGATTGCCCCCACTTGTGTTCTCATTCACTACACTACTACTAATACTACTACTACTACTACTACCACCGATACTGTTATTCTTCCTAATACTCTAAGATTTTTCTTGAAATAGTTTCATCTCCCTGAGTTAATGTGGTATAGTGGCTTAAATCGATGAATGTGTCAGGTTCTACGTTTCACATGAATGATGACTGATTGAAGTTAAGAATTGCAAAACAGTACTATATGAAGTTTCCAGCTTAATAACATTAAGTGGTAACATCCTAAGTTTTAGTAAAAATAATATTTATAGTGGGTTTTTCTTTAAAGGCTGTAAAAGGTCGGATCTACAACGCGTCCGTGAGAGCAGTTTTTCTCTATGCTTGTGAAGAACTGGTCTCTCCGAGTTGAGGATGTTAGACGACTCTCTGTGTTCGATCATCGTTATCTCCGAAGGATTGCTGACATCCAGTAGCAACACCATGTTAGTAATGCAGAGATTCGGCTTCGTGTGTTCGGGCACAGAGACGATAACCCAATTGGTGTCACCATCTTGAAACACCGACTTCGGTGGCTTGGACATGTTCTACGAATGTCGTCCCAGAGAATTCCACGTCGTGCATTTTTTGCCGACACTGGGACTGGTTGGAAAAAGCGGAGAGGTGGTCAGTGTATGATATGGTGTCGTGGTATGAAAGAAAGCTACAAAAAGCTGGCTTCTGTTGGTCCTTCACAACTCCCTGGTTGGGGTCCGAGAGATGGTGCAACACAGTGACTAGAGACGTTATCAGATATGGCTCAGAATAGAAGCCAGTGGCGGTCCTGCTGTAACATTATTTTACTTTCTTCATAAAGAGTGGTTATAACTTTCTTAACTGAAAGAGTCTTCTGGTAGTACATTTCAGTTCCCCCCATCATTACACTTCTTTTTTTTCTCATCCTATTTTTTTTCTTTTATATATACGCATCTTACCCCTTTCTCTTCCCATTCTTGTTTTGTGTGGCGCATGTATATCTGATGCCCCTTTGTACCAACATATATTTGTTTAAATAAATAATTTTTAAAAGAAACAACAAACTCAATCAGCATTTACCTTGTCGTTTCTTTTTTAGTTCAGATTGTTTTTGACTTATCATAAATTCAAGATAATCATTCAATTGTTGTAAGTCATCAATTTCTAACTGTAAACAAAGAAAGAGGAGGAAAAAAGTGAAACCTTCGCAAAAGAAACACGAAGTAGACTCTGTTAAGCATAGATATACACATTTTAATTTTATAGGTCAATCAGTGCATGAATTAGTCAATAGTGATACCTCCGTTTGTGAAGTTGAGTGATACAAATCTAAGTTTCACGAGGAGTATCAATTCCCTGAAGGTTGTATGTGCTACCCGCTGATAAGTGCCTATTAGCATAGAATCTAAGTAGGTTCAGGGTATGCCAGTGGCTACCTCGATCACATAACAGAATTATGTGAAAAATAATTTAAAGTATAATCATGTGTGATAGATACTCTTTTTTCTGATAAATATGTTTTTGGACTTGATTGATGATGAATGAACTTCCATACTGTCATTCAGTAGTTCTATTTTACATGATCAATGCCTGAAGGATATCTATAATCAAACACCTAAAGTCTACGCATACTTTTTCCCTTAACGTTTCATAACTATAAAACAAAATATAGGGAAATTCTGAATAGTATATTCGCCTTTTCGCTAGCAGACAAACATCTTGCCTACATTATAAGTGAAATAAAGTTGGCGAAATACAATCAAAACGTCGTCAGCCGCCAACTTATCATGAGATATTAGACGACTGTTAAGATAAGTGATCAATCCGCTTGAATACTTTCAAACCTATGATTAATCTAGGTGATGAATATAGATCAGTCCCGAAGCAATAATTTGCACTTGGATGGAAAGAAACACAACCTAAACATGCTTGCATTGTTGCTTAAGGAGATCAGAAAGTTGTTTTATACCAGCATCTTTATCAAATAGAGCAATATTATCTGCACTTTAATTGTAAATAGTTGTATTTAGTTGCTGCTACCTTGACGTAGTGGTCGGACTTGCCTATCGTGATGAACCAATCGAGCTATGCTGGCTGCAACAATCGTTCCTCAAGGTCCTACCGTGCCAGACAGGTCGGTTGAAGAGCGGTAAGACTAAAAGCAGCAAACCCAAGGTCCGAAGGCGAAGTCGTACTGCTGACTGTGTAGAGATGTGACAGCAATAAGGTGTTTCGTTCAGACAATCAGCATAACAACGATGCTGTCTTCCCTTCAAGGAGGGTGGAGTTAGAAATGGTCGACCATAAAAATGCACACCTCGCCTTATCCATGGATATCCGTCTCCGGAGGTAAGGTCCCAACAAGTACAGAGCTGACACGTCAAAAATCCCCCACAAAAAGGTCGTTTGTGACCGACCTCAAGCAGTTGTCCCTTGGGCACTGCGGTCACGCTCTCAGGTCAATAAGACCACTTCTAAACCGATTTCCTTTTGAGGTACCTCTAGAAGAATCCTTCCACGGTGTGGGCAACCGGGAAGTGATAACTGCCCGCATACCTCTAACAAGACTCAAGATTACTGTATTCATAATCAATCACCTTCTTCAATTCCTGACTGACATGAATTATCTTTAAACTATTTAAGACTAAACAAAATGAATAAATCAAGCATAGAAAAAAAACAGTGAAAATGCAAGGGAAAAAAAGAGAAGTTACATTTAATTCTGAGTTACGAGCAGATATATTCTCATCGATAATTTGATAAATTTCTTGTTGAGCAAATTTTGAACAAGTATGATATAATTGTACTGTACCAGCTACAAATTTTAAATGCTGAAAAACAATAAACATAAAACTTTGGATAATACTGAATATTTTATACCACATGAAAACATATTGACATGTATGTAAGTGTCAAGAGAGTTGAGAGGTCTTAACCATTTTTTTCTCTGATAAGCAGAAGTGAAAAGTAGCCCTCAAATGCCCTGGTACGGCCGAGGGTGTAAATAGTTAGCTCTCAGTCGAAATACTCTCACATAACCTCGCGTATATAGCCTCTGCCAAGGAAGTCCTACTCATTGCCTTCTCACAGTGGCGGGGCTGTTGTTTACGAAATTGAGAGGATGAAAAGCGAATGTCTGGTGCTTTAACCGGGTTGGTGGACACTCTCCGTGTTCACCTAGGGGAGTTGGAAAATCACAATTCCAAATCAATGGTGCATATGAGCTGGCCCCAGTACCTTGAGAGAACGAATGGCGTATGAATCAATCGTTGGTCACCGGCTACCATGAGACAACCAGCGTAAAACGATGCCTCTTCTTATGATGCTCCACTGCCTTGCGGATCAGATCCTTAGATCAAAGGCTCTGTGTGTGGCCCCCTGGGAAAACCACCTGTTTCGGTTGGGGCACCCGGGTAATACCACAGCCCTCACACAAATCAAATAAGATTTGTGTGGCGCATATGTATCTGTTGCCCCTTTGTATCAATATTTATGTGTTCAAATAAATATATTTGTAAGTTATTTGAGTTTATAACCAGTGATTACAGCATGAAGTTCTAATATTTTTAAATAAATCAATCCTTATTGATATCGACGAAAACAGGGAACTACAAGCTGATTAAGTGAAAATTACATTGTAACATAATTTGCAATATTTATAGTGGCCCCCACCACCCCCACCGCCAAGAAAAGAAATATTACTGTCAAGTTCTAGGAGCTACACATATAGTACACTTTTTTTCATATACAGATATAATAAAAGAATAAAACTGGTCACTAATATCAAATAATCTTACCTCTATCAAATTCATTTCAGATATGTTCTTCATAACTGATTTTAATTGAGGTGAAATTAATACAGTACTGATTCGTTTTAAATATCTAAAATGAAATTTTACAATACCTAAGGTTATCAATTAGCTTATTTAATTACACTAATGTATAGGTAAGACTTAAAGGTACAACAAATTACTCAAATGATAAAACATATTGGAAGAGATAAGATAATGCATGTTCAGATGAAAATATTTCTTGGCAGATGATTTACAATTAGTGAGTGTATATGTGTATTAGTTCAAACAGATAAGTGATAGCTGGTGTAGGGATCAGGTTGAAGAAAAACTAGTTATGACCAAACCAAGATACTGTATCAGTTCATGAAGACATCAGTCAGTCAGAGTCAGACAGTCACAACGTAGAACTTCGTACGTACGTACATCAGTTCGAGTTGCTATACCATATTAGCACAGAGACGAAGTTGTCAATTCAAATCCCATAGTGGTAGAAGTAGGAAAAATATAAGCAGCATTCGGAAAGATTAGGGTTTGAAGATGTTATTGAATGAGTATAATCCAGTGAAATAAATTTGGAAAGAGATTAGAATTTGGCAGAACACAAAGAGTGGATGAACCAGCGCCATTGCAAACGATTTTGAGCCATGCCATTCAAGGTCTCTAACCATCGATTGCTATCATCTCGTGAATCTCAACCAGGTAGTCTACACCTACCAGCATGACTCAGTCCAATTGTCAGTGACTTCATGGATTTGTGCCACATTTTGGTCTGGCCGGCCCTAGCTTTCTTCCAACATACATGAAGACATCAACTGTTGGACTGAGCTGTATTGGTAGGTGTAGACTGCTTGGTTAGGGTAAGTGTGGTAACCAACGGCTACAGAATTAGTGTGGCATAACTCTCAATCGTTCACAATGGCACAGGTGAGTTCAGTTTTTATCCCCTTCTTTAAATCCCAAGTTTAGAAATTCTTAACTTTAATGTTTTTTTCTATTTCACTAATCTATATTTTTCATCTCGAATCATATCTATCACTAATACTGTTACCATTTGTACTACTCTGATATTTCGCTGTGGTGTGGTAACTTCAAACGCTGCATACATGTGCCAGGTTATAGATTTTGCATGACTGTTACTTTCATACCCATTATATAAAATGGTTAACGAGAGGAAACAATACACAAAACAAGTGAGAAGTTTGAACTCTGAGGACCTTCATAAATGTTTCGAATAATGAAAAGAGATAGGAAAAGTGTATTGTCCCAAATGCAGAGTATTATGAAGGGCATAAGACTCAGATACTTTCAGTGTTAACCATTTCATTAGGTGTATCTATTTGACAAAGTATTCACTATACGCAAAATATGCACCTAATCGACTACTACATCTGTAGTATTTAATTTCACAAGGAGGTTTTGTGGAAATTTTAGTAATTTTATATGGTTAAGATCATGAGTCAATTGAAGCTAGACCACCATGGAAAACCTGGAAGCACCGGGCGGCCGTACTGTCCTATTGTGGGACTCCTCAGCAGTGGAAGTTGGTCGCGCAATTTAGTGGATTGGTTGAGGTTAGACACTAGCATCGATGGATGCCGGCTCAGTGGTCTAGTGGTTAAGTGCTCTGGCGTCAGACTGGTAGGTCCTGGGTTCGAATATCGCGAAGGCGGGGTCGTGGGTGCTCACTGCTGAGGAGTCTCATAATAATGCGAAATGGCCGTCCAGTGCTTCTATGTTTTCCATGGTGGTCTAGCTTCAATAGACTCATGCTCTTAACTATATTTAATTTCGCGTAAGACAACAGATGTAGACAATTCACAAAAACGGTAAGCTGCTTAATATCATAAATATATATATATATATATATATATATATATATATAACAATAGAGACGTATAAGCGATTTTAGTAATATTTATTCTTCGACAATAAAAAAACAACCATATACACATATAATACTTTTGGGGATGTCAAATTCCCAGAACTTACTCGGTAGATGGCTTAATTTTGTAATTTTATTTTGAAATTTTGAATTTCTTTGTTTTCGCGCCAAAAGCGCTCTTTTCACCTACGGGTCGAATTTCCCACTTGTAAAATATCTTAAACGCTATTGGTTCATTGTATCTTTGAGTGTGCGCTATTTTGTAATGCTGCCCAAGGACGATTTATTGCTGTATATATACGTTTGATTTTTCCTCTTATGATTGCTGTGCTTCTGGCTACTACGGAATATATTTTCCCCGCTTCCTACTTGGACTTTTTACTCTAGTTAGCTGGGTCTGGGTCGAGTCAGAATAGCTAGCTTATCGTCTCTGGTCACAAATCTATGTTCCATTCGCTAACTAGTGAATTCGAAACACTTCAGATATAACAAATACCCTAAATATGGCTCACTTTCAACCCATATAGTCAAGTAATATTTAACTGGAAATTTTAAGGTGAATGAGGGGAAGGGTGAAGGGTAAAAACAATGTTGACCAAATAATAATAATAATGATCACTTACAAACGTTTCCAGAATTCCAATCGATTAATATTTTCAGTTTCAATAGCAAATCGTCGTCTAACTAATTTGTCATAGAGATGTAAGTTTAGTTGGTTTTGCAATTGCAAGTACTATTAAGAATCATGGAGGAAGAATAAAAACAGTTGAGAAAAAAAAAAGATGATTATATAAATTATTTATTATTTAAACACAAAAATATTGGTACAAACGGGCACCAAAAACATATACGCCGCACAAATCTGATTTGATTTCTGTGAGGGCTGTGATACTACCCAGACGCCCAAACTGAAGCAGGTGGTTTTCTTAGGGGGCCACACCCGAAGCCTTTGACCTAAATGTCTGATCCACAAGGCAGTGGAGCATCGTGAGGAGATGCAGTCCCATGGTAGTCGATGACCAACGATTGATTCATACGCCATTTGTTTCCTGAGGGTACTGGAGCCAGCCCATGTGCACCATTGGTTTGGAATAGAGGTTTTCCAACTCTCCTAGGTGAACGTCTCGTGTTCACCAACCCAGTTGAAGCGCCAGACATTCGCTTTTCGTTCTCTCAATTTCGTAAACAACACCCATGGTGCGAGAAGGCAGTGAGTAGGACTTCCCTGGCAGAGGCTGTATACGCATGGCCATGAGAGCATTTCGAGAGGACGAGCGGACTCTCCTAACCCACGGACGTACCAGGGCATTTGGGAGCGATTATATAAGTAAATTATTACGAATAATTTTATCATTTAATATATATGTATATTCTTAGCATAGAGGAATTCGTGGAGATTTTAGGATGTTTGTAGTTTAAATCAAAGGCCTTTGGTTTTCAACAAAGATCCTGGGTTCAATCCCCGGATGTGAGCTATAGATGCGCAATGCTTAGTCTCACACTAGATTGAAACAAATATCTAGCATGACAGGATAAACAGGATTTTAGCACCAGACACACAGTCAGTTTAGCACATTCAGAAATACAAGAGGGACACATATAACACTAACCAGCGCAGCCAGGTTGGCTGTAAAAGGTCGGATCTACAACGCGTCGATGAGAGCAGTTTTGCTCTATGCTTGTGAAAAACTGGTCTCTCCGAGTTGAGGATGTTAGACGTCTCTCTGTGTTTGATCATCGTTGTCTCCGAAGGATTGCTGACATCCAGTAGCAACACCATGTTAGAAATGCAGAGATTCGGCATCGTGTGTTCGGACGCAGAGACGACAACCCAATTGGTGTCACCATCTTGAAACACCGACTTCGGTGGCTTGGACATGTTCTACGAATGTCGTCCCAGAGAATTCCACGTCGTGCATTTTTTGCCGACACTGGGACTGGTTGGAAAAAGCGGAGAGGTGGTCAGTGTATGATATGGTGTCGTGGTATGAAAGAAAGCTACAAAAAGCTGGCTTCTGTTGGTCCTTCACAACTCCCTGGTTGGGGTCCGAGAGATGGTGCAACACAGTGACTAGAGACGTTATCAGATATGGCTCAGAATAGAAGCCAGTGGCGGTCCTGCTGTAACATTATTTTACTTTCTTCATAAGGAGTGGTTATAACTTTCTTAACTGAATGAGTCTCCCAGTTGTGCATTTCAGTTCCCTCCATAATTACTTTTCTCTGTTTTTCATTTTATTTTTTTCTTTTATATACACGCATCTTACTCCTTTCTCTTCCCATTCTCATTGTTTTGGGTTGCGCATATATATCTGGTGCCCCTTTGTACCAATATGTACCAATAAAAATTCAGGTTTTTAATGATTAGCTAATTTAGATCAGTTCATGATCTCGACAGAAATCAACAATCTCCATAGCTCCCATACTGATAAATAATTGAAAGTTATTATCCTAAGATAGAATTTAAATCTGTATACAATAAATGAACTAAACAATAATTATTACTAACTTCATCTGATCCATATCGTTCTAAATCAGTTAACAATGTTGATTTATCCAATTTTTCCAAGTTGAAATCGATATATTCATTTTTACGCAAGAAATTCATAATACTTTTAATATCAGAAAAATTATATTTCTAAATTAAAGAAACAACAGGATAAAAATTAATGCAAACATGAAGTTCATGAAGTTCCATTCAAACTGTCAAAGTGTACATATCAAAGAAATGAATGTTTCATGAAAATCAATTCCTTGGAAAATGTATAATATTTCAATGGACATCACTGCATACATACATATACGTTGTTGTAACTATACAGATATCCATAAACAGGATATTGTAGTGATTTAAATCAGACCTTACACAATAGTGAACTTAGAATAGATGGTAACAAGCCTCTTTCTAAATGACTTGATAATGCTTTGGATAAGCCGATCCTGCTCTTACTGTGCATACGTTCATCCATTTTTGGTTTCTTTCACGGAAGTCTCACTATTTTTACATGGACAAAGCATTTTCACAAAAAGAAGGCCCAATTTCGGAGTAACACTTAGACCACGATAGTAGACACTGCTCGCTCACTTAGGGAGTTGGAAAAACTCTGATTTAGGCTTAAGGTGAGCAGCCTACAGAATCTTAAGGGAATGAATGCTGTATGAACCTCTATCGATCACTATCAACTATATTGTCGCTTCTACCAAAGTTACTGGATTGCTTTATGAAACCGTCAGTCAGCTACAACGTAGGACCAGGCATATACATGCATCGACCCAAGTTGTCATACCTCATTAGCACAACAAGATGAATATCGAATTTATAGACTCTTTGTTATGTAAATCACTTTAAGATTCTACTTCATCAATGGATGATTGTTACCATTACATCAGTAGATGAAAGCGTTACTTCCAGCAGTAGGTCTATGATGAAGTTAAACAAAAATGTGGATAGTGGACAACCTTGTCGGACACCACTTGAGATTGTAAAATCAGATGACGGTTCACTATAAGCTCTCACTCGAATGGTAGTGTTCGAATAAAGAGCCTTCACAAGGTTTATGTACTTCTGAGGTACACCTTTCAATGACAGACACTGCCACAGATTTATGAAACCGACCCATGATCAAACTCTCAGAAGGTAGTTATTGAAAAAACGCATCCACAAGTAACACGACAACAACCATTGAACGCGTCCAGTAGAGATCATTTATTTAGCTAAGGTATCACACTTTGGTAACGATTACGATATTGATTTGTCTGTCCACTAGTCTGAGAGGGTTTATCTCAAAATAGTTTAGTCTTAATATGGTGGTAGAAATGAAACTATCCTATCACTGACCATCTGATTAGTTGGGAAACGTAGAGGTAAGACAATCTAGCTGGAACTCTAAGTTTGATTTATTTCCGACTCAATTAATTAAAAAGGTGCATGAATAAATATGCGACTAAGACGACCACAATGAACAAGAAATAACGAAAATACAATAATATCTAAGCTAGGATATTAAATTAGGAAAAAAATAGAATATAAAGATCATATTCAAAATACAGTGATCCTGAAATATGAGAGAATATAACAGTGATTTAATCGAAAGCTTATTCTTTTTTATATGATAAAACAGGGACATAACTAGATGCCAGCAGTCTACAGCTTTAGAGTTCAACACAACAATGTCAGAAAAATAGCTTTAGTTGTTTGTCATTGCCATTTTATCCTTTTCACATCAGTATTCTGGATGTAAGCTGTTCGGACGAAAACCGAAATAACGAAAAGATACAGTATCCCACCCCAGTTATTTCACATTGGCCGTCTAGTCCAATAGTCCACAAACGACCGTGAATGGAGATTCAGCAGATCAGCATCAACATGGTTCTAGAGCTTAGTGAGATACTGATAGCAGGAATACCAGATGCCCGTAGCACAGTATAGATATTCCCTTGATCAGTGAGCGATCAGCGTTCATAATTATATTATATGCTACACACCATACAAGTATAAAATACCTCAGATTTTCAAGATTCACTGTCTACGCTAAGCCCGAAGAAACGCTAAAAATGATTAAAAAAACATGTGTTTCAGGGTGGTGTTCTGGTTTGACAGGCAAATCAAACCTTGTACAACAGAATTCCAAGAGAACTCTTACAAATTTGTACAACAATTCGCACTTTATTTGTCCATAATAAAAGAAGTTATTCTCAGCTGTCTGCTATGGACATATTTAGTGTAGTGCAGACTGACATGACGGATGAAAAACATGAATATAGTTAAAGTCTGGGCCTGAAATGAAATTTTGGATGGAAACATCCAATAATTAATATACACCCACTAAATTAGCGAGAGAATGACCGAAATTGCTGAGTATGATATAATTAGTGTCCATCAAATGTTGCGGCTAACCTCAGCCATGGTAATACAGTGCTAATAGTCCTGAGCTTTGCTTATAATAGCTGACCTTTAAACTGAACGTGTGAAAATAATGGTAAATATCTATCGAAAAAGTATGGAAACAATGTGACTCACAATATGATCGATGACAGCTTCAAGTTGACTTTCAACTAGCTGATTGTGCAGATGATTATGTAATCGTCTGGTACTCGATAAGAGCCGTTCTGGCTTATACTCATTTACATCTCTGAAAGTTTTCGGTCGAACCACTTTTTTTACGGAAGTTAAATTAACACTGGTATTATCACCGATATTTGCTTGACGTAGTGGTGTATTAATTAGGCTAACAAATGTAATTCTTTCTGATTCAGAAGGTTTTGGCGTTTTATCAACATCCGATTGGAGATTATTATTGACATTACATTGTCTTCTTGTCAGTGGTAAGGAATTACTTAGATTCAAATTGATTAAAGGCATTTTAACAACCGATACAGGTCGTTTACACGATAATAATGGATTTACTAATACATCTGTCATCATCGTACTTGTAGACGGTAGAAAATGAGGTGACCTGAACGATGGTGTACCGATTTTTTCAAGATTTACATCCTCGTTATTTTCGATTGTTGGAGTACTTTCTGATACATCATTATGATATAAAGACTGGGAATGATTTTTATTAGGTAAACTATCATCAGGTACATTTTTATCAATGTTCCCATCATTATTGGTAGAAAAATTCAATTCATCAGTGGAGATAATAGACATATTACACAATTCTTCATTAAGTGGTACTGGTAATGGACATATGCTGCTTTGTACTTCCATATCTGAAACATCATGATGATATCTAGGCGTATAACTTAATTCATTTTGTACAATCATTTCATCTACACTAGAAATAGTAACTGATTCCAAGGAACTACATTTAGGGGATAATGTTTGACTATCATCACTATTATCATCTATTTCCATATTCGTGTTTTGTTGTTCATTGAACGATTCACCGTGTTCAACTTTTAAACAAGAATCATGGGATAATTCCATAGAAACATCACTTATCGATGTGACACTTTCCATATTATTATTAACATTGCTACTGTTATTATTGTTATCATTAATATAGCCATTATTATTATTACTATTATTATTGATATCATTAGTGGTAGTAGTAATATTGGAGTTCACAGAAAACTCATCTTCCACAGATATATTCGAGTTGAAACGACTGCAAAGATAAAAAGACTTAGTTAAATAAAACGATTAAAATAAGACTTCGATATACGGTCAAGAACTAGTCGGCCTTTATTTTTTGAATAACAAAAGCTAGTTGATAAGCAAGATGGATAGTGGCTAGCAGTTGAATCCAGGACAAAGTGCGTTTCGCCCTATTTGGGACTCGTCAGCTGGACGTATCTGCATCTTAGAGTTGATATTCACTCTAGAACTCGAACTCAGTACCTTTCGCTTCAAACGTCATCGCGTTATCCACTCGGCCACTGAGTCCTGATAGGTACATCCAGCCGACGAGTCCAAATAGGACGAAACGCGTGTCCTGGATTCCACTGTTAACCTCCATCCATCTTTGCTCACCATGCCTGTGAATTAAGGCTATATCGAGGCAATACGCACAGTATGCATATGTGCCAATTAGAGACTGACCAGTTACAGTCCTGACACATCGATGGGAAGATTCAAAAACAAACAATACTAAATGAATTTAAAAGCTAGTTGAGTAACAATAAATAAGTAATTTGTAATCAATTTACGTGGTGATCAGTAGACAATGTAAAACTATAGGAAATGAACCAAATGTTATTTGTGTGGCTCACTTTTAATTACCCCTTGGGCTATTGTTATCGCAAGTGCAACCGGATGGATAGTGCTGAGTATGTGAATAGACATACATTGCATTAATTCACAAGAACCCCGATTACTGAGACGAACCGTTAAAGTATCTTCGTTTGCTTATATATTCAGTCAGCTACAAAGTAGGACCAGGCACATTTATGCATCGGTCCAAGTTGCCATACCTCGTTAGCACAACAAGATGAACACCGGATTAATAGAAGTAATCAATTTAGTGGTGGTAGTATATAAAGAAAGGTCGTATATAAGGATATAGTATAGGAAGGAAAAAAGTTGTGAAGCAATTTCAATCTCAAGGTTTAAGGGAAGATAAAGAGTGTATACACCTACGCCATTGTGATCGATTCTGAGCCATGTCACCCAGAGTCTCCAACCATTGGTTACCATAGTCACACAGACCCCAACCAGGTAGTCTGCATCTGCCAACATGGCTCAGACCAGAAGTTAGTGACTTCAAGCACTGATGCTTATATATTAATACCAATAGAAATAGTTGGTCAAAGATTTTATGAGTAGTAGGTAGAAATTTATCCCCATGGTACACGTCAGTTTCCTTATCGCTGAAATTTAAATGTTTACAAATACATCAGAAGGGGTTTTGTGGAGATTTCAGTATTTTCATAGTTGAAATCATGAGTCAATTGAAGCTAGACCACCATGGAAAACCTAGAAGCACTAGACGGCTGTTTCGTCCTATTATGGGACTCCTCAACGGTGCGCATCCACCATCCCGCACTCGCGAGATTCAAACCCAGGACCTACGAGTCTTGCGCCAGAGCACTTAGCCGATAGATCACTGAGCCGGCATCCAACGGTTTTAATGTCTAACTTCAACCAATCCACGATGTTTGAGCAACCGTTCACCAATTGTCTTCAGTGAGTTGATATTATTATTATTTTATTTAAACACATGAATATTGGTACAAGGAAGCACCAGATAAATATGCGCCTCACAAATCTCATTCGATTTGTGTGAGGGCTGTGATACTGCCCAGGTGCCCAGACTGAAGCACGTGGTTTTCTTAGGGGGCCACACCCGGAGCCTTTGACCTAAAGGTCTAATCCACAAGGCAGTGGAGCGCCCGATGGGGGGCGCCACGGCTTTACAACGGCCTCTACAACAAACTTGGTTGAACTCCACTGGTCACTGCTTCCCACTAGAACAAATACGTTTAATTTTTATAACATAACTTATTTTTTAATTTATTCAGATATTTTATTTTTTCTATTGGTTTAGCCGATGTCCTGTATAAAATGTGGGTAGTAGGGACATACTATCATTATGTAGATTAATTGCTCGTTTTATATGATATATCAGTATGAAAAGACGTTCTAAAGTATGGGTCGCATTGGTTATTATGTCTAGAAGATAAGAGATTTTCTAATAGTTACGAATTGTTAGTCAATGTGAGCAACTTAAGAATATTAAACATTCAAATATACCTTATTATACACTATCTTATGAAGCTGATCAACCTTTTTTCGCATGGTTGATCCAAAGTTCTCCTGCTTCCGAAAATATTTCCTACTCTCCAAGGCTATATTTTACAGCTTTCACTAGCCATTACATTTCAGGTTTATTCAGGTGAATGGTAATTTCACATGAAATTCAACCAAAAATTAGAACAATGTTAAACTCTCCGACACTCAAACTTTAAAAATACAGTGAAAGTTTACAAATAAACGTACAGAACAAGATAATAATAAGGACATAAAATAAAATTCTTGTGCAAATGACTTACCTAACACACATTTGAGAACCATCATCTTCGTCCCCCAAAACAAAAACATATTGAGAGAATGAAACTCGTCTATTTAAACCCCTAGATGATACAATACCATCCTAATGAGAAAAAGGACATTGAATGAAGGTCATCATTTTTAAAAACTGACTTACAGATGCATTGTTCACCGGATCGAATGTAAACTTTAATGACTACAAAGAAATATGTCACACAAAATGTATGTTACGCCTACCGATCTCCGAGGTTTTCTATCACCATTGGAATTAATCATCATTTATTGTTATTATTAGGTCACCCGGAAATTCGTGGAAAAACTGGGAAAAGATATATCCGCCAGTGGATGTCAGCCACTATCAGTAGTCCGTAGATTAAGTGCACTAACAAGATATCTTGAAATTATCTGCCTAAACATAATGTTAAAAGAAAAGAATAATAATCTGTTGAGATGCGAGACAGTGACATATATAAATCTCTCAAAAAGACAGCAATTTCAAATGAAATGAATTTTTGATTAAAATTCAACCAATATGAAGCCTATATAACTGGCACACATGGGCTCCAGTATCCCGAGGGAACAAATGGCGTATGAATCAATCGTTGGTCACCGACTACCATGGGACTGCATCTCCTCACGATGATCCACTGCCTTGTGGATCAGATCTTCAGGTCAAAGGCTTCGGGTGTGGTCCCCTAAGAAAACCACCTGCTTCGGTCTGCACACCTGGGCAGCATCACAGTCCCCACACAAATCTCATTTGATTTGTGTGGCGCTTATGTATCTGGTGTCCTTTTGTACCAATATTTACGTGTTTAAATAAATGAAATTATATAACTGATTGTTAGCTTTGGGCTTTCATGAAGAGAATCTTACTAAAGAGGAAATGTTCCATTTGTAATTGATTAAAATCCTAAAACTTTGTAACCAGTCTTATAACTGCGTTTTACAGCCTAATATTTCTGGACACTTGATCGATTTTAAAATCAAAACACAATTCCGAGAAAACATAAACATATTTCGGAGCAAAAAGAAAAGTTAACCAGTCATATTTAAATTTAAATCATAATTCATGAACATAATAGTTGTCAATGGAAATAAATCACATTGCACTAATTAATACAATCAAGATACATCGAAAATAAGATAACAGACTTCATATTGTACAAGGCGATACATGTGAGAATACAATGAAAGTGAGCAAAGCTCATTTCAAGTCAACTAGTGAATTCTAAATTTGATTTTTTTCCACAAATGTGGCATTTAGGGACTCCACATTCATGGGAGACTGAAGGAAAAACAGCGGTATTACACTACGTCATATAACAGATACATTCGCAAAAAAACTCATTATTAACATAAATCAAGTAAAAACGTTGACTACCAGGTCATAAGTAGTAAGATTGTCTAAATACGCTATTAAACAATTTTTCCGTGGATAAAAATACAGGATCATATCATCTCATTAGCATAAAGTCACAAACCACATACTGTGTATTTACTAAATTCGCCACCTTGTTCATTTATTTTCACCGTAAGGGTCGCCAAATTATTGTTATACAAAATGTGCTAAAATATGGTTTCATAACACCAGTCTCTTTACCAGCTATCAGACCCTTGCAAATCCCGAAATTTGGAGGTAAGCCCCATCCGTGAACGCCCAAGAAGGCATTCAGTGTCAGTCATTAAAAGTACGTGAATTTCACTCAGAATGGCATGTTTGAAAAGCGTTTTAACCAAACTGATATGGTTAACAGGAAAATACGGCTACGATGAAACTTCGAACTGTAAAATAGTTAAATATAACATGGTAGTTTAGCATAAAATTTTGCACATGACTAGTGGACCTAACGATTACTACCTCCACCCCTTTAAATATAGACATATGAAGAAAAAATCATTCTAAAAGTACTATTACCTATTATCTTTAAAAATATTGTTTCCTACATTTCAATATGACAGTATAGCTATGAAAAATTAAGGTAGTGTTTCAGGTTAATTGCCGAAGACATAAGCCGGAAAGGATCGCAGAAAGCAGCTCATGGCTCGACTTTATCTGATTCGCTGAATGAAAAAGACTCATCAAGCTACTGTTAAAATAGAGTAATTATTAATGTCATTTGTGTGGATATTCAGTAAAACTTGAAATGGAAAACAGACATCTAAATTATCAAAATGTGTATAAACGCCAGAAAACACTGGAATTTATAACAGTGTCGGACTAAGAATTATCGAATAGCCCTTATGCTGATAATTAGTAAATTGAGCTTCAGATACTACATAATTGTTAACAAAAGGTTTAGTGGGAATCTGATTAAAACAAATGATAACATCTTTGACAACAATAAGTTTCCCTTTTCAGGTCCCATATTTCGATAAAAAGCTAATTTCGAGAGGTACCTAAAGAACTAAATACAGATCACAATGAAGCCTGTTAGCTTACAAACACAAAGCAAAAAATCCTTGAAGAACCAAGGACGCGCCAAGTTCGGGCCGCCCGCGAACAGTGTAAGATAGAAAAAACCGATATAACAGAAGAATGGAAATCCAAGCTTCAGAAAAAAAGAGTAGCGCATTTTGATGAAAGCATGAAAGTCTCCGTAAAAAATGATAGTTTCAGTCACAAAGCTAATATACACTACTATTGATGACAGTATGTTGAGGGTTTCAAAGTTAATTCAATCTAGTTCTTCAGCCATTATCTTAAATAAAGATGGAGTCATATAAGACCCACAGAGCACTCTGTTATGTAAACATGATGTTTCATGCCGAAAAATATCGGCTGTTTAATGGTTAAAATAATCATGATAAACAATTGTTTCGAATCAGGTTTTAATTTCACGTCTTGAAGTACATAGTATTACTTATTTACTTACGCCTGTTACCCCTCGTCGAGGAGCATGGACCGCTCACCAGCATTCCCCATCCAACTCTGTCCTGAGCCTTCCTTTCCAGTTCTTTCCAGTTAACATTCATCCTTTTCATATCGGCTTCTATTTCCCGGCGCAGTGTGTTCTTTGGCCTTCCTCTATTCCTTTTCTCTTCCGGATTCCAAGTTAGGGCTTGTCTAGTGATGCACATTGGTGATTTCCTTAATGCATGTCCTATTCACTTCCAACATCTTTTCCTAATTTCCTCTTCAGCTGGAAGCTGGTTTGTCCTCTCCCATAAAACGCTGTTGCTGATAGTATCCGCCCAATGGATGTTGAGTATTTTGCGTAGATAACTGTCTATAAATACTTGTACCTTCCTGGTGATGGCCGTAGTAGTTCTCCACGTTTCAGCTCCATACAGTAGGACTGTCTTGACGTTCGTTTTGGAGATTCTGACTTTGAAATTGGTTGAGAGTTGTTTTGAGTTCCATATGTTCTTCAATTATAGAAATGCTGCCCTTGCTTTGCCAATCCTCGCCTTTACATCTGCATCCGATCCTCCTTGTTTATCAACGATGCTCCCCAAGTACTTGAATGTTTCCACCTCTTCCAGAGTTTCGCCATCAAGTGTGATTGGGTTGGTGTTCTCCGTGTTGCATTCGAGAATCTTGCTTTTTCCTATGTGAATGTGGAGGCCTATCGATGCGGAGGCTGCTGCTACATTTGCTGTCTTCATCTGCAATTGTTCGTGTGTATGAGAGAGGAGGGCTAGGTCATCTGCGAAGTCCAAATCATCTAATTGATTCCGAGAAGTCCATTGTATTCCGTATTTCCCCTCAGATGTCGAATCCTTCATAATCCACTAGAAGGAAGAGGAATGGGGAGAGTAGACAGCCTTGTCTGACTCCGGTCCTTACTGGAAATGCATTTGTCAGCTGCCCTCCATGCATGACTTTGCACTGTAGTCCATCGTATGAGTTTTGGATAATGTTGACAATCTTTTCAGGAACTCCATAGTGTCGAAGAAGTTTCCATAATGTTCTCCTGTCCACGCTGTCAAACGCCTTCTCATAGTCAATGAAGTTGACGTATAGTGATGAGTTCCACTCAACTTACTGTTCAACGATGATCCGTAGTATCGCAATCTGGTCTGTGCACGACCTATCCTTACGGAATCCAGCCTGTTGATCCGTAAGTTCGATGTCTGCTGCGTCTTTCATCCGATTCAGCAGCACTCTGTCGAAAACTTTTCCTGGTACTGATAACAAACTGATGCCTCTGTAATTGTCACGTTTGCTCAGATATTCTTTCGTTGGTATCTTGATGAGGTATCCTTCTTTCCGGTTCGTTGGCACTTGTTCCTCTTCCCAAATCATTGTGTGTCTGGACAATAGGTAGCTCAGTGTTATTTATCGTGTATGTATCTGTACCCTGGTGGTCAATATGCATCACGACACACTTGGAAGTATTTATCGACGATTGCCAGGTTTGGGACCATTCAGATAATCTCTGCAGGTCATTTAGAGTTCTTTGCTATCACCCTTAGTTTGCATCGCTCTCCACATATCGACATTGTCAGCGTAGAGCAAGACTGATGACGATAGCAGACGAGGTCGGTCATTTACGTACAGGAGGAATAACACTGGCCCGGGTCGTACCTAGTTGTCTCTTACACATGTTGCACTAGGGCACATGTGATAACCGCATCAGCTAGTTCTTGTTCGAAGGAATTATCTGACGATTCAGTACACAGATTTCCTAAGTCCTCCATGGGTGCATTAAAGTCCCCTAGGATAAGACATCGACCATTTCCTGACCAAGTGTTGAGACTGCTTAGCAGGACCTCCATTACCTCACAGCTTGGACTGCGATAGATCAAACCAAACAGTAGCTCTTGTCCCTTGCATTTCAGGCGGCAACTAACTTATTTATACGTCCCACTCCCATGGGATACACTGTCGACAATGGTGAATGGAGTAGCATTCCTAATGAATAGAGCTACTCCCCCTCCTTTACGCTTTTGTATTCTGCCGGCCCTCACTGATGTAAAACCCTCGAAATCAAGTTCCTTACTATCTATAAACTGCGTCAGCCAAGTTTATGTGACTGTAATTATGTCTGGCTTAGTAAAGTCAGTCTGTATACCTAGTTCCGATGGCTTTTTGAGTTAGCTCTATGTATCTTCAAGGTATTTTAAGAAGTTTTGAGGTTGTATATCACTCATTTTATCTCAAACGAAAAAAACCATCGTTGCATTGTTGTAATTTAAAAGTTTCTAAATCAAGCATATTTGATTTAGTTGTAGCCGGGTTTACTGAATAGATGATACTGGAACGCAGATATCTCACTCGATATGAGGCCTTTAGATCGTAGAGAGCTAGCATGTAGCTACCGCGGAATATATAACGACAATCAGACATGTTCAACGAACGTAGTAAAAATGCATTATGCCATGTAGTTTTGAAGTTATAACTATGTCAAGTATTATATTTTAAAGTTACCGCAAGATAAATGTGAAATGATCTGCAAATTAACCGTATATAATGAACCTGTATGGAGCGGTCTCATTACCCTTATAATAAATTGACTTATACTCGTGATGAATACCACCTCAAATTTATTTGTGCTGACGTACATGGTGAGTGGATATTTTGTCAAAAATTTAAGTTGGATTTTCAGATTTATGAACTATTGTATGTAACTTTTCACGAGTCGAACAACTATTCAAGCAGTCAACGGCTAACGTTGCTCTCTGAACCACGTCACTCAAAAATCGAATTTGTGATAGCTGATGATAGTTATTTGTAATTAGGGAAAGAATTAGGGAGTTGTTAGTGGGATATAGATTGGATTAAGCATGTTTTATGCATGATGGTGTTGCTGCGCGCTGATTAGTCAGTTTTAAACCGATCAGCCCGGGCATATTATTGCAGAAAAATCTATAAGCTTCTTATGTATATGCTATAAATATATGAACATTATTTAAACTATTGATTGCTGTTTGCTGTTCACTTATCATTATTATTTTGAATACAATTTCATTCCTGTTCAACGTGTTCTGATTTTGGGGTCTTGTCGAGTGTCATTGGATAAGAATACTAAGCAATAGGAATAGCTGGGTCGTTTATATAGCAAAAAACACAATTATTTCGTAGTTGCGGTTTTAAACAGGAGTAGACCAGAAACAACCTAAGTTGTGTAGTTAGGAATTGGCCGAAACGTCTTTGGGATGTCTAAATATTATGGCCTAAGTATTTATTTAGCTTATTATTTTGTGTGCAATATTTTCCCCATTATTCGTGCACTAACCTAGAGTGCTGTATTCCTAACTGAAAAATGAATTTCGAACAATCCAACGCCAAGGTTCGAAGATGATGGATGGAGGCCAAAAAAACGATAAACGACATAATCAAACTTTCTTCTATGCCATGCTCCCAAATAATGTCACCTTTACAAGAACACCGAGTAGAAGCCCATTAACTACTTTTTAGCTTAGTAGATGTGGATTATTTCGGACCATCCTATACCAAACGAGGAAGAGTCATGGGGAAACGTTACGGCTGTCTATTCACTTACCTGCCATTTAGAGCTGTTCACATTGACATAACTTATTCTTTAAATACGGACTCATTTTTAGGCGAATTATCAAGGTTTGTGGCCAGAAGAGGATGCACATGGTGCATTTTTAACAATAACGGTCCAAATTTATGGAGCACAGATGCTAGTTTATGCTTTGGAATCAAAACAAAATAAGGAATCACGTCAAAGAACGGAAATGAGAGTAACGTTTCAACTAACATAAGACATGTCATCAAGGCGAGGTATGAGAGCGCATCATAAATCACTTGAAAGAAATTTAAGAGAGCTTTTATTTCAAAACGTACCGACCGATTAAACTTTGCAGATATTTTTATCTGGGTCCGAAAGAAAATTAGACAGCAGACTACCAATAGATATTAAAAATGATTGATAAGAAATAATCTGCCAACCCTCCATACAGGGATAAATGGTTGAATGCACGAAAGAATTTTTAACCAATTGACCCAGATTTCGTTGGTGATGTTGAACCAAGTAGAAGTCTATGACCTGAAGCCGCTGTCAAACAAGTACGCCATGGCTGTGGAGGACAAGTTGAGAACGGTAAAAAATCGTTTGGGATGTACGAAGTCTACGTTTACTTGAAGAAGCCGGTCATCTGATGACGATCTAGGACGATGGACGTGGAGTGAGCTTCGGAGGATTGCAAAGATCGATAGACGAATCCACTAATGATAACATGAAACACTCTGCCACATCAACTTTCTTTGACCTTGTAAGACTATGCCTTGCTTATCTACCAATCATAACTTTAATGTTTGTCATGTGACAATGTTCGCTTAGTTGAATCGTTTTTCTTATTTCGTAGTTGCGGTTTAAAACAGATAGAGGTTGTCGAACTAGATAGCTCATTTGTTCTGACTTTGGCTGTCCTAAGACTCTGTGTTCGGCAGTCTAGAGGATAGTTTAGAGCAGAACTTGTAAGAAATTACTTCCAAAGATGTGACAACCTTCTTTATAGGATCTTATGTGGAAATCAAATAAACGTCGACACTGACTTGTCCTACGTGGAAGGAGGGAGTATGAAATCAAAGATTTCTGAGGAAAAACACATCTAGACTGGGAAGAGAGCAACATAAAGGCGAATGATCACATTTACCGAAAAATTGCGAAGTAGCTAAAAATACGTGAGCACTGGCTCGGCAAATCTTTGTCATGTGATAAAACCCATTTACGTCGAACTACATGTTTCGAGTGTGAAATCGAACACATCAATCCGGTTGATAGACGTACTCCCAACTTCACCAGAAGTGATAATAAATCCTATAACTTGTATTTCGTTGGGTCGGATTATATGGATAATGTTTTATTACCTTTATCTTTCGAATAGTACTCTCCATATCCCAACGCCGTTACACATGCCCCTTTTTTCTTTCTACGTCTCTATTATTGACAATAGCAGTTTGCAGTCCACTGTCTAACACAAAACCTGAAGTTTCTGAACTATAGCATCGTAGTACGGCCTACTAAAGTCTCATGATCAGGGATCACTGACTACAAATTACCTGTACAAGGATGTGAGTTTTACTCCTATTTTGAGTCCTATTTTGAGACCCCTACAATGTGTAATGATTATAGGTTTACACTGAACTTCCGTTCTCGCATGCAGACGTGCACGGTGGTGGAAGTTGAGGGTATTCTTAGTCAATTTCATGATTCTAAGATATTTTCGTGTGCTGACTTGAAAGGTGCATGTATTCAAATCCCCTTAGGTAAGTCTCCATCTATTTCGACAACAATTAACACTATTTTTGTCCTACTCAAATGTCTCTTCCCTTCATTCGACTTAAGTTGTTCTCCAGCCACATGTCAAGAAGTAATGAACAACGTAATCGATAATCGTGAAGGTGTTGAAAACTGTCAAGATGATCTTGAAAATCACAGTACAAGTACAGCAGCTCATGGTTAGAGACAATGCTTTATTACGCCGTCTAATTAAGAAACATTTTCTTGCGAATCCAAATAAGTGATCATTTTGCTTACCTAGTATTGAATGTTCTACACATCCAGTTGTCGGTAATGATTTCAAAAGCGATATGAAGTGACTAACTTCAAAGGAGTATCTCAAACGACAGTGAAAGATCTGGACAAAGAATAGGTGGCCGAGAATTGTATAAGACTGTTTTTTCGCTTAAACAATCTATCGGCGTAATACTGAACCTAGAAGCAAGGTCTCAGAATTGACTATTCAAAGTGAACCTTGATGAAGACAGCACTTTAAAAAATCTAGGCACATTAGACACGGACAAATACACAGCAACCTGGAACCCTGAGTTGGCTTGCAGGATATAGTGATGCACCGTTCAACCCGATATTCAAAAATTCATTCAGCCGTAGTGAACTATTCATGGACCGAGAGAACGTGATTGTTTTTCTGTTTCGCAAGATAAAATCAAGACACTCATCGTCAGACTGCCAACAGGAAAAAGCGACTTTGGATTTAGTAGAACCTCTCTCTTCCTTTTAGCTAGGTTAGAACAAATCAGATGACATCTGGTTGGTTCAAATATTGAAGAGTACCCACGGAATACGGATTTTCTCACCAATAATTCAGTTCCTGGAACTTACTGTTAAAAGATTTGTCATGTTTCCAGCATTCTGTTGACTTCAACCAATCAAAGAATGTAAATGCGTTGTGGAATTGAAATATATATCGTGCTTACTATTTCTTCTGTCTTTCAACCACGAAAGTGTTTGCCATATGAACACTTCACATTGTTTGCAAAACGAACAAAAACTGAGGATACATCAGTAGCCTTCTCTAAATATCTGTGTATAAATTATCTTTTGATATAAATAATGTCAATGTATAAAATACGGGGATTTAAAAGGATAGACGACTGACGGAATATAAGTACACAGACATACACTCAACAAGAACTCATAAAATCTTTCGAGGTAAACAGATCAAAATTTCCAAGGTTAGAAATATGTGTGATAACATAACTGCAAGGATTAGAATAATTTACTCGGGCGTTATAATAGGTCCCTAAAGGTCATTAAATGGACAGAATATATAGTCGACTAATTTAGGAGAAGAAAAGAAAATTACAGAAATCCACTGGAAAAGGCATAACACAAGCCATCAGGTTTACTGCTTGCAATATGGACGTCTGCGAGTTGAATCTGAAACTTGAACGTTTATAATAGAGGTTCAGTGTTTGAGCGCTTATTTCTACTGCAAGGTTGTGAAGGCTTTTTGACCTAATATTTGGAGGTAGATGTAATTTTCTTCTTTCACGTGCAATAAAATTATACAGTGATTTAAGCATGTGATAATAATTAAACGAATATACGGCTCAAAGTTTTATTTGTCTGTTCATTAGCGTTAGATCATCGCGAAAAATCATGTGTTTAACTTAATTTATCAGTTTCAAACGGTTTTATATAAGGGTCTTGACTCATCGTCATTTGTACAATAATTTTATGCGAGTTCACAGCAGTCCTTATTAATCACTCTTTATCACTTATGAAAAAATTCGACCCGAACCTCAAAATCGCTTTTCACGAGGCAACTAACAACGATTCGTACACCAAAGAGCTGATACACGTCTGGCATTCGTAGAACATTTTGTTGATCAATGCAACCATATTGCTCATTGCACTGCTTTAAGTGGTGGTTCATAAACCATGTTCACACCAATGTCTTACCGTCTATCGCCTGGGACAGCTTTACCTGACGCGTTTCGTATCTTTTCATAACTATCACTTCCAAACCCATCACCATTGGTTAATATATGATCACCTCACCCCCTGTCAGCTTCATTTATCCGTTATTCTCGGACGTTTGCCTGCTCACATAGCGTGACATCATTCTAGTCGTTATCTTTACACAACCTGATATTATAATTTTTCGTAATGCAATAACACAATATTTTGTCCGGTAATAAGGTAGCTGTTAGTTTTAGCAACTCTACTGGCTTAGAACAAACCTACTTATTTATACTCATAAAATAATAACCCACAATTAGCGATCATTTTCACTAGGATTAGTGCAATTGAGTGGATAGAATGCACACATAGAACTATGAAAAAGACTTGGGATTGTACTGTAACATTAAAGAGCGGATTGAAATAGGTGAGTTGACTTTCACAAGCTCGTCTCAAGGACACTGAGTGTTGGTTTCCGTCCCCCTGTGTTAATTTAAGTTTATCAGTCATCCATTGTAAGTTTTTCATATGCACTTTTTCATCTCATTCCCTTCTGAAAGACAGCCACGTGAATAAATATTGTCACATCTTTCTTAAATAAAAGAACAGCAACAAACATCATTTTATTTCGTAACTAGTTCTTAATCACCCACAACTTTAAACTGCTTTCGAATTAGATTCAGATTTGTGTAGTAAAGAGAGAAGGCCTATGGCCTATGTTATTCCCTTCGTAGTATGCTTCTGTCAGTGTCTAATCTCTTAAATGAGTCGATTGAAGGCATAGTCACCACTGCTACGGGTAAAAGGTTCCAAGAATTGATGATTCGGTGTGAAAACCTGTATGCCACTGGTATTTTATTCGTTCTTGGCTTTTCTACTCGCCTGCTATATCCTCTGAGATGTCCCGATCTAGTAGGAAGAAAAGGAAATCATAGATTAGGTCCGAAATCATTTCTTGGTATTCTATACATCAAAATCAAATCATTCTTAATCTGCGATATAACAGAATAAAGAGGTCTAGCTTTTCAAGCCACTCTTTGTATGGTCAGCTCTGGGATTGTAGAATTGCACGAGTAGCTGCCCTCTGTACTTCTTCCAAGATATCTGAGTCACCTTTTAAACAAGGGCTTGCAGCCTGAATTGAATTCTCAAGCTTAGTTCTCACTAAGGTTGTGTATACTGTAGTGAACATGGTAGTATCTAACTTGATGAATGTCCGTCTCAAAGCCCATAGGGTTCTAAACCCCTTAGCTGCGACCTCCTGGCAATAGACCGTGGTCTTAAAATCATGACTGACTGTGACCCCAAAATCCTTGTGAGACGGGACAACGGGTACAGGCACTTCCTCTATGTTGTACCTATCTACTTTTGTGTCCCCGAAGTGCATGTAGACACACTTTGCCGCGTTGATAGGCATCAGCCACTCTTTAGACCAGTTATTTAAGTCTGTCTGAAGTGCACCTGCCGCTATTTCTCCCAGACTTTTACATCGTTGGCGTATAATAACATTGGGGACTCTACTATACTTTAGAGATCATATACATACAGTATAAAAAGTAAGTTAGTCAATATATCCAAGTTCGAAAACTACTTGATTATTCCAAAAGCTGTAGATAAAAAATGATTTGTTAGATAATATACTGCCTAGTTTTGATGCATAATTTCTCCAGAAAGACTAAGTGAGTGGTTTTTATAGTCTAAAATGTTATCTTTTGAGTATGTGCCCCACTCATTGCGTAATATTTATTAGCTGCATGCATACCCTTGCATTATATATTTTGAAGGAACACCATATCGTGATTGTTTAAATATATCAGCCTATTGCAAACCTCAGTTGAGCATTAAATTTATGGAACACCATAAAATTGTCTACTTAAGTCGTCTACAAAATATTTTGTCTGAAAACACAGGGTTTTTGTACGTGTACACATTTTTAGCGCTTGTCACTATTTATCGGCAAATTTAATGTTTAACAGTTCATATAATCTTCTTATATGTTTTGTACAACTTCAGTCAGTTACCATCAACATAGAGCCTGGTACAGTTGTGTGTTAGCTCAATTTGCCATACCACATTACATTACAAAAAGAACAAGATCAATACCAAAGTGTACTCACAGTGATATTGAGTAAAGGTAAACAATGGGAGTATAGTTCTTAAAGGCAGGACGGAAAGGTTTATGAGGATATACTGGAATTTAAGGTCGATAAGATAGTAACATATGCCAACGTGAGTGATTCGGAGTCATGTCATCAAAATTTAACCATTGATCACGGTCATCACATGAACCTCAAACATGTGATCTGCATGTATCAAAACGGCTCAGATCAAAGGCTTTCGTAATTACTGAGAACTTCGGTGTTCATAACATCCTTCTCGATTGGAAGTCTCCTTCATCTAATAACTGCTGGAAGTTGCTTTAACTTACTTTGGCCATTCGTACTAAGATGCCTTGTGATTGAAACACTGCGGTCGTTGCCACGACAAATAGTCATCGTACAGTTACCGAGTGCTGAACACAAAACTTAGGATACTAGTTTGGGTGGGCGATTACTTCAGCGATTTCAACCATCTTCCTACGTTACCTAGCTACTGAATATCATTTCAAATAAGCGGATGTCAAGAAGAAATTACTGGTAAAAAGCTACAGGTTTCCGTATTTAAAAGGCCAACAAACGATTCTGTAAAAGAATATATGATAGTGTTCTCAGGATGCTTATTCAATTGGGTAAGGAGTCATGGTAGGCTCCAAGTGTTTAAGCCACTTAAAGATCTCTACATAGTGTAATGAGTAATTATCAGGGCGTATGTCCATTACCAGTTGCATTTAGAATACTGGCTATGTTAATATTCAGTAAATTGTGTAAAACTCATATACATCATAAGCGATCAATGGCCCGGATAGTTTTATCTCGGATGTGTCAATCGCTTTTATGTGACCTAACGCTACCATTTATCTGGTTGGACAGAAATATAATCTGGAATCATTTATTAGAGCAATGTTAGTGGTCTTTATTCAGGCGCACTTCATGTAGCTTATTAGCATACAATCACCTGTTTGCACTGTCATTAATTGACGTGAGTTAAAGCCATAACATATATGAGTACTTTTACTTATCGTTAACTGAATATTTCCATTTTCTGTTTACTGTATCTAGTTACAGATCACCAATTTTATTGATAATACATTTGGATATATTTGACAATCACATTAATATGCTTACTTAAAATCGACAAATTGTGTTCTACATAGAATATTATGCTTCATGTTTACGATACGAACAATGATGACAATAGTGGTCATCCTAAACCTTCAAGAAAAAATCAGCTGAATTGTCATGGCATTTTTGTAACCAATGAAGATTTGAATAATTCACGTAAGCTTTCTCTTTACATTGATAAAATATTGGGTTATAGTAGATAATTAAAGACTTTTTGTATATCTAGTCAATATTAGTCGAAAAATCAGAAGGTTTTTATGATATGACTCGAAATCAGTCAGCGATGTAGATCCGCATACCATTTTGTAAAAAAATAGCATCTTAGTTTAAACATTGTCATAAACTTCTCACACGTTGCTATTACGGTAGTCAAAGTTACGGAGCGAGATAATGAAGTCATCTTGCACCGTTCTTGTCATAGAAGATCCAGTTAATATTTGTCTGAAATATATTCAGAGACTTGATTTGTTTGTAACAAGGTCACCGCTTAACCTCATCACAAATTACTTAATGACTCTAATACTGATAAATGATCCTAGTGATTGCATTCGTAATCTAATATATATTGTCTTACTTCATTTACTTTCAAGTGTATTATCTTACAAGTCCCCAACAAAATTCACTTCTGTTCTCAGTTGCACATTTGAGTCCTAGATGTCATATATACGGGAAGTATTGATAGCTAAAATACACCTTAGATTTACATTAGTAAGCTTTTGCTTCAGGAATGGCCTGAGTCAACACCTGAACTAAGAATAAGGGGTGAAGTAGTTGAACGCATAGACAACTTCACTTATCGCGAAAGTCTGGTGAATTCTAATGGGTTGGTGTCTGACGAAATCTCTTCACGGATTCAAAAAAGCTCGTTTGGCTTTTGCCAACTTCGTGACCTATGACGAAGGCGAGATATCCGTTTATCAATTAAGGGACGAGTATACTGCACAGCAGTTCGCTCTGTTCTACTTACGGCTGCGAAACGTGGCCATTAATAATAGAAGTTACTCGTAAGTTACTAGTATTTGACCACAGATGCCTTAGAAATATTGCTCGCATCTGCTGGGATCACCGGGTAAGTAATAGTGAGGTTAGACATCGGGTATTAGGGAATGATGGTAAATCAGTTGATGAGATTGTGAATCTTCATAGAATGAGATGGTTAGGTCAAGTGTTACGTATGCCTGAACACCGATTACCACGGTTTGCAATGCTGACTAGTGTTGGAGAGACGGTTGGAAGAGAGTTAGAGACGGTCAAACGAAAACATGGCATCAGTCCTTTAAGTCGGACAGCTTTCCATAAAATTCATTATTAACTTCGTTCGAGCTAGAATCAGTGGAAGCGTGAGCAGAGACAAAGAAAAGGTAGTGGCATGTATTCCTGTTTTTTCCTAGTTCTTACTGTCCCATTTGATCGGACAGCGCACAGTCGGTTGTTTCTTGGAACCCAGTCTGACAGAGCCTGTTTTGCTTTTAAACTTAATTCTGTACCTATACCAGCGAGTCCATGGGAAGTACCAGTTAAGTCTTCAGATACTCAAAGGGTAAATCGTATCGGTTCTTTATATTGACAAGGTGAGGCCAAATGAATGACCTTACTTTAGTCCTGTATATGCGCTTCGGTGATGCGACGTACATCGATGGTGCGAGATTCTAGAGTCGTAGCCAAATAAACCTGTTTTCCTACCTGACACGAGGTTCAAACTCTAAAAGCTCCAACACGTAGTTTAGAATGTGGTTTCAGAAAACTGAGAATAACATTTCGTGAACTCAAACCACTAGCATTAGTGGTGTGTGGTGATAAAGGTAAATGAGTAAATACTAAATCTCCACAAAACCCCTATAATTAATATAATAATATGCTCACTAGTGATTTCGAGAAGTATATCTAGGAGCTCTAGTGGGAAGCAGTGACCAGTGGAGTTCAAAACCACGTCTGTTGTGAGATAGGAACTCACTGAAGACAATTGGTGAATGGTTGCTCAACTTCGTGGATCAGTTGAAGTTAGACATTAACACCGTTGGATGCCAGCTCAGTGGTCTATCGGTTAAGGGCTTCGGCTCGAGACTGGTAGGTCCTGTGTTCGAATCTCGCTCGCGAGAGCAGGTTCGTGGATGCGCACTGCTGAGGAGTCCCATAATAGGACGAAACGGCCGTCCAGTGTTTCCAGGTTTTCCATGGTGGTCTAGCCTCAATTGACTCACGCTTTCAACAATGAAATATTAAAAGGTAAGTGAGGGATTCAATCGTCAACATGATGATCTCGGGTGCTGATAGAGGTATAAGAACAGTTGTCCTTTCCCGGTTGCCCACACCTTGAAAGGATATTTCTTCGTGGGGGACCTGGAAAGGAAGCTAAATTCGTGGTGGTCTTAGTAACTTGGGAGTGTGACCACAGATCCCTAGGAACAACTGCTTGGGGTCGGTCGTGCACAGCCTTCCTATCAGAAGTTTTCGTTGTATTAGCTCCACGTTTTAAAAGGCCTTACAGTCGGAGATGGAAATTTGGGAGTTAAGGTGAGGTGTGACATTTTCAGGGTTGACCTTTTCTTACCTCTTCCTTCCGTTGTAGGAAGGCACCATCGCTGAAGATGCTGGTTGTCCGAGGGTAACACCGTACTGCTGTTACACCCCTCCATTGTTAACAGTATGACTCCGCATACGGTCCTCAATTTTCTGCGCTTAGTCTTACAGTTCTCCAACCTGCCTGTCTGCCGTAGTAGAACCTAAAGAAACACTCGTTCCGACTGATGTTGCTCAGTTGAGTCATCTTGATAGTCAAGCTCAACCACCACTTCAAGGTAGCATCTACAGTCGGGAATACGTGTCTAGACTGTGACTAGGTTTCAGGATAAGTGTCTGTTTGTCTTACTGGACTCAGAAAAATCACAACAGAAAGACTACTTAGAGCCCAGCTGGACAACGAAAATATCAAATATATATTTCAGGGAAATCTACCAAAATACTGATCGGTCTTGAAAATGATGTTCAACCTGACTTTTGTCTATTTTCCTTTTTTCAGTTTTTGTTTTCTTTTCACTTCCCTCTACCTCAAACAAACTGAACTTATTAATTTGTAGATACGTATACTCTTGTTATAATATGCATAGTTTGTCTTTATTGTTCATATCCAATTTCATTTTAGTCCAAACATTGTCATCTTCAGTTGGTTCACAAAAAATTTATTTGAAGCCTTTACCTAATGAGAATGATATGTTCAATTCCAGGAAATTGAATGATAAAAAACGATTACCAAAAGTAGGTTTTATTTTCTTCATTGATTTGTTATGTTTTCATTTTTTTATCTGCATAAGGAAAACACGTCTTTATATAAACTGAAAAATAACCAATAGTTAGTTGAATTTCGACTGAGATAGTTGGGCCATGTGTTACGTATGCTTGAACACCGATTACAACGACGCGCTATGCTGACTAGTGTAGGGGATGGTTGGAAGAGAGTTAGGGGCGGCCAAACCAAAACGTGGCATCAGAGCTTGAAGTCACTAACTTCTAGTCTAAGCCATGTTGGTAGATGCACACTACTTTGTTGGTGTTCATGCGACTATCGTAACCAATGATGTGACATGGCTCAGAATCGATCACAATGGCGTAGGTGTATACGCTCTTTATCTTCCCTTAAACCTTGAGATTAAAATTGCTCCAGATCTGTCTTCCTTCCTATATTGTATCCTTATATACAACCTTTCTTGCTGAAGGTATCATGTCAACGAAGATTGAGTATCTTGTGTAGACAATTGTTGATAAATATGTATACTAATTTGATGATGGTTGTGGTAGTTCTTCAAGTTTCAGCTTCGTACAATAGAACTGTCTTGACATTCGTATTAAAGATTCTGACTTTGATATTTGTTAACAGTTATTTTTGGATTCCATATGTTCTTCAACTGTAGGAATGCCTTTTTTGCTGTTATTTTTATTACAGTGAATGCTTAATTCACCAAATAGTATCTCTAACTGTGATAATAAATAGTTTTTTAATGAATCCTCGTATATATTCACTCATTTATTAATAGTAGGGTAGTCAAAGATGGATAGTGGCTAGCAGTGGAATACGGGACGCGCGCAACTTCGTCCTATTTGGGACTCGTCAGCTGGATGTACCTGCCACATCTCAGAGTTGATGTTCACCCTAGGACTCGAACCCAGTACCTTTCACTTCAAACGTCATCACGTTATCCACTCGGCCACTGAGTCCTGATAGCCACTTGCTTGTGCAATGGAGTGTTTTTACATGCATTATGCCTAAAGGTAATCAGCAGTCAACATGATAGAATTAAGATCTTTAGTTTATGGCATTTTTACAGAATATCATTTATAAAATCATCGCTACAATAATATTATAGTAACTGTATTGCTAACGATGATACTTGTGACTGCGAACTATTATCATTTTCATGACTCAAAATAAGAGCATAGAAAAGATGAATTACAGCGGAAGATTTTTTCTACCCTTGAAAATAAGTTGACATTTATTATAATGATACCATGTTACTTGATCGTATAAACTGTATAAATGCAAGATTGACCATGGAGACAATCAATAAGAATTGATTTGATACCAAGATCAAATCAAAAGGGTATCTGAATAAACTGATTAATAGTCAGATTTGTATACATTAACTGAGTAGTGCTTGACATTCATTAATCAATCCAATCATTTACAATATGATGATACATATTTACAATAACATAAAACTAGATACCCCCCTTTTTTCAAGATGTGATTCCTTGTTGAAGATGCTTGGGAAAAAACAAACAAACAAATCGATTTTGCATCTCATTTACACTGTAATCCATTTAGCCTTTCCTCACTATATCAAATACAAAGATACTAAGTCAATAGAACAAGGAAAACATTGTCATTATTGAATATGATCCATTAGTTCAATACTTAGAACATTATTACATAACCTCATAATAAATATAAAGGTTAATGTTAGTAGTCGATACTGATATATGATAGGAGAAGAAGAAATATAGATCAATACTTGAAACCTACTTCATATACTTTAATTTAGGCAATGTTGAATAACATGGTGCACACAGTGTCGAGCCACCTAGACTAGTAGCCACATTGCAACTTGATCGATAGCATTCGATCAGCACTAAGAAGGACGTGACACGCATGACTTTGATCACCACCCAGTGATCAATCAATTGTGAATGTTGAATAACTGCATATTTTATAAAATATTGAGGCGTTTTGATCATTCATCTTGAACAACCACAGTGAATTCGGATACTTGAATCTTATTTTGCTTAATTTTCCATAAAAGGCAACTCAAAAGAATCACATCTCTCTTCAACTTAGAGATGTATAACTCAAGAGTGAATATATATGAACATTGTATTCAGTTATCAGCACAAGAATTATAATTCAGATTGCTGTGATAAAGAGTTGAAATGCTTTAGAAGATGGTGATGACCGCGGGAGTCAATGAAACCTCTTATAGTTTGATGATAGCTTCAATTGACTCATGATTTCAACTATATATCTGTACATAATAGTTAGTGACTAGCTAATTGTGCAATTCGAATTGCACATTACACTTTATCTGATAACATCAAAATAAAATTAAAACCCTATTCCTATTCAGATTTCATTTGTACGCTGATTGTTACAAACACAATAACGTTATCCGTCAGACTATCAATTTATAATAAACTATTCTTTAGTACAAACAGTATTGGTTATGAATTGTTATTGGTTTTAATCGTATGATACATCGGTGTAATCTCGATGGTATCTGCTACTTTGACACGGTAGTCGGGTTCGTTTATTGTGATGACCACTGGTTCTTGTAGGTTCTACTATAACAGTTTGGTCAGTTAGAAAATGATAAGACCAAAAGCAACGAATGGAAGGTTTGGGAACGAAGTCCTACTGTTGACTGTACAGGAGTATGATGACGCGAAACTAACATCTACAGCTATGCTACTTTCTCACAAAGGAAGTAGAACGCTTGTAAAGGTCAACCCTAAAAATAGTACACCATCATACCTCACCGATTTTTGACATTGGATACAAGGCCTTTAAAGTATGGGCTAACCACATCAAAAACTACTTTCGAAAACGCCATATGTGACCAGCCTCAAGCAATTGTCCCTTGGATACTTCGGTCACAGTCTCAGGTCATCATGACCAATCCTAACCCGAATTTGTCTGTTGTTACTTTAAGAAAGAATATCCTTCTGGGACGTAAGCAACCGGGGGAGTGACAACAACATTAACACAATCTAGTTCTTGTACGTGTAGTTATCCCTTTTCTTCTGTTTGAATTTTATCCGATTAATATTGTCATTATTTTCTATCTTAAATACTATCTATCATCTATATGATTGATAACATATAAGTATTTCTCCACAAGGTTATTTACATTCTGCACCAAATAAAGTAAGTTAAACAAAAAAAAGCAACAACTAAGATTTGTCTTGTATGTATCGATTTTTTCACAATGCTTCTAATCAATTGAATGGTAATGCATGGTAATGCATGCATTTCATTTATAATGCTAATGTGTTACTCAAAGAGTAAATAGTCTTTTTTTAAAGGGTTGTATTCTTCAATTCACTTAGTATTACTTGCTTGAATCTTCCCATTGACGTGCTAGTTGTGCAACTTTGCTTACAATGCTTGTGAAATAAGGCTATATCGAGGCAATATACACATATGCTAATAAGAGACTGACCAGTTGCAGTCCTTAAAACATCAATGGGAAGATTCAAACAAGTAATACTAAGTGAAATTAAACTTCACCCCATTGCAAAAGCAAGTGGCTATCAGAACTTAGTAGCTAAGTGGATAAAGTGATGGCGTTTGAAGCGAAAGGTTCTGGGTTCGAGTTCCTTCCAGAGTGAACATCAACTCTGAGATGTGGCAGGTACATCCAGCTGACGAGTCCCAAATAGGACGAAGTCGCGCGCGTCCTGTATTCCACTATCCATCTTTGCTTTCAAAGTTGTATTCTTCGTGTTAATACAATGTAAATTTAACTGTTAGTGTAACGAACAACCACAAGTACAGTTTTTCAGTAGATTCTATATTAATCGTTTCTTTTATCACATCGATATGATCCAGTGATCAAGTATGTTAATATATGGGATTCTTTTTAAACATACAAACAACCCGTCATATAAAGGAACTGGCGAATAAGTAGTATTGAAGTAAAACACAAGATCTGTGGTATGAAGTGCAAATCGATTGGTGATGTCAAATATAGATTTTTGTCAACTCAAATGTTTCAAACAGGTGTTACGTGCATCCATCTGACACCTACCGCGATACAAAACCCTGAATGACATAAGTATAGATTAGAAAATACTAATGATAAGTCATATTAATCGGTACAAACTTCCTACTATTGGTTTATACAATGAGTGTAAACAATGATTAGATACATTGGGTTGTATGACCCACAATCAGTCACAGCAGCTCAGTTGCATTTATTCTTCATCATCCGTTAAAGTACATTGGAATTTACTTTTCTTCTTTCCTTCCCAATTTTTTTGGACTTCTTCTCTTGGTATACTAATGTAAACTGTATATATATCTCAATCTCGAGTAATTTTTTATTTTATTTAATTTAAACACATAAATATTGGTACAAGGAAGCGCCAGATAAATATGCACCTCACAAATCTCATTCAGTTTGTGTGAGGGCTGTGATACTACTGAGGTGCCCAGACTGAAGCAGGTGGTTTTCCGAGGGGGTCACACCCGGAGCCTTCGACCTAAAGGTCTGATCCGCAGGACAGTGGAGCATCGTAGAGAGATGCAGTCCCATGGTAGCCGGTGACCAACAATTGGTTCATACACCATTTGTTTCCTCAGGATACTGGAGCCCATGTGCACCATTGGTTTGGAATCAGGGTTTTCCAACTCCCCTAGGTGGACACGGAGAGTGTCCACCAACCCGGTTAAAGCGTCGGACATTCGCTTTTGGTCTTCTCAATTTCGTGAACAACAGTAATGCCACGAGAAGGCAATGAGTAGGACTTCCCTGACAGAGGTTATAAACGCATTGTCATGTGAGAACATTTGGAGAGGGAGAGTGAACTTTCTTCACTCTTGGTCGTACCAGGGTATTCGGGGGCTTCAATTTATCACTGAATCCACTGTATATTTTTTTCTTATTTCTTCATAAAAATATAAATGGTGTAGATTGTAGGTTTGTTTAAATTTTCTAGTATCATTAAAAATTCTATTCTCAATCAACTTTAATTGTATTTTTAAAAATTATATGTGCTTACTTTATATGGATACTTGTTTGTATCGTGTGTAGGCAATTTAGTACTAAAATTAGTAGTGATAGTTTCGTTATAAACCATGATCAACTTAAGTAACTTAAGGACGTGTTGCATGTATCTTTATGACCGGGGTCGCATATGTATGTAGTGCTTCCTTGTACTAATATTTATGTATTTAAATAAAATAAAATAAACCATGAGACTGCATCTTCTTACGTTGTTCCATTACCTTGCGGATTAGACCTCTAGGTCAAAGGCTGGGGGAGTGGCCACCTTAGGAAACCACCTGTTTCGGTTTGGGCACCCGGACAGTATTTTAGCTGTTACATAAACCAATGACAACTACTACTGGCTTCATTATTATGTATGGCGCATATGTATTTGTTGCGCCCTTGTACTAGTGTTTATGCGTTCAAAAGTTTTGTTATTACCTGTTAAAAGTCCTCCAAAACTATTCAGTATTTTAAGTTGAAAATTTAAGAGATTAATGAAGTAAATTCTACAATCATCACTTCATGTTGAATAATGAACTTGCTAGAAGAATAAGCCGATTCCTCTTGTGTTAAAAAAGTTATGTAATAGAGGCTGAAAGAAATGATTTTAGTTTTGTTTAAAAATCGCATTACATTTTCTCAGCACTTTTTTATTATTCAAGCATAAATGAATAGACACATTATTGTCAGTAGAAATCATCATTTCATTTATTTATGGCTAGAGACGTTATCAGATATTGTTCAGAATAGAAGCCAGTGACGAGCCTGTTGTAACCTTCGTTTACTTTTTTTCATGAAGAGTGATTATAAATTTTTTAACTGAGAGAACTCTTATGGTTGTTCCTTTCAGTTCCCCCCCCATCATTACTCTTCTCTTTTCTCTCATCCTATTTTTTTTCTTTTATATATACTCATCTTCCCCCCTTCTCTTCCCATTCTCATTATTTTGTGTGGCGCATATGTATCTGGTCCCCCTTTGTACCAATGTGTACGTGTTTGAATAATAAAATAATAAATAAGACACATTATTTCAAAAGTAACTGACTTGTAAAGAATGAATTGCATGCATATCAATGAAACTATAGTTTCACTTTTTTGTGTGCCTTGAAATAATGCATGATTTTTTTTTTTTTAAAACCACCATTGATTCTTGAAATTCACTTAGTATTACTTGTTTGAATCTTCCCATCGATGTGTTAGGACAGCAACTGGTCAGTCTCTAATTGGCATATGTGAGAGTCTGCTCTCCCTCTCGAAATGCTCTCATATGGTCACGCGAATATATAGCCTCTGTCAGGGAAGTCCTACTCACTGCCTTCTCTTGTGGCAGGGGTGTTGTTCACAAAAGTGAGAGGACGAAAAGCGAATGTCCGGCGCTTTAACCGGGTTGGTGGACACTCTCCGTGTCCACCTAGGGGAGTTGGAAAACCCTGATTCCAAACCAATGGTGCACATGGACTCCAGAATCCTGAAGGAACGAATGGCGTATGAACCAACTGTTGGTCACCGGCTACCATGGGACTGCATCTCCTTACGATGCTCCACTGCCTTGTGGACTAGACCTTTAAGTTAAAGGCTCCGGGTGTGACCCCCTAGGAAAACCACCTGCTTCAGTCTGGGCACCTCAGTAGTATCACAGCCCTCACACAAACTGAATGAGATTTGTGAGGTGCATATTTATCTGGCGCTTCCTTGTACAAATATTTATGTGTTTAAATAAATAAATATGTGCATACTGTGCGTATTGCGTCGATATAGCCTAAATTCACAAGCATGGTAAGCAAAGATGGATAGTGGCTAGCAGTAAAATCCAGGACGCGCGCAACTTCGTCCTATTTTGGACTCGTCAGCTGGATGTACCTGACACATTTCAGAGTTGATGTTCACTCTGGAAGGAACTCGAACCCAGTACCTTCAAACGCCGTCGCGTTATCCACTCGGCCACTGAGTCCTAATAGCCACTTGCTTTTGCAATGGGGTTAAGTTTAATTTCACTTAGTATTACTTGTTTGAATCTTCCCATTAATGTTCTTATTCATCATTTACTGGATAAAATTACCAATGGATTATAGACTTTCCACTGTCCTTTAAGAATCATTTTACATATCAAATCACAACTTACCCAGATACATATTTATGTACTTAGCTTTGAAGTTCACTCTGTTTGTGATGTAAAATGGATTGATTAAAATGCTTTTCTCTCTCTTTCTCAGATATTAGTACGCTAATATAATTAGGAGATTAGTCACATTGTACCAGAATTAAGATTTACGACCCAGAATAGAGAACTAGATTAACACTAGATAATACTTTATTCAATACAATTACAAACAGTCACGCTCAGTGAGTTCAGAGTAGAAATCAATAAGAGAAATAGAAATTACATATTTTTAGCAGTCAGTATGTTAAGAGTCTGTTTGTCCACGCCAAGTAATTAATCATATTTGACTTTCAATACCATATATCAGCTTAGAAGTTAGTTATGTTGACTGGAAGTAAGCGGAATGGGGTTCGAACCTGGAACTGAATGGTTGAAGGTCGGATATATCCAATATCAATTTTGCCAATAATCTAATTTTAAAGTGCGAAGTCTGAATGGCTATTATCCATCTTAGTCCTGTTTGGTGGGACGCTGACAAAATGCAGAGTCTTCTGTTAGAACAGAGTAATGATGCCAGGAATTTTGGGATGCGTTTTTCCCTATCTGAATGTAAATTGTTACTCCAGGACTGGCTTGCGTCGACACCTGAACTAAGGATAGGGAGCAAAGTAGTCGAACGCGTCGACAACTTCACTTATCTTGGAAGTCTGGTCAGTTCTAATGGGTTGGTGTCTGATGAAATTTCTTCACGGATTCAAAAAATCTCGTTTGCCTTTGCCAACTTACGTGACCTATGACGAAGGCGAGATATCCGTCTATCAATTAAGGGATGAGTATACTGCGCATCAGTTCGCTCTGTTCTACTTTACGGCTGTGAAACATGGCCATTAAGAGTAGAAGATACTCGTAGGTTACTAGTATTTGACCACAGATGCCTTAGAAATATTGCTCGCATCTGCTGGGATAACCGGGTAAGTAATAGTGAGGTTAGACGCAGGGTATTAGGGAACGATGGTAAATCAGTTGATGAGGTGATGAATCTTCATCGACTGAGATGGTTGGGCCATGTGTTACGTATGCCTGAACACCGATTACCACGACGCGCTATGATGACTAGTATTGGGGACGGTTGGAAGAGAGTTAGGGGCGGCCAAACCAAAACATGGCATCAGTGTTTGAAGTCACTAACTTCTAGTCTGAGCCATGTTGGCAGATGCAGACTACCTGGTTGGGGTCCGCGTGACTATCGTAACCAATGGTTGGAGACTCTAGGTGACATGGCTCAGAATCGGTCACAATGGCGTAGGTGTATACACTCTTTATCTTCCCTTAAACCTTGAGACTAAAATTGCTTCATATCTCCCTTCCTGTACTATATCCTTATATACAACCTATCTTTTATATATTACCACCAGTGGAGTAACTACTTCTGTGTATTTGGTGTTTATCTTGCTGTGCCAACGAGGTATGGCAACTTGGACCGATGCATATATGTGCGTGGTCCTACATTGTAGCTGACTGACTATTATATGACAGCAAAAGAACTTGTACTAAGTAAATGATTAACAGTATAAGTATTCAATTACATGGTGACATACCAATATTTATTTTCAACCCCGTAGATATATGTTGTTTCTTTCATTCGCATACCGCTTGGTCAATGAAAGTACATAGGTATATATCATGTTTCATTAAAAAAGATATCATTCATAATAATATTTTATAAAGAGAATACATCAGAAAGCAATATTAATCTATAGAATTCAATCAAGGACAAGAATTAGAAAAAAAACATCTCAGTTCTGCAGTAGTAGGTACCCCGTCAATACGAAGCTGCATAATGCGAGTTCGAATTTCGCACGAAGTATCAATTTCATCTAAATTACAGTGACCAGTGGAGTTCAAACTACGTCTGTTGTGGAGATATCAACTCCCTGAAGACAATTGGTGAACTGTTGCTCAACTTCATGGATTGGTTGAAATTAGATATTAACACCATGGATGCCGGCTCAGTGGTCTATCGGTTAAGTGCTCTGGCTCGAGACTCGTAGTTCCTGGGTTCGAATCTAACGAGGTGAGGTCGTGGATGCCCATTGCTGAGGAGTTGCACAATAGGACGAGTTGGCCGTCCAGTGCTTCCAGGTTTTCTATGGTGGTCTAGCTTCAGTTGACTCACGCTTTCAACTATTCAAAATTATTGTCTGTTGGGTGGTTTTTAATGTTCCTTTTTTTCTTTGCTTTCATATTTTGAACCAACAAGTTCGACAATCCCCAGCGGGTTTCAAATAGTACTTATATATATTGTTTTCGTGATTAAAATAATATTGTGTTGTGGAAACCCTTTTTTCGAAAGACATTATTTCTAAAACAATTGAAATTACAGTAATCTATCTTCTTAGTTTATTTATTTGCTATGATGTTCTTATTCTTCAGGCGGAACATTCTGCTCTGTTACCATTTGCTTGTGATGTTGATTGTTCAACACCTTCACCTCCACCGTTATCTGCCAGATCAACACATAATAATAATAGTTATTTAGAGTTGTTCCCATCTCAACCAACTAATACTACTGCTACTCTACAACAAAATTTTTCCTATTCACCAACTGACAGTAAAAATTACACTATTAAACATACTAGTAATTCTACTCATTCAACAATTACTCCAGTTAATGAAGAAGAAAACAATCGACAGCGATCGCAATATCAAAAACCACATCGTCAACGTCGAAAACAGCATCATCATCATGAGAATCTTAGTTCATTTCATCGGCATAGTGCATTACGTCAATCACTCGGTGGTATTAATGTATTAACTCATCATGTAAATGCAATTAATCAAGATTCATCTGAACCAGACAATGAAATATCGCCTGAAAGTTGTGACAATAATGTTAAGGATATCAGGAAATGCACACCTAGACGAGGCGATAATAAATCCATTGATTATCAATCATCAGCATCATCATCGCTTCATACTAATAGCAGTAGTAAATCTTTGAAGGATTCCAATCACCGTCATCATCGTCATAATGATAATGTTGATGATTATCAACTGAAAACATTCCGTCTATCTAACTTACCACCATGGGACCATTTAAATTATGCATTGAAACCTTTTACATCGAATCATCATGGTAGCGAAACAAAGTAAGCCAGTGGTGTTCTTTTTTTTTGTTATAAAACCAGGTTATTCATTTGTATGTTAGTCAGAATTAATTATGTGTTAATTTTGGTAAAAGGAGTTGTGAAGTTTGTCAGATTTGTAGGTTCGCACCACAAACTGATCTTAGCTCGGAAACAATTGAAAACCATACAGCACTTGATAGTTATTACGTCCTTTTATATGACTCATTAATAGTGTACCTTATTAACCTTACCACGGATCGAACGCAGGACCTTCAGTTGTCGTGGGGAACATTTAACCTTCATATCACGGAGTTGTCGTTTGAGGGTTTGCATTTCCGGTTTTAGTTAATTCTCCATGTTACGTATCTATCATCTATTGCCGTTTGTGATGTAAAACTATGTATTAATTATTGACTATTGAGTAGAAACATCAAATTTTTCAACTGGTTATGGCTTAACTTGATATCTCTATATAATTCAGTTTGCATAGATGGGTAATACAGACTTTTGCTAGGCTCTGTGTTGGTGATAATAGGATGTGTCGCATTTGTATCATTATACTTCAATAGCTTACGATCCATAGTATTTAAACGAATGAATGGACTCATGTTTATGTTTGATTTCGTGATTACATTGTCTTCCATTTTTCCCTGCTCATTGATGTGAGACACAAAGGATCGCTTTCGTTAGACTTCTATTGCAGATTATATTAGTTTGTTTGATTTCTTTTCCATCTTCTTTTACTTTTTCGTCGTTGTGATTTGTGCCACGTACTTCCCACGTACCCACGTACTTTGATTTAGGCAACAAAGAAGAGTATTGTTAACTACCACACACAACAAAATTACATCTTGAAACCGGGTATACAAACCTGTGTTTAACAAGAAACATTAATTTTTGACTGTCCATAGTCTCCGATTATAATTAAGCAAAGATGGATAGTGGCTAGCAGTGGAATCCAGGACGCGCGTTTCGTCCTATTTGGGACTCGTCAGCTGGATGTACATGCATCTCAGAGTTGATGTTCACTCTGGGACTCGAACCCAGTACCCTCGCTTCAAACGCCATCGCGTTATCCACTCGGCCACTGAGTCCTGATAGCCACTTGCTTTTGCGATGGGGTGAAGTTTGAATTCACTTAGTATTGTTTGTTTGGATCTTCCCATCGATGTGTTTAGGACTGCAACTGGTCACTATCCATCTCTGCTTACCATGCTTGTGAATTAAGGTATATCGAGGCAATACGCACAGTATGCACATATGCCAATTAGAGACTGACCAGTTGCAGTCCTAAACACATCGATGGGAAGATCCAAACAAACAATACTAAGTGAATTCCGATTATAATTGTTCATTCATTTTCGTACCAATTGCGGGCCGTTCCCGTCCTCTCCTTATCGATCTTCTACTGAAATACATTTAATGCCTGACCATCACCATATACTACTTTTGTGGATATCAGTAGCCCACACCACATTACTACCGTTAATTAAAATTGTGTAGATCAATATATATGCCATCTAACTATTTAGTAAAATTCAAGTCATTGTCCCTTAGCTGACGATCCATAAAAGACAATGAACTTCACACATTTTACTTAGAGCAAGAACGAAGATTTGAGCAGAATAACATGGATTCATTTTATTTCATTGTATTCATATTTAAAAAATGGGTTGAAATAACGTACATTAATTAGCTTAGTTGGAAGTTGTTATGAACTGACGTAAGTTTAAAATAAGAAGGATGTAAATGAATTTATGAGATCAAGCAGATTATTGCATATATATATCTGATGTAAGAGTGGCAAAAGACTAGAGAGCTAGAAAGAAGTGATTATACAACGACGAAAGACTAATAGTAAGTAAGAATAGAAAGAAAAAGTTAGATATTATTTTAAGACGTAATGAAGAAGTGTTTGTGTTATCAAGACAGAAGGATTAACAACTGTCTTGTTCCGAACATATAAATCAGGTTTCTGACGCCTGATAGCTATGATTTCAACAAACTTTAGCAGATTGGTGCTCAGCTTCCTGTTCATCAACTTGAAAAATTTCAAGATATCGACCTGATCTCCTGCATCCAAAAGATGTCTAGAAATCGGGTTATTTTATTATTTCTCCCACTTAATTGGAGGCTTTTCAGAATATGTGTATAAGATTTAAGATATACTCTCCTTCCTATATGACTAATGTAGCTTCTTTGACATGCCCATGTAAATTTATAGACACAGTTGACGGCGATGTGAAAGAGATACTCGTCAAAATGTCAGTTATTGATCATGTTGTTTTATACAGGATTAATAGTTTGACTTTACTGTAGGTCCTTGTTCACACAATGGTAAACTTCATACTGATTGTTCATTCAACGTTATTTTCTTTAAAATTGAGATATCTTCGTGTTAATCACTCAGGACCACCAAGTGAACAATGCTGAGATTAAACATAGAATGCTATCTAAATAATGTGAATCGGTTGACGAAATGGTGATACCTTCATTAATTAGGACATTCTATTAGAAGGGGTTTGCTGGAGATTTTAGTAATTTTATAGAGTTGAGATCATGAGTCGGGATCGTGGATGCGCACTGCTGAGGAGTCCCACAATAGGATGAAACGGCCGTCCAGTGCTTCCAAGTTTTTCATGGTGGGCTAACTTCAATTGACTCATGATCTCAACTCTATAAAATTTTATTAGAATTTGTCTATATATTAAATAAAAATGAATCACAAACCTATCCAATTAAATCCTATTTACTATTATCTGACATATGATTGGTCATTTAATATCAACCAATCAGAATTTAAAACATTGTAAATAAATGTTTACAATTCCTTGATTTGTTTATTTCATATCATTCACGTGAATGATGATACATATCAACAAGTACTTTTCTTTCTACGTATACAACAACGACAAACAAACAAATAAACAACCATTTTTATTTCTAACATATTAGATTTAAAGGATTTCGATTAGTTCCCAAAGTGATACAGTCAGAATATTGTTTACCACGTGTACATATTCATAGTTATAATAATATACCATTTCAATTGGATGATATTATTGTTGGTATGAATAATCATAAATTATCAATAATGTCTGAAGCAGAGTAAGTTAAAAATAAAATTTGTTTTATATTTTGGAATTGATATACTTTTACAACTTCTATATCACTATGGGATTTGAATTGACAATTGCATCTTTGTGTTAATGTGGTATGGAAACTGGAACTGATGTACGTACGTACGAAGTTCTACGTTGTGACTGACTGATTTGGAATTGATATTCATTCATTATATTAAATATTTTGTGTATATTAATTAGTATGTAAGATTATAATTTATGAATGAATTAATCAGATTTAGGATAATAGGTTTTAGATTTCGACATGAAATCCATTCATTCATTTGGCTAAATAGTGTTTTATAATTTTAGCCCCCAAATGCCCTGGTACGGCCGATAGTGAAGAGAGTGCGTTCTCCTTCTCCAAATGCTCTCACATGGCCACGCGAATATAGCCTCTGCCAGGGAAGCCCTACTCACTACCTTCTAAGGCCACGGCTGTTGTTTACGAAATTGAGAGGACGAAAAGCGAATGTCTGACGCTTTAACCGCGTTGGTGGACACGGAAACTTCACCTAGGCAAAACAATTCTCCATCACAGTGAATTTTTTCGGTTATAACAAAAATACAGCATCATTTGGGTAGTGGAATTAATAATTGATTGGATAACTGGTGAACATATTCACTGTTAAATATCAGAAGAGAAAAGTATATGTAGGAAAGAAACATGGACTGGACAGTATTTACACTTGAATAGCTTTTCGTCTATCAGTTATATAAGATGCCTGACCAAAACACTGTTTAATGGAGCCAGAATGTTGTGCTTAAACAATAAAATAAATGAGGAATTGGCTATTCTGGTAAAGCGTCACCTAAAAAAATAAGTTTATTGCAAAATACGAAAAAGAGTATTCCAAGAATGACAAACAACTAACTGATGGAAAGAAACCTATTTTTATCTGTCTTCTGGTCAAGAAAGATGAGATTTGTGAAAGAATAGATGAGTCAAGGTGACACTGAGAAGAAGCTTCCCAGCTGCTCACTTGGTTCCACTATACAACGCCAAGTGTTCGTGATACTATTCAAAGGTAGATCAATACGCTTCCGACGTCACTTCCATTTGTGTCTACGATTTGACGTATACCTGAGGTAACAAGTATATAGGAAGGAAAGAGAGGAAGTCCTCTACAAGGTTTTATGAAAACATTCGTAGGAACCTACAGCTAAAAGGGTGTAAAGTCTCTACAAGTGCAATTACCAGACACTTACTTTTTGGATAGTTGATTTGAGGTAATTGTAAATAATGCAATCGCTATCAAACGTTTTCGACCGAACCTATATATATGCAGAAGCAAAGCGTAGTTAACTTTTTCCTGCCGTGGTGGCTGGATGTTTATCTAATAACTTTTGTTAATTTTCAATCTTTTTTCAATTCTGTCCCCAACCTTTTATCTTTGTTTTTATTTCGTCTCCTAATATTCATCTGTTACATAGTATTACTGATGCTAACGTATTTGTTTACTTTATCATGCTGAGTGATTATTCAATCATTTATTAACTTCACAACTTTTAAATACCTTCTTTTATGTCGATTATGACTACCGGTAACTATAACACCTGTTTTACTCTGTATTATACTTTCCAGCATATAAACAGCGATATATTAGTAGCTGAGATGGATGATGGTTAGGAATGGAATGCGGGACGCGCTTCGTCCTATTTGACACTCGTCAGTTGAATGACACGATGGCATTTCAACCGAACAGTACTGGGTTCGAGTCCTGGAATGGACATCAACTTTAGTGTACAGTCAGTCAGTCAGTCAGCTACAATGTAGAACCAGGCACATATATGCATCGGTCCAAGTTGCCATACCTCATTAGCACAACAAAATCATCACGAAATTCATAGAAGTAGTTAATTTAGTGGTGGTAATATATAAAAGAAAGGCTATATATAAGGATATAGTACAGGAAGGGAGATATGAAGCAATTTTAATCTCAAGGTTTAAGGGAAGAAAAAGAGTGTATACACTTACGCCATTGTGATCAATTCTCAGCCATGTCACACAGTCTCCAACCATTGGTTACGATAGTCACGAGGACCCCAACCAGGTAGTCTGTATCGACCAACATGACTCAGACTGGAAGTTAGTTACTTCAAGGAATGATGCCACCTTTTGGTTTGGCAGCCCTTTACTCTCTTCCAACTATCTCCAATACTATTCAACATAGCGCGTCGTTGTAATCGGTGTTCAGGCATTCGTTACACGTGTCTTAACCATCTCAGTCGATGAAGATTCATCACCTCAACAACTGATTTACCGTCATTCCCTAATACTCTGTGTCTAACCATATTATTATTTACCCGGTGATCCCAGCAGATGCGAGCAATATTTCTAAGACATCTGTGGTCAAATACTAGTAACTTATGAGTATCTTCTACTGTTTTGTTTCCCTGTAACTAACTAATAATTAATTATTTCTTTAATTTTATTGTTTTCTAGAGCATTACAATATGTATATAATGCATTTAAAGATGCCCAACATTATACTGTTGATGTTGACATCTTAAGATCATCTTTATCATCAAGAAAATCTTTTAATAATGAATCATCTTCTACAATGCTCAAACAATCATTAATAACTCGTCAAAAATCTGATTCTGGTTATTCAAATTCTGTTGAAGTGAATATTCCTTCAAATCCACATCGACCAAGAAGACGACGAGAAGGAGGATGTACAAATTATTCATCTTGTGAAATCACTCCAGAACGTTCACCTTACAAGAATGACAAAAAAGGTATTTCACTGATGTTTTTTTGAGAAAGGAAATAATATTCACTGTCTTATTTTCTTTAAGTTAGGCGCATTTGGGTTGCATATTACACATTCTTTTTGATAGTTAATTACTCTCAAAGAGCCACTGTTAATAAAATAGAAGTATGGAGCTCAGATTAAGCGATTTTCACTATCTTTGATAGACTTAGAGAGAAGGTTTGATCCAATTAATCATTTGAGTCATTTATTGAACCCAAATTAATGTACACCCATCTTTTAGCCACGCTTTAGGTGTATGTGTATCAGAGCAATATTATCCCAGGCGCATAAACCAAAGTCGGTAAGGTGACATTCGAGATTAAATTTTATTGGTTAAATGTCAAGTGTTCTAATCACCGGGCATAACTTCAAAATTTCATGTAACAAAGATACTTGTATTTCTTTCCTCTTTTGACTTATTTCTTATGTTATAACACTTATCGACGTTGTTACTGTTCTCATCACAACTAGTCTAGTACGCCTGTCATCATCGTTTACAGTTTTCACTAGCTACGTAATCCTTTCATTGAGTTACACATTGCATTGGCATTATTTTAATTTTTTCACTGATCTGCATATAAATATTACTGCATTTTAGGGTATAAAGCCTGATAGATGCCGGCTCAGTGGTCTAGCGGTTAAGTGCTCTGACGCGAGACTGGTAGGTCCTAGGTTCGGATCTCGCAAAGGCGGGATCGTGGATGAGCACTGCTGAGGAGTCCCACAATAGGACGAGTTGGCCGTCCAGTGCTTCCAGGTTTCCATGGTGGTCTAGCTTCAATTGACTCCTGATCTCATCTATGATGATTTGTTTGAGAACAATACTTGTTCAGTGCTTTTATATTTTCAGTGGTTGACTTATTTAAATCAGTTCATGAGTTCCATTAAAAAAAAACATATTTACATCGAAATTCAATTCTAAATCCTGTGTTAGTTAACTGATTATGGAATATAATTAACAAGATGAATATCAGAATAGTGTTAGTGAGAAGAACAAGTGTAGAAAATATGATTTGAGATAGAAAAGTACTTTCGCACAATAAAAGATGTAAAAGAAACAGTGAGTACACTTGCACTATAGCGACCAATTTTGAGTCATTTCACTCGAGTTCACCAATCACTAGTCACAATGAGCCCTTGAACCAAATAATGTTCATCTATCAAAAGGGCCAATTAATTTATTCTACTGATACTACATCTTGATTTGGGAGCTCCTAGTTTTTTTTAAGGCGTACTCCTACATTAGCCGACACCCTCACCCATTAAAGTGGGTTTATACAATATATGTTCGATGAGATAGTATTAAACTCCATTATTTATTAGATAATACATTTACTACACTAGCTAATTAGAAACTACTCTAAGTACAATCTCCAACCTTTAATCATGGTTACCTCGAAATTTCCTGGTTAGCGTTTGTTTTTTAGCGAGTTGGTTTTCCACAAGATGGGGTTGCTAACCCCATGCTCAACCCTTCTCTTTTATCCGGGCTTAGGACCGGCAGTAGCCCCCGGGGGAGCTACAGGCGGAGTTACCTCGAAAACTCTAACCAAATAGTTTGCATCTTCCTAGACAGATCAGGCGATGGTTGTCCTTATTTTTAACTCATATTTCATTCATTTCACTTAAATAAAGATTTTATTTTTTAATCAATCAATTTATATAACCTTATCCCTATCAAATTTTGATAGTCGACTAGTTTAGCTGTATGTTAATTGTGTCTTTTCATCAATTATTTCAATATTCTTACAGCTTTATCTGTCAAATTGAAGAAGACTTTATTCATTGTCTAAGTGTTCATAGATTTCTTTGTTAAATTTAAACTTGTTCCCCATTTGTCCCTCTCTCTCCCTGTGTGTGTTTGTGTGTGAGTGTTTGCGTGCATTTCTTCAATCTATTCAGCACAAAAACTTTATTACTAACTAATCTTCATTATTATTAATTTTTTTCATGTTTCCTTTTGTGTAATTTGATGCAAATTTGAATTAAATTCCTTTCCCCCTCCCCCTCCCCTTCTCTCTCTCCCTTTCCCTTTCCCCCTTTCTCTTTGTATTGACTGACAGCTACATTTGTATTATATTTCCAATTGTCTCTTACCTAAGTATGAAAATGTATCCATCAAAAAAAACCCAACAAATTAATTCATTTCAATAGACAGAATGTTATAGTTAGACCTGTCACTATGTTGGTTAGTTGGTTGGATGGATGGATGAATGGCACATTAATGTGTGTGTGTGTCTGATTGCTCATTTATATGAAACATGGATCATCAAACAGCTGTTTAATTTTTTTTTCTTTAAAGACAAAAAATATATCCATCATTATTCCCCATCACTATTCTTTTTATTAAATCATTAAAACAAGTCACTTTCTCTATATGATTAATGATTTACATTGATTAGAATGGGGTTTGTAGAGAAAGAGAAATCTACACTCAATTGAGTATTGTCTATGTTATCTGTTTGTCTGATTGTTTCATACAGATGAAAACAGTGTTCATTTAATGGTGGATAAAGATATTTTTCCTCTCTCTCTCTCTCTAAAAGAGCCATTTTGGGTTGTGTGTGCTTTAAGTGTTCGTTCTACTGTCAGCTATGTTGTCAAATATATATAAAGAAGGTTCGGGGTTCAAGCTTAGAAGTAATAAAAAATGGTTTTAGTCTATTCATGATTTCTGTCTTTTAGTAATCTACTCTCGAAATCCTCTCAAACGGCCACGCGTATATAGCCTCTGACAGGGAAGTCCTACTCAATGTCTTCTCGCCGCAGGAGTGTTGTTTACGAAATTGAGAGGACGAAAAGCGAATGTCCAGCGCTTCACCCGGTTTGCTGGACAATGAAAGTCCATCTAGGGGAGTTGGAAAACCACAATTCCAAACCAATGATGCACATGGGCTCCACTATCCTGAGGGAACAAATGGCGCATGAACCAATCGTTAGTCACCGGCTACCGTGGGAGTGCATCTCCTCACGATGCTCCACTGTCTTGTGGATCAGATCTTTAGGTGAAAAGCTCCGGGTGTGGCTCCCTAAAAAAAACACTTGCTTCGGTTTGGGCACCTGGGCAGTATCACAGCCCTCACAAATCAAATGAGATTTGTGTGGCGCATATGTATCTGGTGCCCTTTTTGTACCAATATATATGTGTTTAATTAAATTAATAAAATTCTACTTTTAACTGTCATCATGTAATTTCAACGAGATGACAAATATCATAAATATTTTGAATAATTTATTTATTTGAACGTATAAACATTAGTACAAGGAGGCACCAAACATTTATGTTCTACACAAATCATTCGAATACTGCCTGGACACCCAACCGAAGCAGGTGGTTTACTTAGAGGACCATTCTACGAGCCTTTGATCAAGAGGTCTAATTCACAAGGCAGTGAAACAACGTTAGGAAACTCAGTTTCATGGTAGCCAGTGACCAGCAGTAGGTTAGTATGCCTTTTGTTCCTTCAGGATCCTTCAATGCTGCACTGGCTTGAAGTCAGAGTTTTCCAACTACTTTAGGTGGATGCTCTGTACCTTTCAACCCGGTTCGAATGCTTGATATTCTTTTTTAATCCTCTCAATTTCGTAAATAACACCTTCGCGGCGAGAACGGCAGTGAGTAAGAATTCCATGACATTGGCTGTATATGCGTGGCTACGTGAGAGTATTTCGAGAGGGTGACCAGACGCTCTCTGCCCTCGACCGTACCAGGGAATTTGTTTTATTTATAGAACTGTTGCAATTATATTCATATAAAAAAAATTAATTTGTGAGCTTACATCGTGAATTTAACCCAGTTAGTAAACCAATGTAAACCAATAATCACTGGGCAGCTGTTCTACCGTTGTATGGGACTCATCATTCAATGTATATCCACAACCTAGTTATAGATCGAAACAAAGACACTAAGGTCTCATGCCGAACGTTTAACTTTTGAACTGCCGAGTTATGACCCAATACTGTGTATTACTCTCACTTCAGTCAGATCACGATGCCAAGTGTGGTTTTAGTTGGGCACTCCTATACTACGAAAAACAGATGTCTAGTGCTTCTTAGTCTTTAGTGGTTGTCTAACTAAGACTATTTCGTGATCTAAACCTTCTCCACTGACTTCTTCGCATCATTGATTTAACTTAGTTCAATAGTTTTCGAACTGTATAATACAGCATTCACCTACAAGTATACGCTTACTTTCATGTTGATTCATTACTTACGTTTTCTTCTTTGTGTCTTATAAATGTAGAACAAAAAGATCGTACTCTATCAATCCGTAATGCCAATTTAACCAATTTAAGTCGTTTAAGCCTTATGGATTATCCTGATTCGCCTAATGTACACCTTAAATCACGTCAAATGTCGGCTGTTGATAGTGTTTTCCGTAATCATGGAGTCATTGACTATGATGATAGAATTAATACAGCAACATTTGCCTCATCATTGTGCAGTAGTAATCTAGCAGACAGTGGATTTGTGACAATACGTCGACCAAAACAACCTTCACGTTTAACAATAATGAATAGTGATGGTGGTGATGTTGCAAGTGATCGATTTTCTTTAACAAGTGCTGAGTTTCACTCCTCTCGTGATTATAATAATAATAAAACCAGAAATTCACCGAGACATATATCACCAAAAGTCGACACCATTGATGACCAACATCTTGGTAATAATCGTTCAAATTCTCGCACACTTACCTCTCACACCACAGGAGTTACATCACCATGTATTCCAAGGAGATCGTTAAATATGGTAGGTTGTTTTTTTATTAATGTCGTTCATTTTTTGTGTTATTGGTTATCTATCAATTTATTAAAATTCCTGTGCTTGTGTGTTTCAATGATAACTCAATTGTGTAGTATATATTCGTTTTGAGATAGTGAAGAAGATTTGTAGCTCAGGTGGATGATTTTGATGGTAAATCAGTTGATGAGGTTGTGAATCTTCATGGACTGAGATGTTTGGGTCACGTGTCACGTATGCCTGAACACCGATTACAACGACGCGCTTTGCTGACTAGTATTGGGCATTGTTGGAAGAGAGTTAGGGATGGTCAAACGAAAACATGGCATCAGTGCTTGAAATCACTATTTTCGAGTCTGAGCCATGTTGGTAGATACAAACTACTTGGTTGGTGTTCATGCAAATATCGTAACCAATGGTTGGAGACTCTGTGTGACATGGCTCGGAATCGACCACAATGGCGTATGTGTATGCATTCTTTGTCTTCATCCAAACTGTGATATTAAAATTACTTTACACCTTTCTTTCTACGAACTAATTCTCTCTTTCTGTATTGTGTCCTTGTACACAATCTTTATTTTATATATTACTACCATTGAAGTAACTACTATCAATTTAGTGTTCATGTTATTGTGGTAATGTGGTGTGGCAAGTTGAACCGATGGATATATGTGCCTTGTCCTATGTTGTAACTGACTGACTGACTACGTGTGTATGTATATGTATATATATGTATATATAATGTGTGTATGTGTGTGGCATGAGCTGCATCTTCTCACTTACAGAATTAATTCACAGCAACTTTCCATTTAGATTTTACACGAGTAAATGTACACCCGCATTGTATCTTTCAAATGATTATTTCTTCTTTATTCAAAAGTGATGTCTTACTCATTCTCAAAATCATGTTGATATAAAGATATTGTACATGTATTTACATAACATGTATATATATACATGTATAACATGTATATGTGTGTAAGTGGAAGGGGTTTACGTCAGTCTCAAATAAATTGTACATTCAGTTTGTTTTTGAATACATCAATAATAGTTGACTCTTTATAGATAAGATTTCAATTAATACGAATTGGTTGAGGTAAAACATCAACACCGTTGAATGTCAGCCGGCTCAGTGGTCTACCGGTTAAGTGCTCTTTCGCGTGACTGGTAGGTCCTGGGATCGTGAATGCGCACTGCTGAGGAGTCCTTCCAATGCTTCCAGGTTTTCCATGGTGGTCTATCTTCAGTTGACTCATAATCTCATCCATATAAAAAATCATACGGATATATTTAGTTAATTTTGGAATGATCTGTTGTAGATCAGTTGAACGCGCAATTTTTAGAAAGCATATAATTCGGTCTATTTGTATGTCATCATAAATAAATTATCCAATTCCATTAGATCATTACAGATTTGTGTAAATAGTAGATTAGTGTTATTTCTTAGCCTTATGTCTGATTGTTTAAAACGAATGATTCAGGATTGATTTTTGAATGATGATATGACTGATGTATTAACAGTATAATCTTGAATCATAACATCTGGTAATAGTGATAGGTTCAAGTTTAGTTCCATCTGTTTCCCTATCTGAATCATATGTACACATATATGTATACAGAAGTGTAATTGATAGAATCTTAAGCTATTATTGTGGAGATAACTAATATAGTGCTACCTCAATATGAACTACTGATAGCAGTCAGTAGCATGTATTGTTATCAATACCTAGATATTCTTCATTTTGATGGAGTTTTGTTCTCTGAGCTGGATAGTTTGATCATGGAGCTTTTATCATCCTTCTGAACGACATCATCAGCACATGTCAATGAACATTCTCTACTTACAATCGAACAAGATATGTTATTGTAACATTTGTAACTCTTATTCATTCAATTTGCACAACCTGCCATTTTGTTCATGATTTACATGAAACATGAAGCTGAGAATATGTTGCTTGATTATTCTAAAAGATCAATTAAAACTCAGCCAATGTTGACATTTTCATAAATTTTTTTTCTCATTTACTCTCGACCACCTTCCCAACTTATCACTTTACTTTCTCGAAATGGTGAAGGAAATTTGTAGCTCAGGTGGATGATTTTATTGAAGTTTTTGTTTTCTGAGATAGATCCAATCTATCAACTAATTAGAAAAATCGTGGACACATATAGGATCATGAATCAAATCAATGGCAGGTTGAAAGTTAACCAATGAAGATCGTGGTCTACAAGACAAACTGAACATCATATATGATGGAAATTTGAACACTTCACTTTTACCTGAAGTTTGTGTTAATGATATCGTTCTGAGGAGGAACGTTGAATGTTCTAGGACCAAACTATTCAAAATAAAGAACAAAACTTCATTTTCTCATCTATATCTAAAGTTATTATTTCTTTTATGATTCATCATAAATGATGATTGACAACACTATAAATCATTATCGATGAATCGGTTTAGATGAAGTTCATTACATTGATTGATTAATATTTGATTATTGAGAGAATTTATAGACAATAACAATTAGATATGTAGGTTAAATTTTACTAGGTCAATTGAATAGTTACTTTTTTTTAGCGAATATATTTTCATATACCCATAATTATAACTGTTTATTCAATAGTACTCTGGTTAGTTTGATACTAAAAGTTGTACTTACACGTTAATATCGTTACATTTATGTTTCTATCTGGATAGTTAGGATTCTTCACCCCTTGTCTTGCGTCTCTCGTCTCCCCCACTCTCTCTTTCTCCATATACTGATAAATATTAACCTATGATTAATAAATGTTATCTCGTTAATACTTCCGTACTGAATCTGTATTCTTTTACAATGTAATCACTACGATGTGATCAAAAAAGTACATAAGAATTGATTAGTTCATTTTTGTCTCTCACTCCCTTTCATAAATCTAACCAACAATCATTCCTTATCTTTTCATAAATATATTTAATTATATATGTGTAATGCGTTAAATTGTTTGAATGAAACTCTCTTTGATATTTAAGACAAAAATTTTTGGATCATCTCTAAGATTCTCAGTTTTAACTACTATCTATCTGAAGGGGGTTTCTCGTAGAGATTTTAGTAATTTTATATAGTTGAGATCATGAGTCAATTGAAGCTAGATCACTATGGGAAACCTGAATTGGTTGAAGTTAGACATTAAAACCGTTGGATGCTGGCTGGCTCAGTGGTCTGTCGGGTAAGTGCTCTGGCGCGAGACTGGTAGGTCCTGGATTAGAATCTCGCAAGTGCAGGATCGTGGATGCGCACTGCTGAGGAGTCCCATAATAGGACGAGTTGGCCGTCCAGTGCTTCCAGGTTTTCGATGGTGGTCTATCTTCAATTGACTCATGATCTCAACTATATAAAGCACTATCTGTCTATTTTCAAATGACATAGTTTCTTTTTTGAATATCTCCTATGACTGATTGATGAAGGTCTAACATTTAATTATTTGTAAGATATATTCAATTGGTGTTGTTGACTTGTATCTTCCTATTGTTATTTAGAACTGCAATTGATCAGTCTCTTGTTGGTATATGTGCTTCCTGTGCGGATTGCCTCGATATTACCCTTAAGTCATAAGCTTTACAAGCTTTACTGGGTTTGAGTCCAAGAGTGAAAGATATCATTACATAATCTCACATATCTGAGTGCAAATATATTCACTGTCAAGATTGCCATGGTACGGTCGAGAGTCGGAAGAGTTCGCTCTCTTTTTCTCTCTCGAAATAACTTCACATGGTCAGGCATATACAGCTACTGTCAGGGAAGTCTTACTCACTGCCTTCTTGACGCAAGGGTGTTGTTTACGAAATCGAGAGAACGAAAAGCGAATATCCAGAGCTTAAATCTCGTGTTGATGGGTACAGAGGATCCATCTAGAGGAGTTGGAAAATCGTGATTCCAGACCAATGGTGCACATGGGCTTCACCATCCTGAGGGAAAAGTTGTAGTATGAATCCATTGTTAGTCACTGTCTACCATGGAACTGCATCTTCTCACGTTAGTCTTGTGGATTAGACCTTTAGGCTAAAGGCTCAGGGACTGACTCCTTAATAAAACCACCTGCTTGTGTTTGGCCACTCGATCAGTATTCTAGTCCCTACCCATACCGAATGATTTGTGTTATTGTGAATCAATCAAGATTATTCAACTTGTTGGATGTTAGGTATTAGATAGTGATGGTAAATCTGTTGAAGAAGCTATGGATGTTTGTAAACTGAGACATATGCTACATTTACCTAATCACTGCTTACTCCAGCGTTGTCTTATAGTTAGTAATCGGGTAGTCTGGTAACCCAACTATTGTTGGGTAATCCAATATATAGCATCATCGCATGAAATCATTGACTGTTGTTAGACTGAATTAGTTTGGAGATCCAGTTATTCTGATTTATGTTTTATAAAATTTACATTTTATAGTTGGAGAATTTAATGAAAATTACTCGAAATGAGGGGTTGTGTAATAGCCCAGATGTATGCTCATTATGTATTTCGAACTTTACTTATTCCATACCTTTTATTTTCTTTGTATTTGATTCTACTCTTACGAAGTATAATCTAGTCCATGGTGCTTGTTAAATTATATCGATGAAGTTAGAGTCTGAGGATTAGTTTAGGTTATTCAGCATCGTGTACATTATGCTTTGTTGTTCGCTGATCGAAGATGATCAGCTGATAGTTTTGAATGAATGAAACATTTCATTTCTACTAGAGGTCATTTACAGCCTAAATAGTAATGTTTTGAACCGTAAAGCTGAGTAACTTAGGTTATCAGTCCACAGGGAGTATCAAATGCTTCAAGATTGCAATTATATCTTGTTGATGAACGTTAACATGGAAGAAACCTAAATTCAAATTCTCCTACCGATCTAACTTCAACCATCCAACAAGTGCTATTTTCCCCTGAAAACTTCAATCTTTAAATTATGTTAAACTTTTACAGCTAGATCACGTATCTATTGAATTTAGACATTAACACTTTTGGATACTGGCTCA